TTACCAAATAGTATTTATAATTAGTCGCATTATATAATTGCATTTCACAATGATTTAGTTAATGGAATTAACATGATATGAATAGAAATGTTAAAAAATTAAACACTATTATACATAAATAGTTAGTTCATAGGTTATCATTTATTTTAAATTTATGAAACAACAACAATATTTAATGGATTTCAATATCTCAAATTGTAATTTGCTATAAAAAAATCAACCAAATCATTAATCGTCTCCTAAGAAGTTAAGCAATTCTGAAGTTAATGCAGCAATTCAGAAATACTTTTAGATTGTTAAGAGAAAGGAAGGTAAGAATCCTAATCCAATAATTTCTAATGCTCAATCATCCAAGATTTTAGGATAATTGGTTACAAAGGTATCCCCTTCTTTAGACATCCATGTTCCAATTAAGCCTCCAACTCCATTAGGTACTTAATCTTCTAGACCATCATCTGAAAAGAAAGTTTATCATCGTCCTCAGTAATCAGTGGGACAAAGCAAGGATTTGAACTAATATAAACTTCTAACCACATTATTTCAGAAGCCTAAGACTCAATCTCAATAAGTAACACCTAAGTGTAGTGGTAAGGGAAGTGTAAGTGTGAACAAGTATTTTTAGAGCACAAAAAAATTATAAGGTGAATTTCAACAATACTACTTAACAAGAGTAAAAAATGCCTTTTCAAAACCTTTGAGAGATGATTATTTCAGTCGAATGTACAGGGAACACTTTTTATAAACTTATCAAGGGATATATATTACATAATACTTACAACCAGTTGATCCAAATGATCTGTAAAATAAGCAAGTACATCTAAAATAGAAGGAATGCTACACAAGTATTTTAAGATTCTATTTTATTTCTAGATAAGATCACTATTGTATTTGATTTAGATGAGACATTAGTCCATTGCAATGAAAGCATAGCAATGCCAAGTGATATAATATTATCAATTCAAGTGTCTCCATAAGAAAAAGTCAAAGCAGGCATAAATATTAGACCTGGTGCAGTCAAACTATTAGAATTACTTGTGAATGATTTTGAATTGATAGTATTTACAGCTTCTCATCCTTGTTATGCTTAGAAAGTGATTGAATATCTAGATCCCTAAAAGAAACTTTTTTCTCATAGTCTTTACAGAGATAATTGTATAATGACAACAGGAGGGATGTATACTAAGGATCTTAGAATTATTGATCGATCTCTAAGTCAATTAGTCTTAGTGGACAATGCTTCTTACTCATTTGGTTGGCAATTAGATAATGGGATACCTATAATTCCTTTTTATGATAATAAAGAGGATAGAGAATTGGAGTCACTACTAAAATACTTAAAAGGAATGTAGGGTTGTAAAGATGTTAGGGAATATAATAGGTAAGATATCACAAAAAATATTATAGAAATCATTTAAAATTTTAGTTTTTCCAAGATCCCTCAGGGCCAGGACTTGTGTTTGAGAAATTGTTTGAATAGAAGATGGAAATCTAATGATGTTTTATTAAATGTACTATGGTCAAGGCAGTTGAATATTCTCAATTTAAATGTTTATTCACAAGTGTAAATTACTTTGAAACGATTGTATAAAATATAAAAATGGATCCTTAATTGAGTCATTATACTTAATTCTTTATTGTAGTTACTAATCTCTGTAAGACAAATCAAATCACTCCTGAACAGAAGTCCTTATTGAAAAGTAATCTCACTAGTAAAGATGAGAAAATCTGTCGAATGTTGATATAAAATAGCGGTCCTGGGAAGTATGAATTGAATATAATCCTTTTAGAGAAATTTAATTGAGAGAAGCTCTGTTAGATTATTTGGCAGCATAAAACAAACAAATATAGAGAAGGAGATCTCATAAATCTAAGACAGTTCATTTTATGAAAGACGTAGCAGAGTAGGAGACACAATAAGAGATAGTCCCTCAATAAGAATCATCAGCCTAACCATTGGCAAGTGCTGCAGCTGTTATGATTGAATAATTAGTTGGAGTTTTACATAAACATATTGATAAACATAGTTTACTTGTATCAGAGGATAAGGAAAAGTTGATATAACTGTGCAACTTAATTTAAAAGCTCACATCTGAGTAGGTTGATTTAGATGGAGTGAGTCCATTTAGGGCCAGATACTCATCAGAAAATAGTAAATTAGCTGAAATAAGTGAGAAGGATTTAGATTCTAGTGATGAGGATGTATATGAGAAAATGGTAAAGGGAATAGATCATATCTATAAAGAATTGAAGAGTATATTCACTGGGAATTTGCATACACATTTACTTCTTATGTAGGAAGACATTTCTTATGAAAATTTGTATTAAGTCCTAAAATTTTTACTTAAAACTCTTGTAGATGCAGATGAATTCACTTTCTTTATTCATCGAGATAAAGAATGGGAAGTTTATTCATCTTCTAATGATTCCATCAAAGATGTAACACCTGAAGAAGCTTAAAGGGTAACAGATGAATTAGCTTATATCCGTCCATTCTGTATTCATAGGATAGATCCTAAACAAAGGTAATATCCTTAAATTGAAGAAACTTGTAAAACCAATACTTTTTCACAAACTTCTATTGTGAAGTTCTAATTGCAATTAAAAAATTATGAAGTTTTATTCTGTCTTCATTGGACTGACAAAGACAAAAAGAATATCAAAAGAAAGTTTATCAAGTATATTATTCATTCAAATTTTTAAGTTATGCCAATATGTATGGATTTAACAAAGATGTGACTCATTTGGCATAATTTTTGGTTGAAACCATCATTACAGCTAAAGTCTAATTTTTTAATCCTCTTAGATTTTCTGATTAGGTTTAAGATATAGGAATTAGTTTCATGCGTATATCGAGATTTTTGTTGGTTGAAGGAATTAAGAAAGTTCTCAGTATAAAATTTGAAGTAGAAAAGGAATAAACTTTCTCTACAGATGAGAATATTAAAAGGTAAAAGGAATCATAGTGTGTAAAAATAGAACTTAAAGATTAAAATCCAGTCACTTTAAGAATAAAAGATATGGATTTAAAAAATGAATAGGATCTTCACTTATATTCAGCTGTATTTATTAAATAAATATTTAATAGATAATTCAAATACAAGAAAAATATGATGGTTATGTGAAATTGTGTTATGAGAAGTCAGCATTTTATAAATATTTTTTACGTACAACAGATTCTTTGTTATTTGATTTTAATAAATAAGGAGAATTGATTTTTTTGAGTAGACCAATCTCTAAATCATTAAAGTATTAAATTTCTTAAAAATATATATAGAGAAAGATTTAATATAAACTTTGATCCTAAAGCTATTTTGTATAATAAGATATCTTATTAAGATATATTTGCTTAGAATAGTATAATATCGAATATTGAAGTGAATATTTAAAATATACATGAAAATAGAAGAAATCAATATTTGAGTAATTTGGAGAATCCTTAATTTGAAATATTCTTAAAGGTTGTTGACAATGATTTTAAAGGATTTACTGTGATTTTTCATGAGAATGAAGCTAGAAGATTGAAATAGTATTTTATGGCATTAAAAATTGATAATATGACTAATGATGTATAAAAAGAGGCTGAAGCTAATAAATCATTAGAAGAAGATATTTAGAAATAAATATTAATTTAATACAATAAACATTAAACATTTAAATTTTTAAATTAATTAGATGAGACTTAAGATGTAGCAAATTCTATGATTGCATTATTTATTCCAGAAAATGAATTATAATAGATTAGACATCGTAAAACAGATGGTAGAAGTCCAGAATAATAAAGTAAAGATTTATAGAATGATTAATGGGTTGCACCTCCATAAAAGAAAAAGAAAATAGGATCTAGTGTATACATAAAGTATTAATAATAATTGGAAACAGTGGATGCTAATTTATTTAAAGTGAATGATAGTGATTCTTAATTGGATTTATTTGAATTTAATATCTTAGTTTTAGATTCATCATAAGAGAAACATAGATTAGTTTATAGTATATTAGAAAGGAATGGTTTTATATCTTAATATAAGTTAAATAAACAATGTTTAGCTTAATTCTTGAGTGTTTTGTAAAAGAAATACAACAAAAGAAATAATTCATTTCATAATTATGATCATGGTATTGCTGTTATGTAAAGTGCTCATTATATGTTATAATGTGGAAAAGCAAAATAATAAATTGATGATTTTAGAAGGATGTCAACTATTATATCAGGTTTATGTCATGATGTATCACATACTGGTAGAACAAATATTTTTATGATCAATAGTCGCTCTAAATTAGCTACTCGTTATCATGATTCTAGTGTAATTTTATCATTTTATTATATAAGCCTCTAGAATAACATCATGCTGCAACAACTATATTTATGTTAAAGGATCCTTCACTAAATTTTTTAAATTCCTTATCAAAAGAATAAAGTTAATAATTCAGAAGAATTCTTATAGATAACATTCTATATACTGATATTAAAGTGCACTTTACATTATTGAAAGATTTTGAAAGTAGAATCAAGGATGAAGTAACAAAACCATTTGGTACTGGAGATGATGATTTAAAATTATTAACAGGAATGATAATTCATACAGCAGATTTTAATGGAGGAGCTAAAGTATTTGAGATTTCTAGAATTTGGTCAGAGAGAGTTAATAAAGAATTTAGTGCATAATATGATGAAGAGGGTAGATTGGGAATTCCATAAACACCATTTTTGAAAGATCTTGATAAATTGCATATTATGGCTAAATCTGAAATGGGATTTTTTAAAGTGATTGTTAGACCTTTATGGTTCACTTTGAATACCTTTTTTGTATTTAATTATTACAATATTTTAGGATGGATATCTTTAATAAAGTATAACTAATCTTGATAATACAATAATAAGTTGGGAAAAAATATATCATGCTAATCTTCCTAAAGAAGAAAAACAATAATAATAATTATGAATGTTTATTTTGTTAAATATTATGAAATCATTTTTATAACAAATACTAATCTAAAATAAATCAATTAAGTTTCTTTTTTGGAATAAAATACATAGGTAAATGATTTTAATTTTCTCTTATAAATTCAATAGTACCTTCCTAAAATTTATATTAAAATAATATTTACTTAAATATTTTCAACAATATCTCTTGTAATTAATTTCTTTATTTCTTCAAAGAAATTGTCATCCATATAACGACCATCTCTTGCATATTCTTATGCCTTTTCTAATACTTAATCAATCAATTCATTTTTTAGCATTTCACTTTTAGTTATGTGTCTGAATTCACTAAACCATTCATGATATAATGCAATAGCCCAATTTTCAGATAAAAATTCAGATACATTATTTATTAATTTACCTCTTTATTCCAATTTATTTAAATATTTAACAGATAATTCTATAAATTATAATAAACTTGGTATATGGACTGCTTCAGAACCAAAATAAGTAACACTTTCAATTAATCCATTTGGATCAATATCAAATTATAAAAAGTGTCCATTTCCATTAGTAAAATTATCAGATAATATAGGTTTAGATGGTAATTATTAAAGATGTTTAGGTTTTGAAAAGTCATTCTTTTTAATATGATAATAATAAAGTTTATGAGGTACTATACCTCCTTATCCTATTGGCATATATAATTAGGGTAATTCATCTACAGAATATGTTTGGGATGTCAAATAACTAAGATTTAATTATTCTAAAATGCATTTACTTAATTTCTAACCCAATTCTCTTCCATTATATTTATCTAAACGAAGACTCTTACCAACAGAATGATGTTTATATCTTTATGAGAATTCACAAATCTTACCACAAGCAAATATATTTTCTTAAGTTGTTTAAAAATTACTCTTTACAATCAATCTACCATTATAAACTAATCCATTTTCATGAATAATATTAAATATCTCCTTATCTATATCAATTAATCCACTTGTAATAAAGAATCTAGATTCCAATTCTAAATAATCATATTCACTAGCCTTTAATTATTCAATTTCTCTAGCTAAAACTTCTAATTAATTTTCTCCTTCTTCCTACTCCCCATACATATCTTTACTCATATTATTTTCTGAATTATCCTTTAATTCTTATAATTCTTATTCCTTTCTCTATATTTCTATCTTTAATTCTTCATAATTATCAGCTTATTTTCTGAATATCACTTATTATAATACATCTTCACTATTTAATCCAAAACCTTCTTTTCCTACTTTCATTTCAAATAATGTAAATCCATAATGAATATTTATACCCATCTTTACCATTATATCAAATACTTTATTTTTAACTTCATCATTTTCAAATTAATCTGGATCAAAAATTATTTTATCTTCTTGTTCCTATCTTTATTTATTATTTTCAAATTTTGTTTATTTTTGAAATGTTTTAGGTGGCATAACATAATGAATACGAGAAGGATGTACTCCTCTATTAAGTAATCCATTCATAAAAGTAATAGTAGATAGAGTATTTCCATAAATTGTAATATTTTATGGTTTCTTCTTCCTTGTCAATAAATCTATATTACTATTTTTGAAACCAGTTCTTTTAAAATGTTAATACAAATAAGGATCATCAATACTATATAAACCATTAATAAATTAAGCAGTTTTATAATATGGAGATTTAGATAATCCAAAACTTATCTTCTCTCTTGACTATAATTCAGTATCAATTAATCCAACAGTAATGATTAAATAATCAAAAGGAATAAATGCATTTTTATCAATCTTTATTCTATTACCTTTTTTATCTAATTTCACCATCTTAGCATCAACTACTTAAACTCTTGCATCTAACATTAAAGCTCTTAATTCTTCAAGTGTATAATTTGTACTCATAGCTTTTAACATTTCGAATTCATGTTTAATATGCATAGTTAATAATCCACCAGGTGCTAATAGAATAATATTAGTAAAATTTATATCTTTTATTGTTAATAAGGATTCAATAAATGATAATCCTGTATCTGATGCTCCAACAACAACAATCCGAGAATTATTTGATACTTTTACACTTGATAATTATTTCTTAGTTAACATAGCTAATGAAAATGGTGCCTAATTTTAATCATAAGGATCACGATCATCTAATATTGCTCCCATTCGTTCTCTTTCATCTTAATCTAATGTCCAATCCCATTTTTATTTTAAAAAATGAGCAAATGCTCTGCTTCTTACAAAATTAAACTCCTAAAAAATATCAGGTAATAATGTTCTATCATGAATTTCCAACATTATACATGTTTTATCCATCAATCTACAAATTTCCCTTAAAATAAATCTAGTTTATTTTGCAAATAAAGGATTCAATATTCCATGTAATAATCTAGTATGTAAATGTTTAGGATGTTCTACTATAAGTATATGATCCTATATACAAAAATGTGATTTCAAATATTATAAATTCACATACTTTCTCATACAATACAAACCTATTATTTCCTCCTTACAATATACTATAAATGTTTCATTATCATTTACATTTCTAACATCTCTCTCTATTTAATCCTTATCCAATAAATTCTCAACCAAAAATTAACATTAAGCCCATTCATTTTAATTCAACTTTCTCAATCCTATCAAATGAGAATCTAAACTATTTCTATGATAAATATAAAGAACATGTTCAAATGTTGAGTGTTTCTTTCTTGGAACCTATAAGAAATGTTATAAAAGTGTAGTCTCTTAAACTGTATATGGTTATGTTAGAACCAAATATTCTCTATCTGGAAATAATTCAAAAGCCCTTTCCACAAAATCTAATGATCTTGATTCAAATCTTTCATCTATACAGAATAAATTAATAACTACAGCATTTTAAGCTGTTTTTGGTACTTCTGGCAATTAATCAATACTCTACAATTATGAAACATATTCATCATATTCAGTTTATGTTCTTTATATTTATTTTGCTGCTTCTAATTTTGCTATTTAATTTTATTCTTCTTATATAATCTCCTCTACTTCATTTTATATAGTATTTGATCTAACTAATTGTAATCTACACATCATTTAATCATATCTCTTTAACTTCTAAATAGCTCCAATGAATTCTTGATATGATGTCATCTTTTATAAAACATCAACTGGTTTTGGAGCATCATCACCTACTTTCTTTAAATTAGTATCCTTTTTCTTTGCATCCTTCTCTTCTTTTATTTTTTAAACTATTCTATTATCAACTTCTAATTCTCCAAAACATTCCAAAATAAAAGCCAAATTCTCTCCCATAGGAGCACCTATATCAAATCCTTTATTTCTTAATATTTCTGGAAATTCAATTAAATCTACATGTCTACTTGGATCCATCTCACCATTTTCAGTACAAAATTCCATAATCAATTCCTTAACTCTCATTTCAATCTATCTTCTAAATTATGTCCTAGTTTCAGCAGAAACTGAAGTAAATTTAGTAAATGCTTAAAGAAATGGTCCCAAATCAAAATAAGGAGGAGGTTTAAAAATATCCTCATCTTTATCTTCTTTTTTAGCTTTTTTATTAGTTTTCTTTTATTGTCTTTTTGGTCTTTTAAGTGAAAGTGCTTTTTATTCTTCCTCCTTTTTCTTGGCCCAATCTTTCCAATGACCTTCTCCATTCATGTAACCCTTTGGTAATCCAAAGAATTCAAGAGCTTCAAGTAAAATTTAAATTGGTTTAATAGTAATGCATTCTAAATCTTTAAATAAGTTTGGATATTCAAGAAATAGATCACTTGGTTTGAATACTTAATAATCCTTCAACCATCCATTAATCATATCAGTCACTACTTATGGAGTAAGTGTTTTTGCCAAATCTTCTTGTCCATAATCATCAATCTTTTATTTAATCTCCTAATCTCTATCAAAACAATATTATTGTAAATAGAGTCTTTATCCAACAATGTGACATTTCATTGCTTCTTTTGTTAATTCTATTTGCTTCTTGTATGTGATAATTTATTTGTTTATTTATTCTTCCAATGCCAATTAATCTAGTCTATTTCTTATAGCTTCCATATATTCAGCTTTATATAGATTATCAAAGACTTCTAAATCAAAGCATTGACCCAATAAACGATAACTATGAAGATTAAATAATTTATTTACTCAATATCACTTGATATACTCATTAGACCAACAGCTTTGTCTCCAACTTAACCAACTATGGCTTTTCCATCAGATCTGTAATTTCTAGCTTGTCTTCTTGTTTGATTTTAGGTGGCAATTAAATCTGCAATGAAAAATTCACCAAATTCTTCTGTATGAACATCAGATTAACGATTAAAGATGGCAGCTAAATCATCATGATCTTCTTCACGAGCCATTCTAATTTCTAAGAGATCAATGACCATTGAAGAAGGAGAATAGTAGATTTCACAATTTTAATTGACTCCTTGCATGAACTATATAGTTTGATAGATGGTACTTTCAATTGAAAATCTTATCTCTTTGGTAAAAGTTCAAAGAGATTTTCAAGGGCAATATCAAGTTCTTATTGAGTTGCATCTTTGGCTTCATTTCTTCTTAAGAAAAAGATGCCATTGACAACATTCAAATAATCATATACTTTTTGGAAGATTTGTCTAGTTATCTGTAACTGTTGATCCTCAGTGAGTTAGTAACGCTTTTTAGCTTGTTTATAGAATGTATATTTTACCAAGAAAGAAGAAAGTCATCCAAAGACAATTAAAAGAGCTTACATGAAAGTCTATGTTCCATCCATCATGAATCCATTGCTCCCACAAATTTTCATGTTTAAAGTCTACTTATCCAGTTACACCTTAAGGACAATCATCAAATACTGCATTTCCTATGATGTTATTTTGAGAGTCAAGCACTGTCACTGATAAATAGGAACGTTCAAATAGAGTTAGAATTTTTGGATAGGCATACAATTGTTGTAAATCTTCTTCACCTTCCTCTTACATCAATTACACTATCTCATCGTAATCATCTAAATCAGCTTTCCTAATTTATAGCTCTTAGCCTTGCTATTCAAAAAATGACATAATAATTTAATAATCAATTTAGATAATTGTATTAGTCATTCATTCATATTGGAACTGTTTATAGTATAGAGTTAATAGTAATCTTCAAAATTATTTATTAAATAATAAAGAACTTCAATTAATTTTAGAGTCTGGATTACTAATTAGGTGATAAATATGATTGATAATATCTTTAGAATAGTAGATTAATAATTATTGCATCAAATTTTACAGCAGAGTAATGTTATTTTGTTAATAAATAGATAGATAAATAAGTTTTAAAAGGGAAGAAATTTGATACATATAGATTTATTATATTTCTTTTAACATCGAAAATGTAAATAAGAAGAGTTAATTTTAGTAATAATCAAAGATAGATTGATAAGTAAGATCGATTGGCTAAATTAAAAACATTAGTTCAAGTAATTAAATAGAATGAATTAACTGAAGAGCCTGTCAAATTGAAAATTAAATAGATTTAAACTTAAGATCTAAGAATTAAGAATAGCTGTTGTTGGACATGCAATAAATCTTAAACTAGTCAAACATATAAATATTGATTCTTTAACATATTTGATTGAATATGTTAATCTATTTCCTGTAGATTAAATCAAATTCAACATTTAGTGGATATAAATTTATGATGACAGATTCTATAATTCTGTATTGGATATTCTATGATCAAATTATAAATGATCTTCTTTATAAAATAAATTAATATTTTATAATACCAAATTATATATATATATCATTAAGGGAATTTTCTCTTCAAATATATCTCCAATTCTTTTATTTGTATAGGTTTGATCATATAAAAGTCCATTCCTGAATTTAATGCTTTCTATTTGCTTTCTAAATCAGCATAACCAGTATTAGCTATACAGATTCCTTTTGGAATTTAATTATCATGCATCATCTTTTTTAAATTCTTGACTGTGTCAAAACCATCCATTATAGGCATATTAAGATCTAAAAAGAATACAACATAGCCATTATTTTAGCATTATCTACATGGTTCTTTCATTTTTTAAAGGCTTTTTTTGATGGCTTCTTGTCCATTGAAAGTAAAATCACAATGAGCATTAAATCTATGTAGAATCAATTGTAGACTTTGAATATTGAAATATTCATCATCTACAATTAGAACTCTACTACAACAATTGCTTCCAATACTAAATTTAACTATTTCTGATTTAAAACTAGTCTATAAAGAAGGAATCATAATTTTAGATTCTTCTTATCTTGATTCAATTTCATCTTCTTCATATTATAATTTTGGAGTCTATCCTAAAAAAGATTTAGAGTCTGCTGATTAAAGGCATCTAACTCTGTTCTTAAATAAACTTTTTTCTCTCCATGTATCTCCATTTTCATCTTTGTGTTCACTAAAATATCCTCTATGAGATCCTTCAGATATTGGCTATTATTCTAAGTAATATGTTTAATTTAACACTTTCACATATGTTTGACTGGCCACATACACACTATCATTATAAAGTTATTAAGAATTAGATATTGTAAAGAAGAATTCACTACCCTTTTATTATTCACTAGTAAATTGAATTCCATGCTTTCCATTCATTTTCAATACAATGGCATTAGATATACTTAAACCTAATCCACATCCAACAGAATTATGAGAAATTCTCAATAAATTCTTATTATCTTTTAATAATTAATGTAATTTCTATTATTCTGCTTAATTCATTCCAATTCCATTATCTTATACTCTAACCTTAAGTTTATCCTTATAAATAGTAATTGAGACAATAATAATACCATTTTCAGTAAATCTTATAGAATTACTCATTAATTGATATAGTACTTATTTAAATCTATCTTGATCATTATAAACGAGAAGATGTTAAGGACAATTTACAATAATTTAATTATTTCTTTGTGTTTTTTATTGATTCAGTAAATATAAAATTTCTTAAATAATATCATAGGGATTGAATTCTTAAAGTCTTAAAGCAAATTATTTCAATAATATGGTATTAAAATCTCTTACACTTTAAAGTACATAAAAGAGTAATTTAGAATTGATATAAGTTGGTTCAATGTAAGTAGCTTTGACTTATTCATTTATTAATTCACTATCCATAGCTTCAGATGAGACAGTCAATATACAATTGAGAAATGTTCCAAATTCATGAGAAATAGATTAAAATATACTACCTAAAATTTCACTTGATAAAGATTCATAAGTTTATTTAGAATGATTTGAATTATTATAATGATTATTAGTATTATTTAATTTAAAATTCTCTGGGAATGAATAAATAGATTTACTATTTGATTTCATTTAAGGTTCAAATTGTATTATAAAGTAATCAATAAAGTTATCACTCAATACAAAAAAGTTTAACTTTACATTTACTAGATTTTTATTATCTAATTCAGCAACACTAAAATATGTATAATATGAATTGATATCAGAAAGTATTGATGATAAAATAGTTCTGATATCAGGTTTATTAAATGGTAATTTGAATGGAGATGAAATCAAATGTGTATTATTTTCAGATAATAATTTAATTAGATTTAAAGAAAGAGCATCGCATCGTACATCTAAGAAATTTTCTATCGCTTCTTCTTTATCACGTTCCATTAATAAAAATAGATCAGATTGATTGTGGACACATTTAAAATGATCGTTTAGCACTATAAATTTTTAATCTGTCATCCAAGGCCTCATTTACTGATCACTCATACATTAATTTAAGAATTTGTAATTTGGCACTCAATGTCATCTCTTATTGTACATCTTTGTTTTATTTTGTATTATTTGTTTTTCTCTTATTTCGATTTATAAAGTATAAAAATACAAGTAACATAAAACATTCCCCTAATGTTATCATCAATTTCCACACTTCTACATAATTTTATAAAATTTAAGAAATCATTCCACAATATAAAACCAATATACTTTAATAATAAAACATTTTTGTGTCATATAAGAGTTCAAATTATATCAATATGAGCACCTAAAAATTTAAAAACTATTTTACATATAAATAGGTTAAATCTTAATTCTATCCATACAATAATCCCATAACTACTCCATCATTACCTACTCCTAAAATCCATAGCATTTTGTAATCTGAATATTTTATCAGTGCCAACTTAAAAATTATCCCAATATAATGTAATAAAATTGGAATCCAAAGTAAACTATGATTATTATTAAGACTTGTCCAAATCAACTCAAAAGATATAAATGCCTCAAAATATAAGAAACAAGCAAAGTTAATTCTAAACATATTTTGAATAATGAATAATTAAAATTATTTTCTTACTGATTATATAATTTTGATTTAAATTGCTGCCAAAAATTCTAAATTTATCCTCTTATTACTCAATTTAATTTGAGACATATGAATTAAAATTTTTATTTTGACATACTTTTTAAAATAATCTTATATTTTTAATTTTTTACTCAAGAAAATAATTTTAATAAAAAATTAATCAATTAATTATTAAAACATTATTAAAATTTGTTTATGATAAAATAAATATATACTAATAGAAAATAATTCTAATATAATCTTATTATTATATATATAGATAAATAATAATATGAATTAATGAAAGTAAGATATTCTTAACATTTTATATTATAAAGAATTCATATGGAATTTAAAATATCTTTTATCATCACTTCAATCAAATACATGTTGATGGATTAAAAATTTAATGGAATTTTTATTAGATATTATTTAGATATTATTTGAAGATAACGGCATGAAACACTATCATATGAGTATTTGAGATTTTAATTAATTAATTTATTGTTATATTATCAAATAAGAAATGCTTCGTTTATCATTCAAGCAATAAAAACGCTAATCTTTCTAATAGAAAATGAAAATCTGTGAATTATTATTAGAGCGTGGTCTGAAATTCTTTGAATTAGGTATATAATTATGTACAATAATAAATTAGAACAATTTGGAAATGCAATAGATTAATTTGAGATTTGTATGTCCGTTTTTGCTGATGCTAAAACTCCAAAGAAATGGGAGGAAACTACCTATGAAGAATTAACACAATAAAAATATCCTGAACAATAATAGATAGAAAGTATATAAATTAATTTAAAGAATTAAGGACTTCATCTCAAATTATTTGAAAAGATGGCAGAATGCTATTATAGACTACATGAATAAGGTGCATGTACAAAGATGTGTGATTATTGGTTATAAATGAGTCCCTAATGTATAAATGCTATAATTTTACGTGCAAAAGTATGTATCAGAAATAGCAATAGTCCCGTTTTTTATCAGACAATATTACACAAATTGATTGTCAAATGGCATTTAAGGATCTTAAATTTGCATAACAACTTGATCCTCATAATACAGCAATAGCAAAGTTTTATGAGAAGGTGAAAGCATAATTATTAGCATATAAAGAGTTGGAATATTAGAATTATACAGATTTATAAAGAAAGCAATTAGAATTAATTAATCAATATAGAAAGTAAGAGGATGATGATGATGAGGATGCTCAATAAGATTTCATGGCTCATTTGGCTTATTAAGATTATGATTAAGAATTAAGTTATGAATTGGACAACAAGAAACCAATACCAATTGAAGTATCAGAATTAGGAAGATTCATAGAGACAAGAGGGATGGAGATGGTGAAAATATATTAATAGAATGGATAATTGAAAGAGGCAGAAGATTTAAGAGAGAAATTGAAAAAAGCAATTGCAGCTAAGAAATAATTAGAAAAGATATCTTAATTGGATTTTAATAGACCTAAGAAAGTAAGTATTCAATTATTGAACAGTAGAAATTAAATGAATTTGCATAAAAATATGGTATAAATTTACTGGATCCTCAAGTACAAAATGAGTTTAAGAGAATTCAAGAGTAGAATTTAGAAGATATTAGATAATGGTTAAAACAAAACTAATGGAATTATACTGATAAGGCTACTTAGATGTAAGAATAAGAATTGGCTAGACAAGAATTGGCTAAATTGTAATTCAAGAGGAAAACTATTCCTTAGAAAGTAATATTATATAATTTATAATAATAGCATAATAAGAATAAATTTAATAAGAAAGTTTAACCATTAATTAACAATACTTAGGTTAATGGTTCAATGCCAGTTACTATAAATAATAACATCACTTATAATTAGACATTTAATTAATGCAATAATGTTATAAATAATTCAAGTATGATAAGAATTATTATTAATTTTTAGCAAATGAATAAAGTGATGAACAATTAACAGATTGCAATTGCTTTATTAATTTAATCATACTACTATTAGCCATATTTGCCATATTAGCAACCATTTATTATTCATTCATTAAATGAATTAAAATATATTTAAATAAATAATTTGCTTAAACACACAAACATTCATTTACAATTAATTATATATTTATAATGAGAACTAAAAGTCATAATAAGGCCAAGTCCTTACATACAGTTCAAGAAGTTTCAAATACTAAGACATTCTTTATCAGTCGAATCACCTAAAGATCTTTTATTAAGAGTATCGTTCCTCCTTTGTCTCTTCCTTCAGTTCCTTAGATTTAAGTCCCAGCTCCTCTTACTGGAAGAGTTGTAGCAAGAAAAGTGATTAAGGCAACTTAATTAAAAACTTAAGAGAGTGTTCCTGATAGTGAGATTAAACAATAGCAATCAATTTTCAAATTAGTTGCATCTGCTGAATTTAAAAATATCATTACAGAAGAGAAGTCTAAGAAAGAGGATGATAAAAATTTTACTTTGGATGGTCCATTAGAGTTCAAAAAAGATTGGAGAAGTAAAATCTTTACAAAGAATCCTAATTTGGAAAACTCTTATAGTTAAATTGATGATAATATGAACATCTAAATGTTTATGAAAAAGATTAGATAAATTATTACTACTAGTCATATACAACATAATGACTTCCATACAAATGAAAATAGTTTTTTGTCAGATAAGTTCAAGACTTAGATGACAAGTCCTAGATTTACATTTACTAATCATTTATCAACAATCTAATTTTAGAATTAACCAACCTAATTGTAAAAGGCAGGAACAATTGTATCTCAAGTATTAGAAGCTATTGAAGAGAAAAAAGCAGAAATTCAACCAATACCATAGAATAATCGTAGAAAATTAACTATTTCTGTATTTAATCCAGAAAATTAAGTTGGAGTATTCTCTTTCAGTATACCAGATTATGGATAACGATTATAAGAATAAGATGAAATTTAAGAATATACTGATAAACCTAAACATGTATTGAAGTAAGCATTACAATTTGTAAGTAAATACAAATTTATTGTAGATCTCTTCATAACCTAAGAAAATGACAACAAAATTTTCAAAATCTATACTTAAGATTGTTGGAATAACTGAAGAAGAAAATTAACAAGAAGATGTTCATTAATATTACAATATATAAAAAGTAATTATTTTATGAAGTAAGACTAGAAGGTTCATGAAGATGTACTTGCAAAATAAGATGTCTCGCACATTCACTAAATTGGAGGAGAATATCCTATTGCATTTATAATTAATATAAGAGAAAAGAGGTTCTATCTCTTTTTCAAAACCATATGAAAGTTAATAATCTAGTAGAGTTTATTCCTGGTGTACAAATCCTGCTAATAGTAATCATGAATCTTTATCAAATCCAACATTCTAAATTGAAATAGAATCTAATCGTTTTCTATTAACTTAAATTTATTAATGTGATTATTCATTTGATAATTCTGAATAAGATTGTCAAAGTTTTAGTAGTGAGAATTAATTTTCAGATATGTTGGAATGCTCATCTTAAATTAAAATTACTAATTTAATTAATCATATATAGTTTATAATAAATAGTTTAGATTGTGTAGATAGAAATATGATGTTACATGATCCTGATTTTCTTAATGATAATAAAATTGGTCATGATTAAATTAATCCTGCTCTTGATGGACAAATAATTAGAAATATTAATTCTTTAGTAAGATTTCTTAAAAAAAAAGATTAAAGTAGAGTTTCAAAATTTATGTTTCTTTAATTTAATGATATTTTAACTGGAGAATTTGAAGATCTCCATGAAATCAATAATTTAACTACTGATTATGGTTTAATTGAAGTAGAATCTGAAGATTAACATTAACCAAGATAATCTACTATTAAAATTGATATTGCTAAAATGTTTATTAAAGCTGCTAAACCAATTTAAAAGAAGAAATCTAATCAAGATTAATCTCCATCTAGTGAAAGATCAAATAAAAAGAATAATTCTAAAATTATATCATCTCCTAGACATCAAACTGTAATACAACCTAATAAACCTGTTAAATAATTATTAGAAGCTACTTCCAGTTAAACAAGTGTTTTAAGAAGAAGAAGTGATTCTCCTCAAGAAGAAAATAGTATCAAAGAAAATAGTAATACTAATACTACTTAATCTAATAAAATGAAAGCTACTACTTAAACAATTTAAAATACTACAGCTCCAATTTCATAAAAAGAAGATCTAATTAAACCTAATGCTACTAAAAGTTAAGAAAGAAGAAATGCTGTTATGATATCTTCAATGAGTAAACACTCCTTACAAATGAGAACTCAAATTACTGAAGCTCGTAGAAGATAATCTATTCCTGTTATGGAAATGGTTAAATTATTGATAGAGGAACAAAAGTTATCTGAAGTATAATATATTATATAATTAAATTAATAGTTAGAAGAAGTTTTTGCCAACAATCCAAATTTGCCAATTAATGAAAAATTAAAAGATGGAAATACATTTTTAATAGTTGCTGCCCAAACTGGCAATGTAGAAATAGTTGAATTACTTTTACACAAAGGAGCCTTTGTAAATGTATAAAATGTAATTATAATCTATTTATATCTTAAGAATTATGGTGATACAGCTTTACATAAAGCTATCGCATACAATTATTTCAATATTGCTGACATCTTGATTTCTTAGGGAGCTTAAAACTTGAGAAATGATGATGGTTTGACTCCTTGGCAATTTGTGTAATGATTAATATTTTCTATATATTTATTTTATTACTAATTTAAATATGGGTAAATTGAATAAAGAATAAAGACTTGAAAAATAATTGGCTAAAAAAATAGAGAAATAAGATGTTTATTAATAAGTTAAATTGTAAGAGAATCAAGAAGATGATTTTAATGTTGCTAATCTGATTTAAACACTTGAAGACTAAGGATAATAAATAGATAGTGTTAAAACTCAATACTTAAGAGTACAAGAAAAAGCAGTAAATCTTATCAATTAAATTTAGAGGATTGTTTAAGAACCAGAAACATAAGCTGAAAGAGACTAATAAGAACGTAAAGTAGCAGCAACTGTAATGAAATAAGATATAAAAAAATGGTTACCTATTGTTAAGAAAAATAGAGAATCTGAGAGGATTGATTTTACTAAATAAAGGAATGTTTAGATATCTAAGATGTAAAATATAAAAATATAAATTAGTTCTGATACATCAAATGCTTTATTAAATAATCATTTAGGTGTTAAATTATAGAATGCTATGGAAGAAGTTGAGAAAGTTGAATAAAAACAAGAATTAAATGGATAATCAAATCAATAAAAGAGTAATCTTTAATTCTATAATGATCTTAAAATGAAGAAAATTTCATCAATTAAATCTAAAATATATAAATAAATAAAGAAAAAGAAAGGTAATAAAGAGAAATTGAAATTAATGGCTTAATTAACACCTGCTGAAAGAAGATAAGAAATTGAAAAATTAAGATTATCAAGAGCAAAAGAAAGAATAACACTTAGACATTCAACTAAAAATAAATTTGTTTCTTAACTTCTAAGATTTGGAGGAGATAAGAAATCTCTAAAATAACAATAGTCATTTCTTAATAATATTAAACATTAATTATTAGCTAAAGCATAACTTAATGAATTAGAAGATGGTGAATTTGATGAAGAAAACTTTAGAGAATAAGCAATATCATAATTGGAATAAGAATTATAAGATATTGAAAGAAGAGAGAAAGAGAAATAAAATAATTTTGGATTCTTAGATAAATAAAAGAAATAAGATTTATCATAATCTAAATCAATAGCATAGAAATTATTAACAATGCTTAAATCAGGAAATGATGATGCTATATAATTAGATGAATCAGATAATCAAGAATAGAATAGTGATGATAATTATGAACCAAATGTAAATGGTGATAAAGATAAATCAAATATAAATATTGAAAATAATGAGTTTAATGGAAGAGCTAATTTTGTTAATGAAACTAAATAATTAACTGAAACTTAGAAAAAGAGAATTGATGCTAAGACTTCTTTATCTAATTATTTAAATTAAGAACCTGAAAAACTCTAATAATAGAATAAATAAGAAAAATAATTAACTATTTAAGATGAAAAGAAATAATTGATTGAAGGATTAAATATTAAAAATATTAAATAAAAGTATGAAAAATAAGTGAATTCAAAATTGACTAATTAAGACTTAAAGAAATTATAATCAGATCCAGATGAATTATTATAATAGAATTTAGCTAATTTTAATTTAGTTTTGGATGAAGATGAAGTATAAATAAATATATAATTAGAATGAAAATGCATTTATAGATGAGAAAATAAAAGACATGGAAGAAGAATTACCTCCTGAACCAGCAAATACAAAAGGATGGGGATCTTGGGCTGGATTTGGTATCAAAGAGAAAAAACCTTTAACTTAAGAATAGATTTTATAGAATAAAATAAAGAAAATTAGAGAAATCTAGAAGAAGAGATAAGATGCAAAATTAGATAATGTGATTATTAGTGAGAAAAGAGATGTGAAGGTATATATCATTATAAGATATATTTTAGTTTGCTAAATATTTAGTTCCAAAATTACCTAGTGAGTTTGCAAATTCAGAATAATTTGATTAACTACACACTCTACCTCTTGGTCCAGAATGGAATAGTTTAACAAGTCATTCAGCATTAACCTAGCCATAAATTATTACTAAGGCAGGTGTCCTAATCAATCCTGTCAAGATTCCTTAACAAGTAAACAAACTTATTTGATGATGTTTGCTTGTGTATATTAATTATTATTTAATAACCATTTTTATATAGATGTTTCTGAATAAACTCATTATTATTAGATTTAAAATACATTATAATATTAAATAGAATTTAGTTAGAAGCAACTGATGAATGATAAATTTAATTTTAATTAAATGATTTAATTAATATATATGGGATTAATCAATGTTAAATTCTTTTTCAGACCTTTCAAAATAATCAAATTTTAAACTAAGTGATCAAGGAAAGATTAAAAAAAATATTAATATTTCTAATTCAATCTAACAATCAGTTTTTCAAATTTTTAGGAATAATTAGATAGATACAATGATCATACTAAAAATTATAGTAAAAGATAGGCAGAAATTCAAAATGAATTAATATTATTATTAAATGTTATTACCAAGAATAAGAATTTAATTTACACTATCAGAGAAAACAATTAAAATTTTAGATCTTTCTTTATTAGGGTTGGCCATCTTAACATGCTATAAATTATATAAATGTGATTCTAAAAGAAATGAAGAAAAATAAAAGTTGAAACGATTTTAATACCTATATACAGCAGATGAATGTCATTTACTTAAAATTGATTCAAAATAAATTACAGTCCAAGGTTAGATTAATAATGATAATTAATTCTTGCAACTAAAATCTTATCAGGAACAGAAAAAGGGTTAAAATATTTTAAGCAATATATATTCTAGTGAGTCCATTTAAATTTTTGATGTAAATTTATATCAATTTTCTATTAGCCTTAAACTAAAACAGAAATAATTGGAAAAATAACCAAGGATTGCTAATTCGACTTAGATCTCTTCAATTATCATAGGTAATGGAAATATTAAACCTTTGTCAATTCTGAGAGCAATTTTATTGTTAGATAATATAAGAAAATTATAAATTACTTTTTTGGAAAGACATTAGTAGAGAATATCAATGGAATTGATTTAAATTAATACTTTATATTTAAAGGGATATTAAAGTAATAAGAATCTGAACTTATGCTCGAGGTTGATCATATTGGTTTAACTCCAAACTTAATATACTAGCAAATAAAAAAGTAATTAATATATGTATGCTATTATAGAAATTTAGAAAAATACTAAATCTAAGAATTTATTTTATGTATGATTTTAACATCACTTATGTATTATTTCTATTAAAAAATGAAAGAATTCATGTAAATTAAAGTACTAAAAAAAGAATTATTTTAAAACAAAATAGGTGAAATTGCTGAAGATTCTGATCTTTGTATAACATGCATGACAAATGTTAGGAATATTTTGATATTACCATGTTTTCATTTAATTTGTTGCAAAGAATGCTTAGATTAAATTGCAAAAACTCATTATCAATGTCCATTATGTAGAACATAAATTACTTAATTAAAATAAGTGTATATTGATAATATTTATTGAAAAAATAATGAATGATTAATTCACAATATGTAATAAATGCATGAAACAGATTTCTTAGGCAAATACAATGATGCATTAACTCTATTGCGAAAGAAATACTTAAACATGTGAAACGTGTGGATAGTAATTTGATATTACTTAGGAAGAGGAACATATTCAAAGTGTTCACTTACCTAATACATGCAAATATTGTTTTTAATATATAAGTTATACATTTTATGTGATATATAGAGAATTTTAATATTCATACTTGTGCATAATAACCACATAATTGTGAATATTGTTAAAAACAATATTTGTTTAATTAGATTGAAGAACATAAAAAAAAGTGTGGTCAATTATAGTATAAATGTAAATACTGTGAGTAGATGATACTTAATAAAATGAAAGTTGAACATACAAAGAAATGTTAAATTGCCATATTAGGACATATTGAATTTATTTGTAAATATTGTGGAGAAAGTTTGATTTGTATAATTATAGATTATATAATTAGCTAATCAATTATTGATAGAACATGAATCAATTTGTTAGTTTAAACCTTTTGAATGTCCTTATTGTTACTTTTATATTGAAGAAATAGATAAGGATGAACATTTGTATTATTGTGGAAGTAGAACTGATTAATGTTCTTTTTGTAAAATGAAAGTGATTCTATCTTAAAAAGTAGAGCATCAATTAGATTGCATTAGAAAATGTCTTATGGCAAAGTGTAATATAAAGAAACAAGAGAATGTAGATAAAGTATAATTAAGTAAATAATGCGATGAATTTGAAGAGGATTATGAAGCTTATATGTAATAAGTTGAAGATCAAGATAATGAAAACTATTAAGATTAATGATAATATATATAATTTGTTTCATAATTTAATTTTTATAATTAATATATGTTTCGAACAAGTCCATACTACACAAATGTTAGATAAGAGGTTTATGCTGAAATCAATTATTAATTATCTTAAGAATTAGATTAGATGTAATAATAAAAAGATCACATTGGTAGTAATAGTAAGAAGAGTGCATCAAAATAGAATTTCAATAGTATATGTATAAAATATTTATCTTATTTAAATATAGTTTACAAAAGAACAAATGATTAGGAATAAATCCTAGAAGATTAAATTATAAAGAAATGTTCGAATTGTGAAATCAAAATTGTATCTGATGATATATATTGTTCAGAGTGTACTAAATTGATGTGTTAGAAATGCATTAATGAATGTAGTGTTTGTTTAAATAATTGCTGTTTGATTTGTAGCAAATATGCATATTTATAAAATGGTGATTTTGTAGTATGTTTATAATGTACTTAATAATAATGATTATTATTTAAAATATATGGAATTTTATGAAATAGTTAAATCTATTGGTTCTGGTTCTTTTGGATAAGTATATTTGGCTAGAAACAAAAGAGAGGATCGTCTCTATGTGATTAAGAGAATTAAAATTAGAGATATGACTCAGAAAGATAGAGAAAATACAGAAAATGAAGTTAGACTATTACAAAAATTGAGACATCCAAATATTGTAGCTTATAAGGACTCCTATTTAGATAGAGAATAGTATTTAAATATAGTTATGATACATTGTGAAGGTGGAGATATATATTAAAAGATTAGAAATAAAAAGAGTTTTCCAGAATCATAAATTCTTGATTGGTTTGCTTAAATGACATTAGCATTATGTTACTTACATGATTAGAAAATCTTACATAGAGATCTTAAAACCTAGAATATATTCCTCAAAAATGGAAGAGTACGATTAGGAGATTTTGGAATAGCAAAAGTACTTGATTCAACAAGAGATTTAGCAAATACTTGTATAGGCACACCATATTATATGAGTCCAGAACTATTTAAATATAAGCCATATTCATATAAAAGTGATGTTTGGGCATTAGGTTGTTGTCTCTATGAAATGTGTAATCTAAGACATGCATTTGATGCTTAATCTATGAATGGATTAGCACTCAAAATTTTAAAAGGATCTTATCCATCAATTAGTCAATCATATTCTAAAGGATTAAGAGATTTAATTAACAAAATGCTAAACATAAATCCTAAAGCCAGACCAACTATTTAAGAGATTATTCATAAACCTATTATTAAATTGAGAATTATTTATTACATGTTGGAAGTATTTAGTGGTATTCATTATTATTATTCATTAAGAACCTTAATCTGATGATTTAGATGATATGTATGTAGATACTTTATATGAATAAGCATAATAAATTGGAGTACTACCACTCATTTAACATTATTAAAAGTAAATGTCATAAGGAGCTACTATTACAGATATAAAAAATGAATTAGAAAAAGGTGGTAAGGCAGAATAAAGAATGTTAATCTAAATTCAAGAATAGGAAGCATTAAAATTAAAATAGTTAAGAAAAGAATAATTTGAAAAAAAGAAATTAGAAGAAGAAATTAAAAGACTTGAATAAAAATAATAATAAAAGATTCTTACAAAAAATAATGATTCTCATCATAATTCAAAAGGAGCTACTCAAAATTTTCCTATTAAATCTGAATTAATTTAAAAAAATGAAATTTAAATTAAAACAGATTATTAAAGAATCCCTTAAAGAAAGGTTTCTTTGGAAAGAGATAGAAGACCCAATGATTTAAGGTAAAAATAAAAAGAAAGAAGTTTATCTTTTGAAAAAGATAAATTTAGAGATGATAGTACTTTAAGTGTTAAAGAAAAAATTTTATAAAAAAAAGAAAAATAATTAATCTAAAAAGAAAGTTTATAAAATAAAAAAATTATTTAATAAGATAAAAAATAAATTTAAAATAGATAATCAAAAGAAAATTCATTAAAAGTTTAAGAAGAATATGATATATCAGATGATAGTGAAGGAGTCAATGCTATCTAAGAAATTGAGAATGAAGATGAATATGAAGAGGATGGGGATGTAGATTAAAAATTAGATTTAATGAAAACTAAACTTAAAGAAAAGACAATTAAAATTTCACAAATTAATTAATCTTTGCATTAAAATAGATAAGTCTAGAATATGTAAATAAAAGCTCTAGAGAGTATTTTAATTTAAAATTATTTAGCTGGTTAAGCTATACCCTAAGTAGAGGAAGAATTTGAGAATGAAGAAGTAGAAGATGAAGAACATGATGATGAATATGATTTATTGCAAGAAGATATCAAATCATCAAATTAAATAACTTCAAGAATTTAAGATAGAATTAAATTATTGAAACATAGGTGCGAAGGAGGATTAGGCTCTAATCTAACAGATAAAGCTTTAGCATTCTTAAGAACTAAATGTATTTATATTATATATTAAGAATCTTCTAATTAAGAATTAAGGAAATAGTTAATAGTATTATTAGGAGAAGAGAATATAGGATATTGGTAACTATTTGATCAAATACTTTATATGGAAGATTTGATTGCAAAATATTGATTTTTTTTTCTTTTTTTTTAAACTTATTTCTAGCTAAACTAATCTAAAATAATAATTAATAAATTCAAATAATGATCCTATCTTTATCTAATTCCTTGATATAATCTAATATGTTACATTAATGATTTTTAATAAAGATGGTTAAATTAAATTAACTTAACTGAAAGAATATAAATGAATAACAATCAGAAAAATTACTTAATTAATCATTATAATTATTAAAAATAATAAATCATATTCAAATTATAAATTCAATCAGTCATTCTCTTTAAATCATTAAAACCAATTGGGAGAACCAAAAAAAAATACATTATTATTTTCAAACAATATTTATAAAATTAATCATAAAGATTTAACATTACAAAAATAATCAAGCAATTCAGAGTAATGTAGTATTTCTATTTATTTACAGAAAGAAAAATTAATTAAATTTAAGTATTCCATCTGTCTTGGCAGTAAGGCTATTTCACAAGATTTCAGAATGGCTTCAAAATCAGCTAAACTACATTCTTTTACTTTTTAATTGTTGTTTTTAACATTACACTGTTGCTAAAGAGAATCAAGAATTTTGTATTAAAATCTTAAAAATATGTCCTTGAGTTATTACTCAATATTCTATTTTTCCTGTTTTGAAAATAATTGATATTTTCCCAATAGTTATTTAAATACACTCTTTATTATAGTTATTGAATTAGAATTCAAAAGATTATGTAAAACATAGTCTTATGTATTATCTTCAATTAGATATCTAGCCACAAGTAGTCTTTCTTTTTCATCAACCATCATAAAGGGTTCTGCACTAAGTATTAGGATTATTTCCTCGACAGTAATATCCTAGTATTCTTAGTCAGTACAATCAAATATTTAATCTAAATAATTAAGAGGAATTAGTTTTGTTTATAATTCAAATTTAAGTTTTCTTCCAATTATTTAAACTTCATAAGTATTTATTTTTGGTAATTTCTTTGTTCGATATTCATTTTCAACAATTGAATCATCTTAATCAAGATTTCTTGAATATGGTTCTTCATCAATTTAACTATTTAATTCTAAATATTAAGATTTTTGCAAATCTGAGGCATTTTATTTTTTTCTCATACTAATTTATTTAATCAAACTAAGTTGAGGAGGTATATCTATTAAGATATCTTCATAAATTGAATATTCAGATTTAATATGCTATATACATTATTAATATTTTGAATCTAAGGTTTATTGATCAGGTTTGGATACTTCTTTGATAATAATTTTTTATTTTTCATATGCTTAAATTTAATCTTCTTTATCCATAATAATTGATAGTAAATTTTGTATATACTTTTCTTTTTAATTCTATTATTTAGTCATTTAATTTTATAGATATGTAATTTTAGCTTTTAATTAAGATATTTCTTAATCTTCAAGCAAAAATTAATTTCTATTAAGTAATTTAGTTTAGTTTGGTGTATTATTTTAATTTAAAATCTATAAAACCTTCCTATTTTCCCTTTATAAATTTTTATTTTCTAATTCTAATTACTCAATTTGATTTTTATACTTTTATTATTCATCTTGCAATTGATGGATGACAGAAACCTATGTTTTATTAACATTTTCTAAGTTTTTAATTTAGTTTTCTAAATTTTCATATAATTCAAATAGATCTATTCCATTATTCTTATAATTCAACAATTTATTTAATTTTGAAAATTGTTTCATCAATTTTTAACATTCCTATTAAAATGCAAGAGCTTCAATCTATAATAAAGACTTAAATTACTTAAAGTTCTTGAAATTTGGTTAAACTCATTTATTTTTTTAAATCTTCAATAGTTTTACTTTTTTGCAATAAATCCAATTCTAATTATTTAATATAGATTTATAATTTTTTAACATTCTATTTTTATTAAGCATTATCAATATTCAAGCCTATTTTAGGCTATCAAATTAAAGAATTAAGTTTACTTAACATTAATTCAATTTAATTTTATACATTTTTATTTCTTCTTCTTTTTGATGAATCTAAAACTGCAATTATGTATTCTCAAATAATAAACGTTCTTCTTCACTTATTTTTGAAGAAGAATAAATAGTATTTGATAATTTAATAGAATGACTACGACATTTAGGAGTGTCAATACTTAAATTAAGTAACTTAAATGGACGACGAATATTGAACATTATTTTAATATACAAATTTAATTATTAATATATGCAATCATCAATTTAATCTGATTTCATAATAACCACTCTTTGCAATATTCCTAGCTTTTTTAGTCAACACTTTAGCTCCATTTCTAACTTCAACTTTATCAATTTTAGTTTATGATGGACTAAATGTATTGACAACAAATTTCAATTGAACCAAGAAGTTACCCTATTGTATAATATTAAATTAATCTTCAGTTGATGTAAAGGTTACAGCCAATCTAATGGAAGAATCAATTTCTAATTTACCAATTCTCCAAAGAATTGCCTAAATTATATGATAGAATATCTACATTTTCTAATTGTTGTAATGTTCCCTAAGCCATTTCTGTTTCTCCAAGAGTTAAACCAGTTGGTACTGTTAATTTAGTATGAAATTCATCTACTACATATGATTAACCTCTAACTGGTCTATTTTTAAGTAGGAATTCAATTTTAACTTAATTATTTATGAATTAGAGTTTTGGAATGAATTCAAAAGGAGGTCTAATTGATATACCTTTAATGTTATAATAAAAAATGGTTGTAGTTCCAGATGGTGGAACAAATGCTAAGACTCTTTCTCTTTCATAAGTATCTATTTTTTAGAGTAAACATTCATGAACTGTATAATCATTAAATTGATTGGTTTAATTGAGGAATACAAATAATTCAGGAACTCCTGATAGGTTACAATCTACTTTGATTTCTCCATTGATCTCTTCAATTAAAATTCTTCCATTCTTATCAAATACACAATCTAAGAATTCAATCACATCAAAGTAAACTTCTTCTTCTCCCTTAATCTCAGGAAGTCGATATTGACTATGTTCTCTTATATCAGCTTGACCATCTATGTATTTCTCCAATAAGGACACAGTTTCTTTTTATACATTTTATCTGCCTATAATTTTTTCTTCTATTTTTTCAATAATTCCTCCTGGTTTTACAATACTTTCAAGCACGTGCTTTTATGTAATTTAGGGATAACCATAATCAAATACAGAATCAAGCATGATGCCTATTGAATGCAAATTCTACTTGAGCTTCTCAGAGGATTCATTAGGAAAAGAAGCCTTAAGGACATCAAGAATGAGAAAGAGTGTTGCAAATAATTGTAATACAGGAATCTCTTCTGTTACTATTGCACCTATAATAATATCTGAGAAGGTAACAAATGGGTATAGGGCATCCTTAATTCTAATAATTGGATATTCCTTATCCTAAACAATACTCAACATCACAAAATTACAGCATTGGTCCCTCTGAAGAATTACACAAATTAAGTGTAAAATTCAGGTAAGGTGTCTTTGCGCTTGAGACCCTTAAATATTCTATGAGCCAATATTTCACTAAGTATATCATAGATGTATACCCATTTTGAGAAAGTATAAAAATTGTATCAATAGACATTTGTAATATAAACTTATTTATTATTAATTATTAATATAGATGAAATTGAAATTATTTATATTAAAAATTTTATTTATTAAATTAAAATGGATAACCAAAAAATTATCAGATGGATATGTCCAGATCCTAATTGTAATTTGGGAAGAGTTGTAGATACTGTTCCTGAATTATTATTACATTCAAAATAACAACATAAATTAATTAAGTTTGATAAATTTAGAGAAATGATTATTAGTGTTTTTGATGATAGTAATCTCTCTCGTTTATAAAATGAATAACATTATCTAGGGATCATAAACAATATTTAAAATCTTATCACTTTTCTAAAAGAATCATTGCAAAATTTTGAAAAGACTTTTAAATAGTAAATTTTGTACACCTAAAAATTCTAGAAAATTAGATGATTTCTATGAACAAATACATCCTCGTAAGATGTTTATTGAAGTCACTTAAGCTATCATGAAACAGGAAGATATAGATAAAGAAATATTGACTATATATTTGGATAATTACATTAAGAAATTTGATATTAGTTAGAAAACTTAAGAAAAGCTTGATAAATTATAAAGTTAAATAGATAACTTTTGTTAATCACAATAATCAGATTTAATAAGTTTATTTGAAAGACAATTATAGATTCGTGAAACAGCTAATGTTGTCAAAGTATAACAAGAAATAATTCCTCTAGAATATATTTAATAACAAATTTATTAATTTGATATCAATAAATCAAGCAAAGAAATCATATTTACAGATAATTTGAAAACTGCAAAAGCAAAAGACACTAAATGTTTTGTTTACTTTAAAGGTGTTTAAGAATAAAAAAAAGTCTTTATGTAAGTTGAATTGACAGTATTAAATGATGATGATTATATTTTCAATATAGGTGTTGTTAATGCAAATCATAATTTAAATGATTATGAAGGTTGCTACCTATTAACATAGACAGGAACTTTTCTATTAGAAAGAGAAACTTTATAATCTAAACTTAAAGTAAAGAATGGTTCAAAAATTAAAGTAAGATATGCTAAAAAACATCCTAAAAAATTATTCTTCTAGGTTGATAATAATTTAAATGTAAAATTATACTATAAAATATTTAGGATAAAATTTAGTTGAATAATGAACTCCTTGTATTTTATTTCATAATTATTATTAAAAATGCTGAGGTTTAATTATAATTAAAGTGATATAATACATAATTATTTATAATATGAAATAAAATTTAATAATATCTCATATTATTAATTATTTTTATTTATAAATACTCTTTATATATATATATATTTATATATAATATCAATAGAATAGTATCATATACAATATTTTATATATGTGGACTAAAGTTACTGAATCTTGTCAAAAAAAGAATGATATCAAATTTTAAAGATATATTATTTGAGACTAAAGTTCTGATTAGAAATTCAAAAAAGTTAAAAAACCGAAAATGGAGTAGAAAAAGAAGATTAAAAAGCTTGACTATTTTATAATTTAAAACAATTTTAAAACAGCATCATTAAAACTCCTTAAATGCAGATTCAAAAATATCATCTTGATAAATATATCTCAATGATCCTTAACAAAAGAGCCTATTTGAATTAAGGTACCTCCAATTCGAATATTTTAAACTATACTTAAAATTCTAAAACTAATGATCAAAACATAGCAATATCTATATATTTGGAACATGTTACAGATCATAGATAGATATTAGCCGAACAATGGATCCTATGTCTTAAAAATTATTAAGTCACGAATTAGCAATGCGGTAAATTTTGTCAATTAGAAAATTTTTCACTTTGCTGTCTGCTTACAAAGAGTCCATTATATTAGAATTTTATTGTTAAATAATCAAGTTTGAAAAATTACTAACTTTAAATTATAATTGATCACAATGGGAAAAACTAGAATTTAGAATTATATAAATGTTATCATTTAAACATGCAACAGAATCTTGGAATAATAGCTAGGTTTCATTAACATCTTAATTTGACTTAAGAGATAAATAAGTAGCGATCCTTATCATTTTAAGAGTAAACAGTGATACCTAAACAAAATAACAAACTAACAAGATTTAATTCAGAATAAATATAATCTCCAGAAAAAAAAGTTTTTATGTACATTTTTGAAGAAGATGTAACATTTTTGATAGATGAAACTCAAGTTGAAAGAGTTATGAGTTAAAATTCAGATTCAGATTTTATGATACAAACTATTGATGATGAAACTGATGTAACTGAATGGCAAGTTATAGATCATAAATAATTATTGAGTAAAAATTAAAAGAAAATGCTTGATGATTTGAAATAGATTAGAAATCACTTTAATTTTAAATCTAAGCATTCTCATTAAATATAGATGACAATAGGATTCATCTAATAATGAAAGAGCTTGATTGCTTAATATTTATAATCATAATAACTAATATTAGGTTATTATTAATTTATTCTTTTTATTTATATGTATTTTTGTCAAATTTATAATTTTATGTATTTAAATATCTTTTCAAAAGCAAACAAAAAAAACAATATGTTAGTTTGATTTAATGTATTTTTTAATGATTGTTAATTAAATTGATTTATCAGAATTTCAATCCTACTTATAAAAATTCGTTTTTGGTTTTTCATATATCTTCAAATAATACTTTTTTTCTTTTATTAAATGGTCAAATCAAGAGGAAGGATGTAGATTAAGTGTTTGGATAGTTGAAGTACTTTAAAAATGGTGTATTAAGTATCATTAATTAATGGTTGATAATGGGAAAAATTCGTTTTTATGTGATTGATAATAAAATAAATGAAATCTATTATTCTGATTGCCCTCATTGCTGTGGCCTTCACAGCTAGAGTCTAAGAGAGAAACATGGCCAAAGTTTAAGCTGATTTGGCTAAAAGCAATTATGGAAAGGCTTTGCTCCATTTGGTTGAGTTACATTCAATGGCTGGAGGACCAGTTTAAGAATTGATTGATGCTATTGAAGAACTCATCAATGATTTAGAAGAAGAGTTAGAAGAATTAGAATTCAATTTCTAAATAAGAACAAACGAACACAATGCCTTAGTTGTTTCATTAGAATAAGATATCTAAGATGCTGTCATTGGTAATATATAATATATGAATATTTTAGATGTTAACAATACATAAGATACTTTAGATAATCTTTTATATCCAAGAAGAGCTTAAATTTAAGATAAAATTGACTCTGTTCTTGGTTATCAAGAAGACAACAGAAAGAATTATGATGAGGCTATCTTAGTTAGAGAATAAGAACATGAAGCCTTTGAAGCATAAGTTGCTGAATTGAATGATGCTACAGCTTCAGTTGATGATGCATTGGCTCTCCTTGCTTCACTTACAAATCCATCCTTATTGTAAATCAGAAGATTCTAAAATACACTTAAAAATATTGAAAATAAGATCAGATCAAGATCCAGAATGGCTCCAATGATTAAGGCTTTGATTAGTTTAGCATCAAATCAAAACTTCTCCAACTAAGACGTATTGAAGAACATTGTTGATGCTCTTAATGATTTCAGAAATGCTGTTGTTGATTAAATTAATGATTTGACAGCATAAGAAGCCTAAGATGTAGTTGATCATGAAGCTTACCTTGAATAATTAGATGATGAACATCGTGAATTCTAAAGATAAATTGATAGAGCAACAGTAGATTTGACTGCTACTAATGGTAAATACATTTGATTTATTTTTCTATAGAGAAAATTGATTCAATGGTTGAATTCAGAGACTAAAGAGCTGCTGATTAAAAATAATACACAGCTGAATTAGAATTAGAGAATAATACCTATGCTGAAGAAACTGATATTTACACTAATACCAAGAACGAATTTACCAGAGAATTAGGAGTAAGTGAGTAAGCTTTGGCACTTGTAAAGAGTGTTGACTTCTCAAACATCAAAGTTTGATAATCATCCATCATATAATAAATATCATAAATTTTAATAGCTATATATATATATATATCTATTCATATGAAGGCTTTACTAAGATGAACAGATTACATCTTGATGGGTTAGATATTATTGATATGCATGTAGTCCATAAATTATTTAGGCAAATGATCAAGAACAGCTGAACTCATTTATTCAATGTCATTTTTATAATCTTGGAATGATACAAATTGAATGATATCTCTAACATTCATATCAGATTTTGAGTGTTTTTTAAGGAACATTGGATCATCAAACTATTTCATGTATTTGAAATTCTCATCTCCTACTCCAATTATAATTATTGACATAGGAAGAGATTAGCATTCAAGTAGTACTTTTATGGCATCATCTCTAAAGACTTTATGAATTTATATTACTGATCTTCAATTTAACCATCAGTTAAAATCATGGCTACTGTGTATGTATTTTTTTAAGCATTTTCCTTTGCAAATTATAGAGCTTTATTTAGCACATTTGCAATAAAGGTTGGACCTGAAAATACTATATTTGGAACTGCTTCAATATAGGCTTACAGAATTCCTTCCATATCATTACAAAAAGGTTTATCTTTATTTCCATTCAAAGGGAAACAATCATCCATTGTAGATTTTGTATATGTTGGCAATTTAGGTGTTCCTCCAAATCCATATACAGGAACTTATTTATCATAATCAAATGCAATAATTCCACCTCCAATATCTTTTATTGCTTATTAATAATAATTTAATTTATGTGGATCTATTTTATGCAAAGAATCAGGTTTGGTAATGGGTTAATTTGAAAAAGTAAAGTCAATTCCTAATATAATTAATTTAATTGAATACCAATTGATAATGACATTTACCATCCACCCATTAAATAATCTAAAAAAGTAGGTTCTTTTGGTTATTCTTAAACAATTTCTTTTTTTTCCTCTTTAGGTTCTACAATGATTAATTCTAATAATTTCAATGTGCCAGCATTTTTTCCTTTAGGAGTCAATAAAGGAAATTCAGTTCTTTTGTTAATTTTGATTTCGTCATAATTAATTGTTACATGTCCAATCTATATTTATATTTGATCATACCTCTTCAGATCCCATTTTATCATAATCCATGACTTCGACATATAGATTTTTAGAATATTTGATGAGCTCATTCTCTGTTGTTTCCCAACACATCCAATTTGGATTTAAATTGTTTTTAATTACTTCAGTTTTATGAATCAGCTCTGTTTATTATCCATTAATCCTATAAAACTTAGCAAATGGATCTGATTTGGTGAAGAAATCAAGGTCAAGTAATTTAACACCTATATTAATTGTGATTATTTAAATACCTCCCCAACGCCATTTAATTTCTGTTACTTTATGTCCTTATTCTTTTTAACCTATAATTTAAGGTCCTTTTCGGGCTACATGAATTATGATGTTGCCTACAATTTAATCTCCTCTCATCAAATTTAATTGACTTAAGGAATTCCTTGCTCCCATTAATTTTGCCAAGGGTTATTTGCAAATACCCACAATAGAAGTAGAAGAATTCTAACTCACAAGTTGGCTTGCTAATTCTTAATCTGCATCAATCATTTAGAAGACAAGTTTTTATCTCTTATTAAACTTATACATGATAGGAATGGGTTATTTGAAGTCAGGATCAAGTGTAGAACGAGAGACTTCAGTTTCTCCTATGAAATCGTCCTTTGAATAGACTCTACATCTGAAATCTTGGATGTTGGAATTACCCAAGTTTTATAATCGTCTTGCTGAGATATATAGATAGACCAGTTCTCCAGGGGATTGGTGAATGAGAATATCCATGTTATTTTTATTATTATCGAGGTTATAATTGAAATTAGGATTAGTATTACAAAATAATAATATTTCATTTTAGATACGTAACATTGAAAATAATAACTATTATGAATTACAAATGAGATGGCAACAATCTTTAATGATAATCATTAAAAAATATAAACACACATGTTAACATTTCAATTACATTATCAACTTCGATTTGGTGATGCAATTTATATCTCTGGTGATTCTGACTACTATGGTAATTGGTCTCTGCATCATGCTAAACGAATGAAATGGAATCAAGTAAGTCAAATCTCTTATATAGGGACACATTTGGACTATCGATATCCCCATTCATGATTTCCAATACAAATACTTTGTCTCATCTTTTAATTAGCCAAGCAATGTAGAATGGGAATTTGGCCCCAATCGTCTTATGAGAACAACAGAACCTTCACGTAAATCCTTTATTTAATCTTAAAAGGCATAGCTGATGTATGGAATCATAGAAAAGTGATGTTCCAGTGCTATAATCCTCAACAATATCCAATGTTTATTTCTGGATCATCTTTAGATCTTGGTAAGAATACTAGGCGAGTTAATATGAAACAAAAATAAGATATATCTTATAAAAAAATACTTGCCAATGTTATTGAAGATAAAGTAATACATTATCAATTCCATTTGAAAACTCAAAAATATTACTCTAGTTCTATGTTGAGTTTATATCTTGATACTTCAATCTCATAAAGCCATAATCTTGACTTTTCATATAAGAACTATATAATAGCTTTTTGTACAGGAATGGAAAAGATTAAGAGATCAATCTATTAATTAGATAATAATATATGTTACGGTTATGTTCCAAACGATGAAACTGATTTTAATTTGTTAAAGGATGCTAATCTTCATACAATTGTAGAGTTCTCAAATTAGGCTGAATAGCCAGCCCATTCTGTTAAATTAGGAGAGTTCAATTATCTTACTGTCAATTTTCGATCCAATATGAATGAAAACTGTATCTCTAAACTTTGTTCCTTAATTCAATTATTAATTTCTAAATATCATGTAAATGTCAAATTAATTAATAGGTTATCTATGTATGTAACAACTCATTATCTCATGTTAGAAAATATCTCTAAGTATACAAAAGTCAAAGAATATCTAAATGAAAGGAACTACTTCTAGTTAATGTTTATAAAAAGTGAGTTTTTTTTTAAATTAATATTTATAATATATTATTAGTTAATAATACTTATTTAATCAGTGCATAGTCATTTTAATACAAAAGTTAGAATACTTAATTATTATAAAGAATAGAATGATAATAATAATTATGAAATTATATTCATAAAAATATATTAAATCCTATATATAAAGTGATCTGAAGATATTTTTTGATTATTTCTTAGTATGTTAGAGGAACAAGTAGAACAACAGAAAATTAAAAATAAATATTTAAAAAGACTTTTGAATATAAATTGGTATTCATGATATAGGTTAATTAATAGAATAGGAAGGAAAATGAAAGTTTATTTAAGGTTTGAATACAAAAGCAAATAAAAAGTAATGTATTAAATTATCTTTGAGATTAAGTTCATTTTATGATAAAAAAGAAGAGTTGATTTATTATGGATTATAATTGAACCTATCTATATGATAGTATTACATTTAACAATTGTTCTCATCCTTTACTTAAGATTATTATATAATATATAAATATATTTATTTTTGGAATATATGATGAATTTTATAATTTATTTTCTAAGAAGCATTCAGGAATATACTTAATAAATATTGAAAATAAACTAAAACATTAAAATCAAATAAGAAATAATTTTTCAAAGTTCGTTCAGATGAAAAACCTTCTTTGATTGGGTACAATTTAAAACTCTTTAGGGAGTCTCTTATTTGATTTGGTCATTGGCTAACTTTAGATTGTTCTGGTATCATTCACTTAGTCTGTGTTACAAAAAGTGAATCCTAGAGGGGAATTGGTTTTCTTTAATTCACTTTTTTTTCTAGATCATCTAGTTTGAAAATATTACTGCTCTGTAGAAGAATATTTATTGATATTTCTTTCTGTGTTAGATGTATTGGCTCTCTATAAACATACAGGTTTGTTTGTAGTTAAGAGTTTGGTGATTATTTTGTCTTTATCTGAATTTTGTTTTTAAAGTTGTAAATTCTCTTGAATGAGGAATTGAATGAACTGAGATTGATGAGGTTCAACTGCTGTAATTATATATTAAAAATATATACATTTCTTATCTCCCTCCGAAATGAAAGATGGATTTGGAGTTGAAAAGCTATCTTAAAATTTGAAACTTTATTGTTTGGAGGAAGCAGTAGTCTAAATCAAATAAATTAGTCTCATTAATTTACCTTATCATTAGAGGAAATGGTCTTTTAGGAACACTTGGAGCTAGGAGGTTTATCTGACTTACACAATTATGCAACTGACTTCTTGTCTAAAGTTATCTTTAAATTTGGTTTTTTCGAATTCTAAGATTTCATGTTAACAAGAAGCAAAAATAAATAAATATCTTAATTATTTAAACAATCCTTTTGATCAATTTATATGTTCTTAAAAAACTTATTTCTAATTAATCATAACAAACATATTTTATAGGGAAAGTCTTACTTATTCATAATAGATAATATGAATTTATATTAGATGGATAATAAGATTTTCATTTTATAGAATTCTTGTTAACATTTTGTATGCTTTTACTTTATAAAAATTAATATGTGATAAATAATTATAACAATAAATATGATAAAGTATAAATTATACTCATTCTTAAACTTCATTTTTGGATTGAGACTTAAATTAAACAGTTTAAATCATTTTTATAATATTAATTAAATGACAAGACACTCCTAGATTATCATCAATCATAAAACCATATCCTCAGTTGATGATATTCCAGGTTTAACTCTATAAGAGAAGCTATTTAAAGGGGGATGTGGTACTATTTTCAAAGGTGTAGATCATACTACAAAATAAGAAGTTGCCATCAAATACTCTAAGTTTGACTTATCTAATGAGTATAAAATTATGAAAAAGTTATCACATGTCCCAGGAATTCCTAAAGTATACTCTTTGGGAGACTCAGGAAAATCTACATATTTAAGCATGGAATATTTAAATACAGATTTGCATAGCTTAAAGGCTAAATTGAAACAACTATCTTTAAAGTGCATATGCTTTGTTGCAATTAAAGTATTAGAAATATTGAAAGAAGTCCATACTTTGAATATTGTACATAGAGATATTAAGCCTACAAATCTAATGATTAAATCTCTTGAAGGTTTTTTTCTATTTTAATGATTCTTAGATTCATAAATATTTCTGATTGATTTTGGAATAGCCAAAGAAGTTGATTAGTTTATCTATTCGAAAGAAGTAGAAGGGACTTAATTATATGATCCTTTATAAGTACATAAAAGATTGCCATATAGATTTATTGATGATATTGAAATGCTTGGTTATACACTTGTTTTTCTATTTAAAGGTAATATGGATTATTAATCTTAGGATATCTTCCTTGGATGAAATATCCTAATACTATGTTATATAATGATGAAGTGATGAGACATAAGGAATAATATCTTAGTTCTAAAATAATGAGCAGACTTCCATTTGCTGAACTCTTTGGGTACATAAAATGGAATCAAAATAATAATAAACCAGATCATGATTTTTTGATTTCATTGTTTAAGAAGATTTTGACAGAGAATAAAATGTAAGAGAACTATTTGTATGATTGGACTGAAAATACTACTCCACTTGCATCTTCCAAGACAAAAACTACTATCAGTTTCTTCAATTACTTTTGTGATGAAATTGAGCAACATTATACAGGTAAATACTATTAATATATAATTGTAAGATTTAAGTGATGATGAATAAAACCATAGTGTTTTTACTTTGACATAATAGAAATATAAATTCTTTAAAAAAGAATGATATAATTTGAATATATATATTTAAGTTAGCAATTAAAAAATGAGACTTATTATTTATATAACACTCTTATAGAGTATAACATTTATATATATAAAGATTAAATTTAATATAAACATTTTTTTAAATGAGCACTTCCAAAAAATCCTTTGTGAAATGTAAATTTTAGTTACTTATTTAAAAGTACTTAAGTCAATTGATTTGTTTGGATAGAATATTCTTCTCAATCTCAATGGAGAAGATTAATATAAAACAGGATGTGGAGGTTTAATGACTTTAGTGATATTGGTAATCGTTGTGTTATTCTTTTAATCCAACTTAAAAGATTTCATCAACAAAGTAAACATTCAAAGTGAGAGTAATCAAGTCTTTGAAGATGAGCCAGATTAAATATATTTAAATGATACTAACTTTATGTTTGCAGTAGCTATTGAATAAGCAAATTTCAATTCCAATCCTTTTTTCAATATCACAATGGTATCAAGGTATCTTAATTTATAATTTAGACAATACGAACGATTGGGTAATGGATCACTTTCTAAGTAGGAAACCTTAATTGATCTTGTTCCATGTTCTGTTTAAAGATTTCAAGAGATCTTTAATCCTTTTGGACAAAATTTTACATAACAATATAATGAGATTGGTTTCGATACTTGGTTATGTCCATAGTATTTAATAACATTATTATTATTATTAGAATGAACTATTCATTTTCACTAAAAGGAAGGTATTCAAATAAATTTTTTGATTTTGTAAAAATAACTGTTAGTCAATGTAGTAACAAATCTATGACAAATTCTTTTTATTCTTGGTAACCTATTTGTGCATCAAATGAAGAAATTGAGTAATGGCTTATGTAATAAAGATAATATAGAATTAAAATGTATTAAGTCAAATTTATTTAGATTTATTACAAATCAAATGATTAGACCTTTAAAAGGGGATGATTATGTTCAATCATTTATGGATGATGAATTATTTTTCTCTTTTATTCCTAGAGTAGTAGGAAAGGAAGCTGATATATTCTTTACTAAATATCTTATGAAAACTGATAATAATTTATTACCAACTGGAGATGCTTTTGATACAAAAGAATTATTTGCCAAAGAATCTGGAGATTATAGAGATTAAAATAGTTATGCAAGTGAAACATATGCATCTATCTATCTTAGAAGATCACCTTATACAACATATATTTAGAGATCATATTAAAAATTAGATAAACTCCTTTCAATTTTAGGAGGATTTGCTAATATTGTTTTTGTTGTTTTAGGATTTTTTGTAGCCATATATAATAAATAATTATGTAAAATAAATTTATATAATTTATATTAGATTTAATTGAATTGGCCAATTAAATTTATGACTTTAATTCTAAATAAGAAAATTAAGAGAAATATGAAAGACAAAGATTGGTTTAAGATATTACTTAATTGAAATCTCAACCTATGGTTTTGAATAGATGTAGTCCTATTTCATCTATCAATCCAGCATAAGCTTCATTAGGTAAGAATTTGAAAATGTCCTTTCGATAAACTTTCTCATAAAAATTAGATTATATTTCTGGAATTCAAACTCATAAAGATGAATCATATAAAATGGTATTAAGTAGTCATCGATAACCTATTGGAGATAAGGAAGTTGAATGGTAAAGTGCAGATGCTATTGATATATAAAATAATCATTTAATAGATGTATCTGAAATTGTAAAAGAGAATGCAATGTAATATTAAGAACCAAAAGATAAGACTGATATATCAAAGAAAAAATCTATCAAATAAATTCAATAAAGTATAATTAGTAAATTAGGTCATCGTAATAGAAAAGAATATTTGACTAAGTAAATTTAAGTTATGCTTGATCGAAGTAGACCTATTGTTTTTACTTTTAAATTTTTATTACATTAAATATTTTGTGGCAAATTCTTTCAGGATCACAATTCAATTTTATTAAATAAGGCTATGTATGAAATTTAATTAAAAATAGTAATAAAATTAATTCAGATATAGACATTTGTGTATTGATTGATAAAGTAAAGGAAATTGAATTAATTAAAGAATTATTATTAAATAAAGATCAAAAGATATTGTTTAATTTTGCTCCAAAAGAAGTTATCTCTATTGAAAATGATAGATAATAATCTGGAAGAAGAGAGAATAAGTATTTAATTAAATTAACATAGACGACAATATACAAAAACACTTGGAGTTTAATTTGAAGATGTGGCCAAAATGATGTTAGATAAAAAGTTTAAAAAAGGTTAATTTGTCACTCCTGGAATGCAAATCTATTATAAACTATATTCAGCATATGAAAGGGTAGCATTATCAGATGAAAAAAATAATCCATTTAACAAAGTTTTGATTGAGAAACTAGGTTAAGAAGTTAAAGATGTATTTGACATTTCCAATTACATTCAAGGAGATTAAAATACTAGATTTATTGATAAACTTAAAAAGAAGTAAATAAACTAATAAGAAGAAGAATAACCAATTGGAATAATAAGTATGGAATACAGAGATTAGAATTAATCTATGATTAAATGAATTCTCATTTTTATTTTATAGTTACTCCTTTATTAATTGATAAATAATATCAATACATATATATATATATTTTCAATAATGTAACAATTATTAAAATGTTGAAAAAATAGATTTATTTTATTTTCATTATGAATCTACTTTATGTTAACTTATATAATAAAATAAAATTAAAATAATCGAATAGATGATTTATTTTTTATTTATGAAATATCTTAAATGATTATAAATAAATATTTAATAGCATTAATATTAATATTAATATTATTATAATTAAAAATTAATTATTTTAAAATTTTATGCAGAATTTAGGTTTAATTAATTTTTTTTCCTTATGTATTCATTATTTATATATAAAGCTTATTAATTAAATTCCACATTTTAATAAAATAAAATGACTAAAGTTTAATTCCTTTTAACTTAAATGATCATCCTAGCATACTCATGCTCCTATCTTAATAACAATACAATCTTCCTCACAGGTACTTTATAAGAAGTAATTAATGTTCCACTTTCATCTATATTTCATCATGATGATTATGAAAGAATTACCTTAAAGCAACCTAATAAATACTTAACAATAGAAACTCCAATATCTAAATATTCAGAAACACCCAATAACGCAATCTCAAACTCAAAAACAATTTCTTAAAAACTCTAGAAATCCACTTTGAGTCGTGATCCACTTAATCACATAACAATATTAGTAGTTGTTAATGGAATTTACTATATTGAGTCTAATATAGGATATTACTAAAATCTACCTGTTATAACATCGATAAATTAATGCAGAACAAAAACTTAATCTATCTGTTATGATGTCTTATTAATAGATAAATTGACTATCGCAGAATGTGAAGATGAACAGAAAAATAGCTATTTGATTATAATAAATTCAACAAAGACAAGTTATCTTGATATTGATAAACCAATCTCTGATTTTAGAAAAATAGACTAAATTGACAATTATATGTTTAGAGGAACTGCAAATAAAATTTATATATATATTGAAGAAGAAAATAATTTAAAGTATTTAAATACGTTAGATGAAAACACGTTAAAAGAACTCTTAAAAAAAGATTCTTTTAAATTGTTAATCAAGGATTTTCAAATTCATACAAATGGATAACTTAGTATAATGAATGCTTATGGTGAAATTATTATTGTTTAATACCAAAATAACTCATGGAATTTAATCAAAATAATTGAAACTAAATTAAATGATGTCTAAGGGTATGATTATAATATCTACACCAATACTTATGGTATAATATCAAAAAATAAAATCTTGTATTAAAATAGGGATTAAGAACAGTAAATAGCAGATATCTAAAACTAAGATGTTTTATATAAAATATATATAACTAAAAAAAATATACTCTTATTTTATAATAATNCATTATTTATATATAAAGCTTATTAATTAAATTCCACATTTTAATAAAATAAAATGACTAAAGTTTAATTCCTTTTAACTTAAATGATCATCCTAGCATACTCATGCTCCTATCTTAATAACAATACAATCTTCCTCACAGGTACTTTATAAGAAGTAATTAATGTTCCACTTTCATCTATATTTCATCATGATGATTATGAAAGAATTACCTTAAAGCAACCTAATAAATACTTAACAATAGAAACTCCAATATCTAAATATTCAGAAACACCCAATAACGCAATCTCAAACTCAAAAACAATTTCTTAAAAACTCTAGAAATCCACTTTGAGTCGTGATCCACTTAATCACATAACAATATTAGTAGTTGTTAATGGAATTTACTATATTGAGTCTAATATAGGATATTACTAAAATCTACCTGTTATAACATCGATAAATTAATGCAGAACAAAAACTTAATCTATCTGTTATGATGTCTTATTAATAGATAAATTGACTATCGCAGAATGTGAAGATGAACAGAAAAATAGCTATTTGATTATAATAAATTCAACAAAGACAAGTTATCTTGATATTGATAAACCAATCTCTGATTTTAGAAAAATAGACTAAATTGACAATTATATGTTTAGAGGAACTGCAAATAAAATTTATATATATATTGAAGAAGAAAATAATTTAAAGTATTTAAATACGTTAGATGAAAACACGTTAAAAGAACTCTTAAAAAAAGATTCTTTTAAATTGTTAATCAAGGATTTTCAAATTCATACAAATGGATAACTTAGTATAATGAATGCTTATGGTGAAATTATTATTGTTTAATACCAAAATAACTCATGGAATTTAATCAAAATAATTGAAACTAAATTAAATGATGTCTAAGGGTATGATTATAATATCTACACCAATACTTATGGTATAATATCAAAAAATAAAATCTTGTATTAAAATAGGGATTAAGAACAGTAAATAGCAGATATCTAAAACTAAGATGTTTTATATAAAATATATATAACTAAAAAAAATATACTCTTATTTTATAATAATACAATAACATTATTAAATCAAAAATTAGAAAAAATATACAATCTCAAATTTGATGATGAGGAAATTTTTATAAATACAAATCCAAATGCAGAAGGTTTTATATTTATATCAAAAACTAGAGTGGCTGCTTATGCAATAAATGATAATTATTCTTTATAATTATCATTAATTTCTACAATTAGTGATAATTATTAAAAGGCCACTTTAATTTAAGAGTCTTATCCAAAAAATTGTGAAATAATTGTATTTTATAAAACTGAAGATTATGGATATTCGAAGATTTTATAATCTTAATATTCTTAAGGTTTGATAGCAGGTGGTATTAATACAGATAGTAATGAAATCAATATAAGACCTATATTTTAAGGTTCTAATTTAAAATATCAATTTCAGGCTAATAGTTTAATTAAAATTGAAATTGATAAACATAAAATTTTTTAGATTAATGGTATTTCTGAGAATCAAGAATTAGGGTATCGAAAAATATTGAAAGGAAATGGAGAAAAGATATTTTATCTTATTTAAGAAGATGCTGATCTATAAATGAAAGGTTATTTTTGTGTAGGTAATATTGAACTAAGTTGTAAAGTTCTTTTTACAAAAGATAATTTTAAAAAGTTATAGAATTCATTTGAATAATTATGGTGGTCTAATAATGAATCATTATTCTTTGCAACATTTCAAGAGAAAATTATTACAATTTATAGTTTATCAACTGAAACAAATAATTTTGAAATTTTAACTACAATTAATTTAGAAAGTAATGTAAAATAAATAGTAACAGATGGTTTTCATTTATTTGTATTAATTGAATAATAAATAAAAATTTATGAAATCACAATTTCAGATAAATTTAAATTAATAAATACTTTTGATATTGTTGCTCAAAAAATCTATGCATCATAATATGTAAAAAATTAATTATTTATTGAATAAGAATTTAATTTATATTTGTATGATATTGAATATGATTTATAAACTCTTATTTGGTATGATACTATTTAATTTGAATAATCAGAATCAAATTTAGCTATTTTTAAAAATCATTTTTTGAGATTTACTAAACCAATCAATAAGGATGAATATATTGTGACAGTCTTTAATTATGCAAATAAAAGAAATATATATATGGAGAAACAAATATTATTTAATTATTATTCTAATATTAAATTATCTACACTTGAGTATTCATTTGAGAGAAATCTATTTTATATTCATGGATATAATAAGTAAAGTTTAAGCTAAGTTATTTTAGTTTATAAGATTACATCAAATAGTTTAGATACATTATTTTATTTAATTAATATAAGTACTACAACCATATTCACAGTAGCAGATACCTATGTGCTTAATACAGATATTGTGAATAAATAGATAGAAAATTATTACATTACTGGTGATCTTTTAATTACAAGCAAATTAAATCAAAATTATTAATAAATATCATATACAAGATAGATCTAATTAGATTTTGAAGTTACTAATGATTTATCAAATAAACTTGTTTAATCAATTTTTATAAATAGTGTAAATAGAGGTGACAAAATTTTAAAGTTAAGTGATAAAATTAATTTAGAATATTAAAAGAATAATGATACTATAAAATGTGTATATTTAGGTTAAGATTGGTATTCAGGTTAAGTTTTTGATATTGAAATTGTAAACTAGTCAACAAAGATTAAATTTAATCCACCTTTAACTAAAGAAGAAGAAATATTGGAATTTAGTCCATAAATATAAGAACTTAACAGTAGTAGATTAGTATAATTAATGTCAAATAAACTTAATCTTGTAAAAAAAGAGGATTTTACATATAGAGAATTTAAATTAGATTAAGCTTATTAATTTACAGATATTTTATTGATTGTAGGAGAAAATATATATGTTTAAGCTGAAACATAAGAATCTATTTGGTTAAGAATTATTTAATGTAAGGATTATAAAGATTGTATTTTATTGGATAATAAATTAAAAGTTTCATAACATATAAAAAAGGTTTTTCTTCACTAAAATAATTTCTTTTTATATGATGGAAAATAGATTCAAGTTTATGATACAAAAGGAGATCAAACAAATTTAGAATAGTTTGAATTATTTTAAAGTTTCCCTTAGTATATTTACATTAAGTAAATGGAATTTAATCATTTATAAGGAAATGTGTATTAATTTATTTCAGTTGATAATTGGGGTAATCCTGAATTCTAAATGAGAGAAATTAGTAGAACATCAACAAAAAATTATTTTGTTAGATATATAATTGATTCATTAATTAATGAATAAAAGATAAATTTATAAGAAATTTAATTATCAGCTGGATTTGTTTTAAGAAAAAATGAGATTACTATAATCTTTAAGAATAGTGCATCATATTCTTTTTATTATGAAATGGATTGTTCAAGAAATGAATTATGTGAAATAGCTAAGTTTAAATTTAATGGATTATATTAATAATATAAAGATTGGCAATTACATGATTTTTATCCTTCATTTTAATCAAATGAAAATATTCTATTATTAATTTATAATGCCAATACTCATTATGAATTGTTGATATATGATATGGAAACACCAAGTAATAATACTAAACCTAAAAATGTTATAGCACGTTTACCATCTCCTGAAAAGAATTTAGAATTAAATTCTTAAATTGTGTCCTTCATTTATACTTTTAATGGTAACTTACATTTATTAACATCAACACAAAATTAAATCAAATTATAACATTATTCATTGTTAAGATCATATTAATTATGTACAGAAGAAATTACTTTTGAAGATTCAATGAATTTTAAGATATCTAATACAGATCAATAGATTTCAATAGAAGAAGAGATAACAATAAAAGAATATGTACCTCCTACTCCTGAAGATAAGGGAACATTTCCTATTTGGGCTATTATAGTAATAATTCTTGTTGTACTTTTGATTGGAGGAGGAATATATATCTATTATAGATAGAAAACAAATAAAAAATAGAATACTAATCTATTATTGGATAGTTGATAAATCAATCAATTTATTATATATATATATATAAAATTTAATTAGACATTCTAAATTGTTATATGATATTTCTTATTAATTAACTTTATATATATATATATTGGTAATTATATTGATATATACTTAATTAATTATTTTGATTCAATATAAAAAATTTTACTATCTTTTATTTGACTCAATATAGGATCAAAACATATAGATGTTAAGATATATTTAATAATAAATTTTAAAAAATATTAATTATATTTATATAATCTTCTAAATGAAGAATTAATTGTAATTATAATAAATTCATTTTTAAAAAAACTTACCTTAACTTAAATCTATTCCATAAATATCCTTATATATTTCTTAAATTGATTTATCTAATGTAGAGATTAAATGTCCTTATCCTTTATGAATTGTACTAATTTTAGGATTCTTACCGCGTATGACATTACACTTTTCTAAAACAGATTTAGATGTCTCAATAGGATTAAAGGTCTCTAATTCATTACCTTATTTAATTTTATTATCTTTTTATTCAATTTCTTCAGTTTTTTAAACATCTCTTTATTATTATTGAGATTCTAAAATAATTAGATTATATAATTTATACTTTTTTCATCTGATTCTACTTATTTTAATAATGGAGCTGATCTTGCATGATCCATAAGAGATACTAGAAAATTAACACAAGGAGTATACATGGTAAATTATTAAACATAGTTGCTGCTGCTTAAAAGTGTGTTTTTTAATGTAAACTAGGAAGTAAATTTTTGGCAATCAATCTGCTTAAATATGCTTTCCTGTCTAATGAACTCATATTTTCTGAAAGATTTTCAATATTAAGAACTTTCTTTTTGCTGAATTTCTAGTTCTCCACTTAAGTTTATGTATGATCCTTTAAAAACTGTTCTATCCTTTCTAAACTAGTTTTATCTCTGTATCGAAACACATCACGTTTAATATCTTTAGATGGATCCCTTTCACGAAAACAATAATGAGCAACTTATCGATTAGGAAGAAAGTCAAGATCTTTGTTTCTATCTAAAGCTTCTTGGATACGATCTTTTTCATGTTTGAAACCCTTAACATAAAATTGTGGATCACCCAAATTCTTACTAGGATCTTCTTATCTAAATGCTTAAGCATTAGGTTGTTTATATTCAGCACAAACAACAGGAGTCTCAAGCATATTGATTACAAAATTTTCCACTCTTTTCCTATAATTCTATGCCAATCGATTATTTAATTCTTTATTTATTCAATCAGCTATACCTTTACGAACTTCTCGTTCCTTCATATATCCTTTCTTAATCTTATCAATTTCTTTAGATAAGGCAAGTTATTTTTCATATGAGTAAGAATTAAACATAATTAAATAATTATGATTGCAATTTATTTATCCTTCTCTAACAAAGCACTTATATTATTTCAATATTACAACACTTTATTAGGTATCAAAATTATTTCAGAATTCAATAGATAATAATAAATATTAAATATGGAAAAACTATCATATTTTATAGATTTATATTTGTTTTTCAATAAATGATTTCCATTGTTCTTTTGGTATTTATTATTTTTATATATCAAAATATAATGGTTCTATCCAATACATCCATTTATTTTATATTATATCTTTAACTAATCCTTAAAATAATAATTTCTCATCTTAATTCACTATATCCTTTATGATTTTTTCAATTTATATTTTCCTAGTAATCTCAAGACCTTAAAATGTTCGTATTTTAAATAAAATATTATTGAATTCAGGATCTAATTACAAATTTTAATACTCTTTTTTACTTTCAAAAATTTAAATTAACTAATTTAATATTATATTATACTTTTTATAATAATTCTGAATATGTTATAGAATATAGTTAAGACTTTTGTTTAATAGTTTTAATTTCTTATAAAATTAAAGATTTAATATTATTGCTTGAGACTATACTTATTTACTATTATTAAATAATATTTTAATAAGTTTAATCAATGCTATAATTTTAATTGAATATTTAGTTTCTTTTATCTGGTGTAGATTTGTATCTTGTTTAGTATAATTCTTATCTTACTTTGATTTCAGGTATATCTTAGAAGATTCGATTTCTATGATGAATTATATGATTTTTAGGGATGATTTTTATTTAGAGATTATCTTCTTTTTATTATTATGTAATTGCTTACTATAAGAAATATTGATAATTTGTTTATTTTGTTTGAAGATCAGAATTTTATTATTATTAGTATCCATTAGGTAATAATAATGCTTAATCTTATTATTTATTATAATAGTATGACATCTAATTTATTTAAATTAATCATTATTATATATATATATATGTTTATTCATGTGTTTATATTCATATTGATCTTTATTTATTCAATGTTATTAATGCAAAGTGGATCTGAATTAACTGAATCACTTTATACATCATCTTTTAGACATTTAATTGATTTATTATCCCATTAAATGAAATGAGAAACTTCAAAGATATCCTTTACTTCTTAACCTAATTTCTCAATCAATTTCTCATTAATTTTATTGTTCTACTATAAAGATTAATGAATATGATCATATGCCTATATAAATTAAAAAATAGTATTACCTAAAATAATTTATAATAAGCAAATATTGTTTCATTTTATTGTTAACTTTCTTATGAATTTGAATTTGTTCTCATGCTTTCCAAACTCCTTCTTACTAAACTTCTTGTCATACTTTTTTGTTCCTCTTCCTAAAGATTAATTACTTATTTTGGAGCAAAATCAAATAAAATTAATTAATCTTGAGTTAATAATAATTCTTTAATCAAATTAATTTCTTTGACTGTATCTAAGATCACACAAATATCCAAATCTTTATTTATTTTTTTACTAAAATAATGAATAAAACTTATTACATAGCTTTACGGAGTAAGATACTATTACGATCATAAAATAATTTAGAGCAAAAGAATTTAGATAGAATGTATTTGCAATTAAACAATAATGGTTTACTTCTATTTAATATCTTTTGAATTTATTATGTAAAGTAACTCTTCCGATCTTGAATTCCTAATTGTTTTATAATTTTTTCTTATTCCTATTAGAATAATTGTTATTCTTCTTAACGATTAGTAATCTATAATTCTGATTTGACTTAATATATTTCATCTTGTTTTGATATATTATATTATTCCTATTATTTTGTATCATATAATAATAATTAATTTTATGAATGTTTATTTGATTGAATAGGAGATTGTAAATCTTAATCTTAATGTTAATGTTAAACAACAATAGTTCTACTTTTTGCTTTGGCTATTGTTTTCTTGATTTCTTTTCTTTCTTGAGATTCTGCAACACTAGCATTCTTCATAGGAAAATCATATACATGATTAGCCAATTCAATCATAACTAAATAGATCATTAATATATATTTATACATCTTGATTTATTATAGGTTTTAATGATGACTCCAAATATAATTGCAACAATATTAGCAAATCCTCCAAGATAAGATAGTAAATCAGCAATATCTTATAATTCTCTTCTAATAATATAGGTATATGGACTTCTTCTCAAATAGATAGCTGAAAATTATTAATCATTATTTTAAACAATTTTAGTTTTAAAATCTCCTGCTCTTTTTACATTAATGACTTCTTCATCCACTTTTTTTAGTAGTGGAATTATGTTGTCATCAGTAGTAATATTGTATTTCTAATAAAAGACATCTGCTTCTGTTCCTGTAGAAAGTAAAAATGAAAAATAAGATTCATCATCAAAAAAGGTTTGAGACACATTTTATACTTATAATGGATTGATGACATTATTTGTCATATACCTAAATAAATGATAATAGACATCTACATTCTGATTCTAAATGAACGTTCTTATTAGAGATAACGATCTCTTGCTTAAGTACTTGCACATTCAGGTTTCCATGAAAGAATGGAATTTGAATTTGAATTATTGGAACACTCACTAACAGTTATTTTTACAAACTCAAAAACTTCACTTGTAAAGCTGCCCCCTAATTTGATTGAATAATTGAGTTCAGGACATAGCCATTCCTCTAGTTTGAGTTAAGAAAACTAGGAAGAAAAATCCTAATTCTTAAATATCTTTTGAAATCGATCTTTAGTGCATGGAATAAGATCTATAAATCTATCATCTTTATTTAATGTTCCNCCGATCTTGAATTCCTAATTGTTTTATAATTTTTTCTTATTCCTATTAGAATAATTGTTATTCTTCTTAACGATTAGTAATCTATAATTCTGATTTGACTTAATATATTTCATCTTGTTTTGATATATTATATTATTCCTATTATTTTGTATCATATAATAATAATTAATTTTATGAATGTTTATTTGATTGAATAGGAGATTGTAAATCTTAATCTTAATGTTAATGTTAAACAACAATAGTTCTACTTTTTGCTTTGGCTATTGTTTTCTTGATTTCTTTTCTTTCTTGAGATTCTGCAACACTAGCATTCTTCATAGGAAAATCATATACATGATTAGCCAATTCAATCATAACTAAATAGATCATTAATATATATTTATACATCTTGATTTATTATAGGTTTTAATGATGACTCCAAATATAATTGCAACAATATTAGCAAATCCTCCAAGATAAGATAGTAAATCAGCAATATCTTATAATTCTCTTCTAATAATATAGGTATATGGACTTCTTCTCAAATAGATAGCTGAAAATTATTAATCATTATTTTAAACAATTTTAGTTTTAAAATCTCCTGCTCTTTTTACATTAATGACTTCTTCATCCACTTTTTTTAGTAGTGGAATTATGTTGTCATCAGTAGTAATATTGTATTTCTAATAAAAGACATCTGCTTCTGTTCCTGTAGAAAGTAAAAATGAAAAATAAGATTCATCATCAAAAAAGGTTTGAGACACATTTTATACTTATAATGGATTGATGACATTATTTGTCATATACCTAAATAAATGATAATAGACATCTACATTCTGATTCTAAATGAACGTTCTTATTAGAGATAACGATCTCTTGCTTAAGTACTTGCACATTCAGGTTTCCATGAAAGAATGGAATTTGAATTTGAATTATTGGAACACTCACTAACAGTTATTTTTACAAACTCAAAAACTTCACTTGTAAAGCTGCCCCCTAATTTGATTGAATAATTGAGTTCAGGACATAGCCATTCCTCTAGTTTGAGTTAAGAAAACTAGGAAGAAAAATCCTAATTCTTAAATATCTTTTGAAATCGATCTTTAGTGCATGGAATAAGATCTATAAATCTATCATCTTTATTTAATGTTCCATTAGGGGATCGTGTATATATACGTTATTTGATAGTGATGTTGAAGAAAGGACGGCCTATGAAGTTAGGTTAATCTACTGCTAATGCAAACATATAATTATCCTCATTGAATTAAATACTGTCTGGATTAAAATCAAAGATTGTCTATGTGTTTAGATGAATTTCAACTCTATTCAGAAAATCAATGATGTTCTGTTAAAAAAAGAATGCTATAACAGCAATAATAGCAAGTGAGAAAAATCCACCAGTTGCTGTTTAGTATTAATTCTATCCATTAAAATTCAATTGTATGTTTTATCCAAAAATATCTAAGTTCTTAAAAACTTAAATACTATTGATATATTACATTCTGTAGATTTTTTCATCATCGTTTTTAATATTTTTTAAATTTATTAACTCAATATTTATAAAATCCAATTCCAGAATTTTTACCCTACCCAACTACTATTCACATAATTGATTAGGTTTGTATTTTGAATCACAAAAATCATTATGAAGCACTTTCATATTCTCTAGAACTCCATTGCCTATGAAATCTGACAAAAGTTTATGTACTTTAGATTCTTCTTTTATTTTTAACCATTGGAACGTTTGTACCCAATTTCATCACTTTTTCAATTCCTTCAATAGTTCTGATTCTTTCATATTTATTTTTAAATGGTTTCATCTTATATAAAGCATTAATATTGTATATGAATCCTGGAATATCTTTTACTATACCAATTTTCTTTTTTATTCTTTATGACACTCTAAATTATGGATTATGATAACATATTATAATGTCTTGTCTATAGTTTATTGGAATGTCTAAAATCTTTTGATAACTTGTTTCAATATCAAGTCTTGAGCTGCATAAAGAAAATTTATTCCAATAATAAAGATTGGCTCTATTAGTCTTTCCAGTTAATTTGGTAATAAAAATGAAGGAATTTTTATTAGTTTAAGGTTTATTAATTTTGACTAATTATTTAAAGACCTCTTATTTAGTTTTGAATTTCTTAATAAATGCTTTTAAAAAAGAACTCGCAACAATTAAAATCAGTTAGATAGAGATGAAAACTAAAACTTAACAGAACATCAGTTTTGATCTGATCAATAATTGTATTATATAGAATTTCTTTGTCACACCACTTTGATAATATAATTATGACTTGCATTCAATCTAATATCAATCATAAATTGAAATTACTTTTATCCATTCATTCATATCATTTACTATCATTCTTAACCCAGCAATAGCATAATCAAATATGGCAATAACTGTGCCCATTTATCCAACTCAAAAAACTTCAAAGAATGTATAGAATCTATATCTCAAAAATTATTTCATATTTATTTAAAAGCCAGACAATTTAATAACAGCACTTTTTTTTCTTTGAATTAGAATTCCTTTATATAAATCTCCTTGATGAGAATACTAAGGCTAATATCGTCTCACATTATAGGAAGATTCTATAAATGAATGATTCAGAGTAACTTATTCAAGTAAAACTAATACAATCATAGATAAGAATATTAACTTCTCTCTTCACTTTTGGTTCTCCTAGACATTCTCACTTATATAAATTACTACTAAATAATCTACTAATCTAAGTATTGATTACTGAGTTTATATACATTTGTTTCATTTTATAGAGAAGTACCATAACCTAACTCTATTTTAAAAAATGGGATCAAATATTAAGAAAACAGTTCCTTATTGTTTACTATATTAAAGTAAAGATATCAAATATGATTACAAGTTTTTGTTTCAATTAATAGTTAGTTACAATTAAAGGACTATATATAGGCTATAAAATAATAGGAATAAGATTGGTTGGTATAATAATGAGAAAAAATAGAATTTGATTTGGATTTTATTAGAAAATTATATAAATACTAAAAGTGTTTATAAATTAAGTTCAAAAAACTAACTAAGAGATAACAAATAGGTGATCACTAAATAATTAATTTAGAGATTATTGAAATAACTAAACCAATTAATTTTGTTAATATTGAAATTTAATTAATTATAAATAAAATAAAATTGAAATGATTATTAAAATAATGATCAATTACAAAAATACATTAAAATCTATAATATCATCTTCTTCTGGTAAATATTCTTCTAAGGAATTCCTTAGCTTTGGAATCCAATAATTTATTCAATAATTTTTGAATAATTGGCATATTAATCAATCCCATATGAACACCATATTAAAGCACTAATTGCATTGGAGAGTAAAGGAGGTTATCTAAACTAAAGGTTCCAATAAAAATATAACTCCATTAATTGGCTGTTTCTACTGAACCACTTAATACTAAACCAGCAAGCATAGTATAAGATATAAATGCAGCAGTAACTATCATAACAATAGCACCTCCTATTCTTACAGACTTTTTCTTATGCGCTAACATCTTTTCAAGTAAAACTTAATAAATTTTATTAACAGGAGCAGTAAGAAGAGCCAATGTCAGAGTAAGACTAATATTATCGGGTTGACCGAAAACAAAGAGTACAGCTAAACTACCCATAATACTAGTATAGACTATTGATGCCCTTAGACCTCTAGGTTTTTCTTCATCATCTTTATAAACAATAGACAAGATTTGATGGAAATATTTAAGATATTCAATGTAAGCTTTTATCTTTGAAATGGATTATTAAACTATATTTTCGTCTGGTTTAGTCTTTTGAGCCTCTGGTTATTATTGAAGTGGTTAATCAGAGGGGGAGTTTTCAGCCTTATTTTCTGGAGATATTTATGAATTAACAGTAGCATTTTAAACATCTACTGCTACATGTGCATTTTCATCAGAGGAAATCACTTATAAACCACTTTTCACTTTATTAGTATTAGGTTATATTAATTAAGTTTGATCAGTAATTTCAACCAAAGTAGGTGCTTGTTCTCTCTGTATGTTTGCTTCTGCTTAAGTTAATTTTGGTACTCTATTTCTATTGAAGATTGTATTTCCTTCTTAATAATTTGGTTGAACATCATTAAATTCTTATTGTTCTAACATGGCTTTGCTTTGATTTGCATCATTTTATGTATCAATATGTTCTATTCGCAAAGCTCCATCATTTTCTTCTTTCTTTTCATCTTCTTATTACTATTCTTGTTACTTGAGTTTTTCCTCTTCTTCTTTAATCTTTTATTCTAAGGCTTCTTTTTCAATTGCTATTCTTGTGTACATAACATGATCTACCTTCATTCCCCAATAGACTACATAAGCATAACCTCCAGTCATAAATAGATAAAAGTAAAATACAATTGTTTTGTAAAAGGGGAAGGATGCAAATGCAAGTAGAGTATCTAATGAATATACTTAAGAAGCTTTATCAAGCAAATAATCTAAGGATTCCATGATGGAAGTAGGATTCAAAGATTCACATTCACATATAGTTTCTCCTTCAACTTTTTTAGTTTTGCAAACATCTGCATTCCAACTTCCAGAATCTACTTAAGCTATACATTTAGTGGAAGTGTTTGTAGGTAATTATTTGGCAGTTGGAAATTTCATCTTCATACTAGATGTCATATTTTTGGTTGTTTCTGTGGCATTCTTAATAGCTAATTTAGGATCGACAGCTTAATAGCCACTGCTATTTTTAGGGAATCCAGCTGAACTATAGAATGGATTATCAATAAAACGAGTTTGTGAGAATTTGAAGAAATTAGTAGTTTAACTATAATTTGCATTAGAGGTATCTGCTTCTGCTTCTAATAATCTATTTTAACTAGTATCCTTTATAGTAGATCCAGTGGCCTCATTTGCAAGTTTGGATGTTAAGAATCCAAAATTCATATTGACTGAATTTGATGATACTTTATACATAGGTTCATTGGCTACACTAATGTCCTATAAGTAATTAATCATGGAATCAAGTTGTGCTTAGATTTCTGTTGCTGTTTAATTTTAATTGACTCTATAATTAATATAGGATGATAGAATATGAGTGTATGTATAATACTATTTCACAAAATTAGTTTTCTCTATATTTTATATGGAAGTCAATTTATTATTATTTTATAAGTCAGTTAATCGTATTAGTTCTGCTGCTGCCAATTTGATTCTATAATTTAATTAATTCAATAAATGAGTTTCATTCAAAGATATTAAACTAACATTTTAACTCAATATACTAGATAATGAATGATATAGTGTTTCAGTTTGATTACTTAAAAAGGTATCATTTTTATCAATAGCTAATAATTCATTAAATAATTCTTCTTTATAATCAATTAAACCATTAAATTAAGTAAGTCTGTTTGTAATAATGGAATATCCTATCAATTATTCATCAAAGCTATGTAATCTTAATTGATAATTTCTTATATTATCTTCACTTAAATTTGCATATTATTTGATTTGTATAAGTTCAGTTATATTGACAATTCCACCTTGTTAATCTTCAATGTTTACAACAATGAGACTATCATGATTATTAGAATAAGGGAGTGTTAGATTAAATTTGGAATTATTTTGTGGAGGTATTATAAGAAAGTAATGATAAAATTTTGAGTTTTCAAGATCTGTTTTATAAATTGATTAATTTGGAAATAACATAACTGAATATTTTAATGGAGTATCAACATCTTCACAATTTATAACATTTACTTCAAGATAATCTAGGAATTCAACAAAACTTTCTTTCTTCTCATAACTTAATTCACATTTTTATGGTGGTATATTTAAAGTTAACATTTAAGTATTTAATGATGGCATAATAAATCTAGGATCATAAACAGATAATCTCAATCTACCAGCATTACCTTTGACAATATCAAAATTAGTGAAATAATCTTGAATTTTGAATTTAAAATCTAAATAATAAAATTAAAATGTAGCTTAAACTACTTAATCATAAATAACAGCTCCTGCATACATTAAAACATCTGGATCAATACCAGGATAAGTAAGTTTGAAAATGAATTCATCATAATAATTATGAAGTGCTAAAGGATCAACTCCTTATATAGTTAAAGCAGGTAAATCTAATTCTATAAATTAAATTGAAACTTTGGTTGAATAATTAACATTCTCTTTTATTATTTCCACCTAAAAATTAACAGCTTTATATGGTTCAAATGTTCTCGAAGGAATAAATTAATTGCAATTATTATCAAAAATAATAGTTTCATTCATCTAATTTTAACAAGCAGTTCCATTAACTATATCTTCACACATCCAATAACATGTATATGTTACTTTAGCTACTTCATCAGCTGTTAAATCTTTATCTGTTATGGTTGTATTTAAATATAATTCTTATGTAAATCCCAACATTCTGTTTCCTCCTGCTATTGTTAATATAGGTGTTGAAGGAACAATAAATAATTCAAATGTGCTTTGACTACTTGTTGTATAATCAGATCTAGTTAACTTAGTATTAAACACAAGAATATAAGGATTTGTAAAATTGAAATAAAATGGTGGAAATTCTAAAAGAACATCAAATTAGAATCCATCAACTAAATTATCTGTTAATGTCCCATTTATTAGTCTTTTCTTTGTATTTTTTAATATTATCTCATAAGATAATAATTATTCTGGAGGATCTTTTTCTATACAATTTGAATATAATATTTTATTTGGAATTTAAATGTTCTAAAATCTATTGTATTGACTTATAAGTGTATCTTATTTAAAAGTAATTGTTGATTATTATGAAACTTAAAATTAAAATGTCTATAAATTCTATAATTTTGCAAAACTTTCAATCTAAGCTCCAAATTTATATAAAACACCAGATTAAAATAATCTCTCTGGAAATATTAAAGTATCACTATTATTTAATGTATTACTTGATAATATTGTGGCTATGACTGGATCTACAATAACTGGGAGTATTTAATTCCAAGATATTATTTTTAAGTTCTATTTTCCATTATAAAATAGTTCTTCAAATTTTATAGTTAATTATTAACATACATTTGGAGAAGTAGAATCTGTAAACCTTACTGTAGGTTTATGAGTAGATTAATCTATGGCAGCTGGAATAGATAATGTATTAGGTAGGATTTATAAAAATCTGTAACTACATCCTTACAAAAGAAATACAGTTTTTAGTTAAATAGTATCTCCAACTTAGATAATAGGATTATGACCAAAAATAATAGAAAAATCATCATTACATATAGGATCTGTTCCAAGTAAAGCTAAAGTGTCGTCATCAAAAATGATGTTGCATAAACTATCTGAATCACCTGTTAGAGAATCATATAAAGCAACTGATCCACCAAAATCAATAGTGAATCCAGTAAATTCATCATTTAAACCAAAATATGGTACTCCCAAAGAACAATCTGTACAATAGACTGATCCAATGCTGAATCTACTGATACCTTTAGTATCACATTTACATTCTCCATTTATAGGACCAACTCTATTACCAAAACATGATAAACATCCATATTAATTACAGTCTTTACAAGTAGAATCACATTATTAACATTCTAAATCAGAATTTTCAAAATATCCATTTGGACAACCACATATAGGTTTATTGACTCTAATTCCTGAGCAAACAGTACATAATTCTGCAGATCCATTACAAGTTGTACACTTTTTAGCACATTAAGAACAATAAAATTGATAACTATCAAAATAACCATCAGGACAAACACAACTAGGAACTGTTATTCTATCTCCTAAACATGATGTACATCCATTGACATCACAGGTTTTACAATTATCTTGACATTTTACACAATTAACTGATTCACCATCATCATAATAATATTCTGGACAATTACATTAAGGTAGAAGTCTATCACCTTTGCATTTGAGACAAAGAGTAGCTAATCCTTTGCAAGTTAAACATTTATTAGCACATTTAGGACAAATAGAATTAGTACCATCATCATAATAACCAGATTCACAATCACAATTAGGAGGATTAGGTGTACGATTTCCTGCACATAATTTACAAAATCTTGGAGCTAATTCACAAGTTTTGCATTAATAAGAGCAAATTGAAATATTAAGAGGAAAATCAGAATCACATGCAGTACCTGTAGCATTTATTGTAAATCCTGCTGAACAAGTATTAACACATTAATTGGCTTAAAATAAATTAGTGCATGTTAAACAATTTTCATCAGAAGGTCCAAAACAAGTTTTACATGTTGCATGACATGCATAACATCTTTATTCATTTACTACAGGATATGAACCATCTGTACATTAATCTTTACAAGTATGTTCAATAGTTAATAATTTTTCATTTGGACATGCAGTACATTAATTATTATTAGGTCCTGTACATGCAGTACATTCTGTATTACATGTTTTACATTCATTAGCTACAAGATCATGATATAAATTTCCTAAACATTCAGTTATACAAGTGTTTTTATATAACACTAATCCACTATTACAAGTAGTACATTCATCTATACCTTCTCCAAAACAAGTTCCACATGTGACATCACATTTAATACATAAACCATTATATCCAAAATAGCCAGTTGGACATACAGCATAACATTAATTATCCAAGAAATACTATGTGGATGTACAAGTTATACAATTATCATATATGCATTTACAAACATATTAAGGTCTAATACCAATAAATGATTTTGGACATTTAACATAACATTAATTATTAAGTGTATAAAATCCAGTCATACATTCAAGACATTCATTAGGTTATGTACCAAAACATTTCTTACAATTAGCTGCACATGGTTCACATACATTATTTATGCTACCATATCCATCATAACATTCTGTTAAACATTAATTTTAAAAATAAGCTAATGGAGCATTACATGATAAACAAGTTAATTCAGAAAATCCATAACATGTTTTGCATTAACTATTACAAGGTGAACATAGAAATCCTATTTAATTATTATAAAATCCATCAGGACAAGTTTCATAACACCAATTTGTAGTTTTTAATCTATAAAATTTACTTGCACAAGTTAAACAAGCTTAAGTTGAATCCATACATGCAGAACAACCTTTCCAACATTTAGCACATCCAGTATCTACCTTATAAAATCCTATTAAACAATTTGTTTAACATTCTCCACTTATGATATTTTAAACATTAAGTACTTTACCTGTTGGACAAGTGACACAATCTTTATTTGTACCAGCTAAACATGTTTGACAATTTGAATCACATTAATCACATGTTTTAGTTGCTGTATTACCAAAATATCCTGGATCACAAACAGCCAAACATTCATTAGTGGATGATTTATAATAATAAGAATCTTAACATGTTGTACAAGTAATAGTAGAACATATTTAACATCCATTTATACAAGGAAGACAAGTAGTGCCTGATAAATATTAACCTTCAGAACACAAATAACAATGATTAGAAACAAGTATAGCTAATCCTTTACATGCAGTACATGTAGTAGCTAATGTTTGACATTTTAAACAATTATTATCACAAATACTACATTTTGGATCATTTACATTACTAGAATCATTAAATTATCCATCTGGACATTATATAACACATTAATTTGATTAATTTCTAAAATATCCATTTGCACATTATACACATGATGTTCCAACTGTACATTAATGACATCCAGTTTAACAAGGTTAACAATCTGCTTTACCAGAATCTACATAATAATTAACAGGACATTGATCACAAATAGGAGTATTAATTCTTTTTGTTGATGTCAAACAATCTACACATACTCCAGCTGTTACACAAGTAGTACAATAAGTTGGGCAAGCTAAATTCAATTTATGTATTACTTATGCATTAATTATTCTACATTACATATCCTGTCAAACAAGAACAATCAGTAGGGTCTTTATTTGCTGGATATAGACATGGAGTACAAAAAGCATAGGTAAAACAAGTATTACATCCTGCTTAACATTGAAATTAATAAATATTAATATCATCCAAATAGAATACTCCAATATAATTACCTCCTTATTATGGTTATTCAATTTCAAATAATATAGTATTTTAAGTTATTGGATATTATTCTGTCCTTTACCATGTATAATCAAGATATGCTATATAATCTGATTTAGATATCTACAATCTGTTGACATTGTCAATTTATAAGACTGCAGCAGTTTATTTAATTCCATTTATTGTGATATCAAATTTTGTAGGATTGAAATCAAGAAAATGAGCAATTGCCCTAAAACGTATTTTATGTTATGAATTCTTGATGATTTATGTTATCAACACTTTCTATTATTAAAAAGTATCAAATGATCCAATATAAAATTTATCACCATAAAAAAAAAAGTTTCTTTCTTTTATTTTTTCTGGAGTTGATACTACAGTTGCCATTAAATGATTATAAGTATAAAAATGCATAAACTCTGGAATTGAAGTAAAAAAATAATAATGATCAACTTATTCTAAATCAATAATTTAATTATTTACCTCCTCCATTTTCATTAGTTTAAAGATAAGATTACATTTTAATACAAGCTTTGGCTGTCTCATCTTAATAATAACTATTTGGACATCTTTTTACACAATTAGATAAAGTAATATCAGATTCATGATATTTATAATATCCTGTATCACATGTTAATGTTGTTTATGTTCCTATACATGCTGTACAATGTTCTTTTTCATAACATTCCTTTTCAGTTGAATCATATAAATAATTTTATCCACATGTTGCTATACATAAATTTGATTAATAAACTAAATCTCCTTTGCATTTACAAAAATATTGTTAAAAATAATAATTTGGACTACATGTTGGAATATAATCTATAAATTATAGGATTTCATTTCTCCCTCTTTATTGCTATTATAATAACACTAAATTTTTGATATAAATTCCCAGATTTGAATTACTGATTTTTACCTCAAATTTCAAAGTATCAAATCTCATATTGATTACAAAATATGCTTAAGATTCATATACCAATCTATGATTTATAAAACTCAATACCTTTAAATACAATTCTTATTGGAATCTGTAAGTGTGAATTTCTCAGAGTATACCTTTAAATCATTTGCAAAGATCTATAATTCATCATTATTCCAATTTCCAGATATAGAATACTCAAAATATACATAGACTCTGCTTGTTTTAGGAAGAGTAAATGTTCTCTTCCAATAAATTGAACTTAAACTAGTATCTACACCTATGTAGTTTTCTGATAACCCATTTGTACAAAAGGATAATGGTAGGCTTAAAGTTTCATCTGACCATAAACTTCCTGCACTTTCATTTGTTAAATCTGTTAAAACTAAATATTTGCATTCTAATCTAATATTTTATCTTACTAGAACGCATAATAAGCTGCTCAAAGAAAAGAAAGATAAAAATTATCATCTTAATCATCTATTATTAAAACGAAAATAAATTAATGAATTTTCTAATTATATTAGAATATTTTATTCTAACATTATGATCACATTCATTTAAATTACTAAAATAATAGAAGAAGTCAATCTTAAAATATTAAATTACTAAGAATACAAATATCCAACCAGCAAATAACTGGTCTTCTCCTCTAAACCAACTTTGAACATTCTCATTATTCCATAATGTTCCTATTGTTTATTTAATAATATATAATTAAACTATTTAATATATTCATCTCATTTTTTCATCATATATTTTAGAAATCAAACTCAATTAACTAAAATATGGCACTTAAAATAAAAAATACATTAATTTGTCAAAAAACATAATTCAACAGAAATAAAATCATGTTGTTTTATGATATTGAACAACATCTAGAATGATAGTACACATTAAAATTTATAGCTATTCTTTTGATTTATCATTCTTTTTATTTAATTTACTAAGTAGTCGTAATATCAAATTTTTATTTGTATTGAAATTTTATTCACCTCTATGGAAAACACAACATTTACAATTCTTATCTCTACATATTTCCAATATTTATCAAATATAACATTCTAAAATACCTTTATTAACAATTTAATTGTATAATACTTCTCAAATAAATCATTATTGATAAATATGTATATGAAAATCTTGAATTAATAAACTATTTTATAAATATATAAATGAACTTATATATTTCACTAAAAACTTAATTCAAGTTACTTTCTTCTACATAATATAGTTTATTATTCCTTATAAGATTAGTTATAACAATATTTTCATTTAACTAATGTATACATCTTACAAAATTCAAAAATTTAAATCAAAAATTAAAAAATTAAGAATTTATCGTAAATTAGAAGTTTAACTTCTAATTCATTTTATTTTTATGTAAATACTAATAACAGAATAGTAAATATAAACTATATTTAGGAATATAAACACTAATATTAAAATTTCAATTTTATAAAAATGATGCTTTTAATATCTATGAAATCTAACATTATAATTTTATTGATACCTAAATAATAAATGATTTAAAATTAAAGGGAAGGATGAAAATCTATGATTTATAGAATAACGCCACTATTCCAATAACTTTATAATTGATTTTATCAAATTAGGAATCATTAAATTTATACTTTTGATTTAAGTAATAATAATGGAATATTTTCATTATTATTATTATTATTCTACTCGTAGTAGTTTTAAGGGTTTTCATTTTTATCTAAATAAATTCTATGATTAGATCAACATTAAAGAAATATATGGTAGCCTATTTAGGAATTGTCACACAATTTCAATAACTGCCTATATTATATATTTAATTTTAAGTATTAGAAAGGAGGAATTAAATTAATTTTTTATCAGTTTTAAAATCCGCCATGTGAATATATTCTACCAATTAAATAAAAAAGCAGGCCTTTTCTTTAATATCCAGATATTGATATTGCCAACCTAATCATTTTTCTTACTGAATGTAATATTTTAAGTGATAAAAAATGAAAATTTATTAGAACCCTAATTTTATTAATCATTTAGTTTCAATCTGCTATGGTTAATAATAAAAAGAGATTGAAAAAAGTAACATATAACCATTAAATGACAAAAATAAAAGTTCAGCTTATCAAACAAATAGATTCAAAGCTATAATTAATTAGATTGTTAATTTAGAGATAGTTCTTTAAAGAGTTTGAATGCATAAATAACCTTTTTGAAAACAATATAAAATTAGTAAAAAATTAAAATATGAAAATCAATAAAAATTTAATGAAATTTTGTGACTTAGAAAATATTGATAAACTAAAAATAAATGTAAAAGAGATTCAAAACTATTTTTAAATGAAAAATAAATATCAAATAATTGAAGTAATTATAGTTTTTATATTATTTAAATTAGAATATCTAAGATAAGGATATCAAATCAATTAAAATCAAAAATTAAAGTAATATGATACTTTAAAAGAGATTTTATATAAAATATATTATTTTTTTTTGAGATCTTTTTTTAATTATTTTATAAAAATATAATCGTATATCAAATATTAATACAAAAGTGATTTTACGTAGTAGCTATCTCAAAAAGATAGAATATATTATATCAAAAGTATACTCAATTAATAATTAAAAGATTCGATAAAATCCATACAATTTTTATTTTATGTGTTAATGAGGAAATATAATTTTTCAAACATTTAACTCTGTTTCATAATTTATAATTAAAGGATTGGTTAAGAAGGTAGAAGTAGTATTGTTTATCACATTCTTTTTAGAGTATTAAATGTTTAGTAAAATAACTATTGGATATAAATAGTATCTAATATTAAATAGAAATAAAAAGAAGACAAGATATTAATTTAATAATGAGACGTATTATAATATATAAATCTTTTTTGGTTCCTTAAAGTTTTATAAAATTGTATTTGCTAAAAGTAGAATTAGATGAGGATAGATGAGATGTGTAAAATTTTTTAAAGAATGGAATAAAAGATGAGAAGTATAAACAAAGAGAAGTTTATAATATAGAGTATTCTATCTCATGAATGATTTATAATAAAAACGGTTTATATATTTATTTTTTCATGAAGAAATTGTTATTGCTATTGCTTGCTACCTTAAGTTTTGCTGAGGTTTGTGTTGTTAGAGTAGGAATGACATATTACGAAGCAAGAGATTTAGAAATAAGTCGATTCAATTGTTATATGAATTTTGATGGAACCATTGAAGCACTTACAAGATGGGTTGATATAATTGAACATCGAGAACAATTGTTAAATGACTTAGAAGTTTTAGCTAAAATGATTAAGATTATTGAGAATGCTAAGTAGGCTACAACAGTGATTCGTGATTATGAGAGAAATCGTCCATCTTTCAAAGCATTTCTATAAAATGAGTGGACATCATGTAGAATTGAAGATGCTTATGAATATGTTTAACGTCTTAATGCTTAAAGATCAAAAGAAGAACGAGTTGCATTGGCTAATTCAATTATAAATTACTTAAGAAATGCAGAGAGATAAATCTACGGATATGTGGATTCATGTAGAAATGTAAGATTAACTACACATTTGAAATAAAAGATTGCATAATTAAAGGCTTTGAAATAAGTTTGTGAATAAGAACTTTAAAAATAATCACCTAGAGATGTTATAATAGAAAGTGATAATGATGATATAGTATATTATTTTGAAGAATAAGTCAATGAAGATGTTTATGATTATGTATATGTTTATGAAGATGAAATGGAAGCTGAATTTCCAGTAGATGATTCAGAACCTTAAGTTTATAAATATGCTTAAAATCCAAAGGTGACAAAGAGTACTGTTATTAAAACAAGAGAAATATATGGTAATTAAAAGGATACAAGTAAAGTTGTTGATGCTCATTCTACTTATGGACCTATTGAATATATTAGAAGTGGAGTTGGAGAAGAGTGTGAATATTATGGAGATACAGTAAATTAACCAGAACCAGAATATGTAGATGGAATGGAGGAAACAGAAGAACAACCTTAATAAATTATTGATGATCCAGTACCAGATGATGAAAAGATTACTGAAGAAGAAAGCAAGGAGGATGAAACTATAACAGAAGAAATTACTGAAGAGGTACCAGTGCCAGATGATGAGAAAGTTACAGAAGAAATTATTGAAGATGAACCAGTACCAGATGATGAAAAAATTACAGAAGAAGAAGTTACAATTGAAATTACAGAAGAGACTCTTGAAGAAATTATTCAAGAAGAGAAAAATGAAGATAAAATTGTTGATAAGAAAAAAGTTAAACCAAAATAAAAAGAAAAAACAAAGAAAGATGAGAAACCTAGAAAAATTAATTAATAAGATGCTGAAGTAATTACTAAGAAGAAAAAAACTGAATAAAAAAAAATATCTAATGAGAAAAAAAATACTATTGATACTACTAAAAAATAAAAAGTTATATCAGAAAATCAATAAAAGAAAAATATTGTTGAAGAAAAATAATAAGATAAAAAGAATGATGATCCTGTTGATGAAAAAAAAGAAAATGGAGAAGAAGATGGAGAAATATGTGTACCTTAGTTTAGAAAGAAAACAAAGAAGGTTTTGAAAAAAGTTAAAAGAACTGGAGCTAAAAGTAAACCTGGTGAGAAAACAAGAAAATAAGCCAAATAAGAAAAGAAAATGGCAAAAAAGTAACCATTACCTGCTATTTGTTATGGAAATAAAAATTATGTTGAAGAAATTGTTGGAGAAGAGGTCATTGAATCTTAAAAGAAAGGAGCTAATTACTTGGCTGTAGAGAACTTACTTAATGATGTAATTAATGAAGAAAAGCATGATCAATAAAATGAGCATGATAGGTCTATCAAATTAACATCAGTTAAGGAGGAATTTAATGCAAATGAACCAACATAATTTTAACCTCCTAAACATAGAGCAAGTAGTGGTAGAGTTCAAGAAAAGAAAGTTATTGCTGTAAACACTAAGTATTTCAATTCAGAATTTGATGGAGAACCAACTCAAGTTTTTGAATTCGAAGATAGAGCTCTTTTGTAAGATGCATCTGAATATGGTTATGGATATTGGGTAAGATTCAGTGAACACTCAATCAAATAACATGCTCGTGAAGAGGGATAATATTATTTCTTATCAAGAATGACTACAAATGAAGAATATTAAGATTTTTCATTTTATGGTGACAGAACATTAGCTCTATTTCTGTATGACAATTCCTTTGTATTTTCTACATATGATATTACAACCTAAAGTAAAACAAAAGACACAAATGTTGTATTGAATGAGAATATGGATAGTATTTGGTATTTTGTGGCATACACTTACAGCTCTTAATAAAGGAAGGCAGTTGGATACATAGTAAAATATGGATAAGGTGCACCAAAATATAGAATTGAAATTGATGCTTAACATGTACCACCAACATATGTAAAATTCATTTTTGGAGGAAAACATTTAGATTATTTAGGATTAAATGGATAATTTGCTAATATCTTTTATGACGTTGATGCTCCAGCATTTATTGATGGAGATGATGCATTGGAAGAAACTATCAAGACACTCAGTAATATGCCTTAATAGTTGCCCATTTTGATTGAGGAAACAATCATCAGTAAACCAATTACATTAAGTGGTAATGAGAAAGGTGAACATTTTCATTTTGATCCATAAGAATCGCAATTATTAATTGAAGAATATGCAGTTGCATTTTGGTTTAGATGGGTAGATGACCTTAAAGTAGATGAACCTAATGCCTTTTAATTAATTAATCTAAGATCTAATAAAGTACGTACTTAAGGAAAAGGAATCTTAGGAGATAGAGCTTTAGAAGTTCATCATGTATATGGAGGAGGCATAAAGAGCAATGTATATTTTAATACTTATACTGTATATGGAAACAGAGGCAAAGGATCTGTAAATATGTTAAAGAGTGTTGAAAGTGTTGAATATTTATGGACTTATGTATACTTTGGGTACAAAGAAGGAAGAGCTTATGGTGCCTTAATAAAACCTTAAGTAACTGGGGAAGTGAAATTTGATGGAATTTATCATAAACAAGTTAATCATCTCAGTGTTACAGTAGGAGGAGATGAGACAATTTCACCATTTAATGGAAAGATAGCTTTTGTAGGTATCTATTTAGGCGAAGGAGCATATAGAGAAGGTCTTGATTTCTAGACCTCTTTTAATTATGGAGAAGGAGTGATGGGAGTATATTAAGTAGGAAAGCCAGTGACATATTTGGGTGTTGATTAAAGTAGATATGTAGAATTCGATTAAGTGGATAATGTTGTTGATAAGATAATTATTCATGATGAGAATGGAATGAAAATTAATGGCTAAAGTGAATATGCATTTGGTCTTTGGACTAGATGGTTGACCACATTACCAAAATATTTAAATAAGAGATAGCCAGTTCATAACATAGCTAGAGTTGGTACTCAAGGGTATATAATTGAATCAGTTGATGGAAAATGGGTTAGAGCTAATGGTGGTAGACCTTAAACTGTAAAAGATACTACACTATCTTGTGTTTTAACTTAAGAATCATATGAATTTTAGACTCTTAGTCTGAAGGATGATATTCAATTCACTAATTTAGAAGGGTAATGGAATTATGTTTATTTTGGATATAAAAGATAGGGTGATAATGGAGTTGCCAAAGGTTACATTCAATTTGGTGTGGATGGTGAAATAGAAGAGGTAGCATTCACTGTTTATCATGATTTCTTAGTAGAGTATGTAGAATTCATAGTTGGGAAAACATCAGCTCCATTATTTAATGGTGAATTAGCAAGAGTTACTTTTAGCTTTGGTCCTGGAGCATTTATACCAAATAAAGAAACTTTGAGAGTGTTTACATAAAATTCATTACCAGAAAAGGCATAAATTCATCCAGTGACTAGATAGACTTTACAATTATTTGGATCTGCAATTACAATAGCTGAAGATCCAATCTAATTTGAGTTTGATAAATATTAGGGTGCAGAAGAATACTCAGTTTCTGGATGGGTTAGATGGAGTGGTCCACTTGTTACTGGTAAGGAATCACATGTAATAACATTGGCTTAAAAGAGATTATTAGATATTGATGGAAATAAAGAAGAAACTTTGTAAATCATAAGAGGAGATTCTCTTTATAGATTTATTACTTATACAAATAATGGAAAATTGATTCCTGCTGAATAAGAGTTCCATGAATATGCTGATTAATGGACCTACTTATATTATGGTTATTAAAAGTAATAACTTAAAACATATGGTTATGTAAGATTTGCATTTTCAGATGCTGAGTTTACATAAGAAAACATTTCTCATTTCTACTTAGCTGTATTTAGTATACTCGTTGGTCATGGAAGATAGTCCTATGTAGATTTTATTGGGTAGATGAAAACATGGGTAGTGAATGTAGGTTTTGGAGCATATAGAGAAGGTAATTTTGAAGAAGATGAAAATATAAAAATACATTTTGGATTTATTAGTGGAGCTGATCATATTAAATAGGCAGGATAAGAGGCTCATCATGAAGAGAAGATCTTGGAATGTGCAACAAATGAAGAAGAACCTCCTATGCAAATTCATTTTGAATAAAGTTCAACTTTGTAATTACATGGAGTTTCAGAATATGGTTATGGATTTTGGTTGAGATATCAATATTTTGGATCTAAATAAAAGATTTATACATAACCTCAATTAATGGGAGTTGCCAGATTGACAAGTAATAGAGAATATAAAGATTTTGATAATCCAGGTGATAGAGTCTTGTTAGTGTTGATGAGTAGGAAAGCCTTTTCTTTTGGCACTTATGATGTTACAACTAGATCAAATAATGTTGGAGGTGATCTGGAATACAAGAGAGAGAGTGAAGGAGAATGGCAATATCTATATTTTAGTTATAAGAGACAGACATAATAGGAAGGACATGCAATAGCATTTACTTAATTTAGAGATCATACTGAAGGATTAAAGATGGATGTATTGCATTCTTTATTAACACATTATTTATATTTTTCAGTTGGTCATGCTGGTAAATATTATGCTAATTTCAATGGTTAAATAACCAAGGTTAGATTTAACTTAGGTCCAGGATCTTTTATTGAAAACAAAGCTGATTTGTTATCTAGAATAAAGACTAAGGATACTATTCCAGATATTGAATAAGTAAGTAAGAATATTGAAATTTTATCTGGAATACATGATGTAAGAAAACTTGATGAAAAACATCATTTAACAAAATTTAATCAAGAAATTAGAGAGTACGGGGTTTAATTATGGTTTAGATGGTTCAAGAGCTAAAAGAGTACTTAATTAATGTATAGATTGACAACAAATGGAGAAGATACTCTTGGGGATGCTCAAAAGATAGGTGATAGGACTTTAGTAATGTGTCATACAGAAGGGTTGGAATTCAGTACTTATAGTTTGGGTGATAAGACAGTTTAATTAAATAATGCATATCAAGTTTAGATTGCTAAATAGAATTTGGAAGTTTGGACATTTGCTTATTTTGCTTATTCAAAGGAGAGCCAATAAATAGTTTATTATATTAATACTGAAGATAATGAGTAACATGCCTTAGAATCAGCTTTACATGCTGTCTCATCAAATTATTGGTTCTATTTGGCTAAAGATGCACTCTTAAATTCATATGATAGTCGTTTGGCTTAAATAGTATTGAGTTTAGGTACTGGGGCATTTAGAAAAGATAATTTCAAAGGTTTAATGGTATATTTACAATCTCCAAAACTATTTAATCCAAATGCAAAATTACAGTGGGATTACGAAGAAGATGAGTTAGTACTAGATTCATAAGATACTACTAAATAAGGTGTAACAATAAGAATTGCTGAACCAAATCAAAAGATAGAGAGTATTTAAGAATATTCAATTGGATTATGGATGCGTTTCTTGTAGGCATGGCCATCAAGATTATGGAATATACCAAGTGAAATGTAAATTTTCAGATTGACTTCAAATGAGGAATTGGAGAATGGCAAGATTATTATTGGTGATAGAGTATTGAGTGCATATTTGGTACATGATAACTTTTAATTTGGTGCATATGATATAAATGAGGATGCTCCAAATGAAATATCTACAATATCTTATTCTTCATTAGAGGGTAAATGGCATTATATTTATGCTGGATATAAGAGATCAATATAGGAAGCTATTTATTATGTATATGATGGAGAACACATATAAAAAACAAAGAACGAATAGTTATTATAAAGACCATTGAATGAGTGGATTAAGTTGATATTAGGTGGAGAGAAGAATGTTGCAGGATTTCATGGATTGTTTAGTTAGATTTCAGCTCATTTAGGTAAAGAAGCATTTGTAGATAATGAAGAGCAATTATTAAAATCAATAGAATCTAGTTATGCTTTACCATTGGAATTAACAGTTGGTTATATTTAAAAGTAGAAGAAGGGATAAGTGGAATTAGAATAATATAAGATACAAGAATTAACTCAATTATAAGGAATAGGAGAATATGCTATAAGTGGATGGTTTAAGATTGCGGAGATACAAACTAAAATTGAAGGGGAAATTAATTCTCCATGTCAAATATTATTTAGATTGACCAATAATAATGAAGAACATTTGTCTGATAGGAAATAATAAGGAGATAGAACATTGCATGCTTAAATTTGTACAAGTGACACAGTTAAGGTTAGTACTTATAGCATTGTAGGATTGAAGGATTGGAATGAAGCTAAGTTTTTGGAAGCAAAGGCAGAAATGGGTAATTCAAAGAGAGCTTGGACATACTTTTATATGAGTTATAGTGAAGAAAAGAGAGAGGTTGCAACATTAATAAAATTATTTGAAAAAGATGTTCCTATTTTATTTAAAGATGTATAACATTTTGTTGCAAATAATATGTTTATTTATTTAGGTAAAGATTCTTTTAGCAGGAAATTCTAAGGAGAATAACATAAATGGGAATTATTATTTGGATCTGGATCTCATACTTATAATGAAGAAACGATGCCAAATTTAAGATATATTATTAAGAATCAGAAAAATATGTGGTTTATGAAAGAAGATAAGAAAATTGATAATAAATTTGAATAAACTTTCAATAAAGAAGTTGAATCTGTAGATGAATATGCTGTTGGTATGTGGACTAGATGGTTGATAGCATTTCCAACTACTTTGACTGAAAGATCAGATACTCACACTATCTTCCGTCTTTCATAGACTACAGAATATTAGGATAAGGCAGAATTAGGAAATAGAGCTTTATCTGCATTCCTCAAAAAAGGATTTTATGAATTTAGTACTTATGATGTATCAGCTCCAAGTAATGCTGTTGATACTAAAGTAAACTATGAAAATATAGAAGGAGAATGGAATTACATTTATGCAGGTTATAAAAATAAATAGTTTTATGGATTAATTATTTTTAGAGATAGAGAGCATATTGAAGAAGTTAAATTAGATGTGACTCATCTTGTATTTACAGGACATGCCAGTTTGGTTCTTTCAGCAAATGAATTTGGTTATAAAGCATTTCATGGATGGATTTATGATCCAAGAGTATTTTTGGGTGTTGGTGCATTCATAAATAATCCAGATACAATAGCAGAAATGGTTCATAAATTACATCGTAAAATTCCAATTAGTTCATAATCTACTGAAGGATTTGGATGGCCAGTCAAAATGCTTGATTCCACCAATTGGGATGATTTAGATGAAAAAAAGAGTGAACTTAAATATGAGTTTAATGATAAATAAGAAATGCTAAGTTATAGTATTGGATTTTGGTATTAAAATGCCCCATTATTACCAGAAATGGAAGATGAATTCAGAGGATTATTAAGATTAACTTCAAATAATGAAGAAGTTGGTTAAGATAATTAATTCATTGGAGATAGAACATTAGCACTATTTACTAAAGTAAATGAATTAGTGGCTGCAACTTATACTATTAAGGATCCTTCATTTGAACCTTTATAACATTCATTTAATGTTAATCCATATTAATGGACCTTTGTGTATTATGGTTATCATTAACATGAAGTAAGGGCTTATATTTTACAACCAGCTGGAATTCAAGAGCATACTCAAAAAGCAACTCACATGATTCCAAATAAACTGTACCTTCATTTAGTAAATGATATTGGACATCCTTCATTTTGGGTATCTTTTTTATTTATTTATTTCTTTAGGGCAAATTATATGGATTAAAAGTCAATTTTGGTGACGGTAGTTACTTAGATAAACCTTAGTAACTCATCGATAGATGGCCTTTCGATCCTAATAAGATTACATTAACTAAACAAGAAACAGGTTCTAAAGAATGATTGCTTATATAGATATATTAAAAAATTAAATTTGATTCACTTCTAATAGATAAATTTATCATCAATCATATTATAAATATATTGCCATAAGTTTTCCATTCAGCTAATGAAATATATAAGATAGAAATGAATAAACTGTAAAATATAAAAATAGGTAATTATTTAATTATCTAATATATATTAAATATATTTAAAACTCTATTTGTATAATTATAAATTCCTTAATATCCAGATATTTATATTTTTATAATAATTTAATATATATATAATATCATAACATAAATCATGATCATCCAATTTATTCAATAAATAGATTTTATTTCTTAGTAATGTGGTTCTAAACGTTACTCTATATTTGTTTTATCATAATAAAAAATTCATAAGTTTATATAGTCTCAAAAAATGTCAAACCAATAATAATTGATGACTTATTATGAAAATACAATTTATGTCACACTAAAATTACCAATAGATGGGTAATTCCTTTATTTCATAAAGTCTGTATGTTTTATAGTTTTTGACTTTCCTATTTTATCCAAATAAATATATACTATAATTATATAGATATAATTAATTCTTTTTTAAACCTAAATATTAAGAGGATCTTATATATGGATAATTATTTTGATGAAAATTATGTAATAAGAATTTAAAATTTCAAAAAGTTATACAAATTACATATTATAAATGATTATATATACAAAATATTCATCAATAAATTATAATAAAAAAGATATTTAAATGAGCACTCCAGAATCTTTGAATCCAGCTCCTCTTACTAGTTTAGGTGATCACTCATTCAAGAAGGTGTTTGAAGATGATTATTCAACAGGAAAATTGAATCTTAAGTTGAAAGCAAATACTTAGAATTCTGGATCAGCCAATTACAAGGGTTGGTTAGATATTACAAAAATGCAATCTAAATAAGAAACTAAATTTTAATTCCCTCTTAAAAAGTATTTTATATATATATATATCTATTTAAGTTATACATTACAAATTGCTACTAGAGATGATGGTGCTAAAATTCATGTAGATTTTGGATAAGTAGCCAAATTATCAAATGGCAATGTTTCTTTGTTTGCTAATGCTAAATTAGGAAGTTAAAATATTGGTAATGCTATTGTTAGATTTGGTGGAGTAACAAAATGGAATGCTTTCATAAATCATTTACGTATTTATTATATAGATATATTATTAGGTTTGGAATATAATCCATCTAATACTATATTGAATGGATTAGCTAGAATATTTTGGAAGAATAATGAATGGACTTTTGTTGCAGCAGAAGATATCTAAATTAATGGTGGATTTGGAATAAGAAGACTTGATTTCATTGTTGGATATCTATAACCAAATTATGATGTATACTTTAGACATCTAACTTCAAATGCAACTATTTCTAAACCATTTTCAAAACTTTTATCTGGAAAATTAATTTTAGATTTTGTTTATAGATAAAAATAATAAACTTTAGGAATAGAAAATGAATATAATCTTGAAAAAGCTAAATTAACAACTTTAGTTGGAATAACTACAAAATTAAATGGATTAGATGTTAAGGCAAGAATAAATACATCTACAGCAATGTTGGGATTGAGTGGAAAGGGCAAATTTAATGAAAAGTTAATTCATATATTATACTTAGATTCAATTGGACTTTTTCAACTGAATTACCATTAGGTGGATAATGGCCTAAAAAACAAGGAGTCTTCCCAATTCCAGTAGGATTTACAATTGATACATCATTATGAATAGAATAAGTATATTCAAATTTATAATATGAAATATAAATTGAATCAGAATCAGAAATGACTAACATTGATATATTTGTTCATAGTATTCACCCATTGCTAAGCAGTTACATCATGATCTCTTTCTTTAAATATATATTTTTTCTTATTTTTATCTCCCACTATGAATTTACCCTTGCCTAATAATTTACAAGATGTGAATTAATTCAATGGAATAATTGTCTATATATTCTATTATCAATTCAATACCAATTTATTATTCAACTATGGATTTATATAATTAAAATAAGGTATTCCACCTTATATACTAATATTAGCATATCTTATAGAAAATTAAGTCATAAATAATACACCATGTTCTTTATCTACATTACCTTTTAAAACAATTTGATCAGTCTATTATTTAGTTACTGAATTGCCTCTAATATCTGGTTTTTCTCTCTCTTTCTATTTATCAAGCATTGTTGTTTAATATCTACTTAATCTTCTTTTTTATTTATTAACACTAGGTTAAGGAACATCTTGTAACCAAATATTTGTGAAATCTATTCCTCTAAAAAAGGGATGCTTTTTCAAATTATCATAATTATAATCAGAATCTTAATATATATATTTATATTAAAATTTTACCATTGATTTCTCCATAAAATCTATTTTATGGATTTCTATCTAATAATATTTTGATTAATTCTATAGCATCATTTGATATTCTTTAATCTTTTTCCCATTCACATTAACTAATATTATGGAATAATTGAAATTCATTTTCAGAATAGAATGGAGTTCGATGTGTATATAATTAATAAATGAAACATCCTAATGCCCATAAATCAGCTTAAGGTCCAACAACATTATAATCAATAAGTTCTGGACATAAATATTCTGATGTTCCAACAAAACTAGAATCACGACAAAATTTAATAAGAGGCTTTTCAAAGTCATTTAAAGATGGAGATCTTTATTTTTAATATTGAATTCTTATTTATTCCAATTTACTTCCAATATTTATTTTTTATTCATCATAAACAAATACTGTTCCAAAATCTATTAATTTTAAATGTTTATCTTTTGTCAATAAAATATTCTCTGGTTTTATATCTCTATGTACTAAACCATTTTGATGTAAATACTCTAAAATTAATAAAAGTTCAGCAGTATAAAATTGTATCATTTTTTCATTAAAATTATACTCTATCTTAAATTATTAAATACTGTTGATGTATTCCAAAAGATTGCCATCATTTAACAACTCCAAAGAATAATACAATTTATTTTAGTCTTCAAAAGAATTAAATAACTTAATAATTCCTTTATGTCTCAAATAAGCTAACACTTCTCTTTCTATGCATGCATGATGCATCTTTTTTTCCTGAACTTATTCAATTACTTATACCTTAATCAAAAAAGACTTATCAACAATTTTAAGAGCAGATTCATGCCCAGTTAGTCTATTTTTTGCTAAAACAACCTCACTATAAGCACCTTAGCCTAAAGGTTACACAATTTCATAATTGTCCAATTTGACCTCTATGTTGAATTTATATACCATATACCTTAAACATATACAGGCTATTTGATATTCATAATTATTATTTAATTATTTATGCATCATATAGTATTATAATTTCAGGTATAACTTCTCTCATTTCTTGCTCCCTACTCTCCTTATAGCATCTAATATCTTCTAAGCAAATTCCTTCAATATTTAATTGTCACCCACAGCACTTTTATGATTACATATTGAATCAATCACATATGTCAATACTAAACCACTATAATTGAAGTTTTAAGCATAATCGTTCATGAATTCTACAAATTCTTATGAATTTTATCAATACTATAATATTACTCCAATTAAATATGTTGAATGCTCTCATCACTTTTAGATTGTACTCATTCTCTATGAATTTCATTATAAAATGCATAACCGGTTAATCTACTAATTCTTTATAAGGTGGCTACTTTCCTATAAAAATGTTATTCATTATATACTGTCTCTTCTTTCAAGTGTATTGATATAATACATTGTTTTATTCTAAAAGTCAATATATACTCCAACATATTCATATTAACTTATCTTCACAGGTATAAACACTTTGTCAAATTGATCAAATATAGTTCTATTTTTACCTTAATATTGATCTGTAAAGCTTTAGGCTCTAAGAATAATATACAATTATTACTTTTAAGGATTTTAACTGAGTACATTATAAAATTCAATTGGAAATATAAGTACTCTTTTAAATTCTTCTTATAAACGACTGAAATAGAATTCCATAATATTTTGAGAGAGTACCAACTTTTATTTAAGTAATTCAAATTCTTATCTATTTATTTTCTTATTAAATTTGATAGCAACAATTTCCTCTTAATAAAGTTAAGGTTGCATAGGGGGTTATTTAGAAAAGAGCATTGATTTAGATTTTGGAATTTGTATGGATTATCTTAATTATTATTATTGAAATTAAGGTTGAATTTGAATTTAGGATTTAGTTGATGAAGGTAATCCCATGCCTTCAAACATCTAATTTAAATATTTAAATATACTTTTTCATGAATGAAATCTGAATATTGATTTAACAATATTTTATATTATTCTGGATTGTTTTATGAATAATAGGTTAATAATTACTATAATTAATCAGCAGGATTTGGTTCTTAAATTTTTTAATTTTTTACTTATTCCTTAAGTAATTCTTCCAAATCTTCAATTTTAACTCTAAACACTTTTTCTGGTGAAAAGAAAGGGATAATAGGTTTGAGAGTATAATCTTTAGGTTTTAATTCATCAGGTTGAGGAACATCCAATAATATTTAATTTTTAATATTCTCCATTCCTTGAACAAAGTCTTTCATTGATATTTAATCTTTCATAGTATCTATTCTACTAGTAGATGGTAAAGAAATGTGAGATTGAGATATTTAATTTTATCCTTATCTTTAAGAATATTAATATCGTTTAGATGAATGATTATAAGAATTTTGATTTTATGAATGAGACTATTAATATGAAATATTATCTTATTTTTGACTATATTCTATCTAAGAGACTTACTTTGATTCTTATTATTTTGATTTATTGACTTCTTTTAAGAATTGATCATCAAGTATTCTTGAGAAAGACTCTCCATTTTCTTTCATTTATTATTATCTATATTATTTGAGTAACACCCATTTCATCAAAGATTATCTTTAACAATCATTAAAATTTAATTTAAAATTTTAATGATTTATAGCTCTAATATAGATACCAGCTATTATTGAGATAAAGTCTTTTGTCATTGAATCTATTCTAATAATTTTTTGATTAATAAAGGTATTTTCAATTTATGGATTCCTATCAATCATAAGAATTTCTTAATTTATAGTATCCCAAAGTAATGCTGAAAGTATATCTTTAATAACAGTTACAGCAATTGAATAATTAGATGATGTTAATCGAATTGCTTAAATTTAATTAATATCAGTTATGAAATTGGCATCAACAGTAACATTTCTTCTGATTTGTGTTTTGATGTATTAAAGTGTGTATTAAATAAGTTTGGGAGTAATTACATCATTCTAAATATTTATTTCTAGAATTTACATATAAATATTCCTTAGCTTCTGTCATTGTGATATCATGAATGAAGGGACCAGGTACAAGTTTTTTTAAATATCTTTCATATTCATCATCATAATCTCTATAATCTGGAATTTAATCTGACATTTACTAAAAATATAATAAATTTATAAAAATTATTATATATTAAGTAGAATGGCTCAAATAATCATCGAATAGTCGGAATATGCAAAGGGCCATTAAGTTATTTGAAATCCTAATTAATTTATGGATATAGATTCCAAAAACGTAAAGTTTCATCTCCTGCTCCAGTAACTATAGTTGATCCATCAGGAGACATAGCTAAATAAAGTACTCTATTTATTAATATTTATAATACCTGCATGTATGTCCAACCAATGTGGATATTCTCTTCATATTATTACATTTCCAAAGTATTATTTAATTTTGACTATATCCATGAGTAGAAATAAGTTCATTTTCAATTTTACTAAACATGAGATTGCATACCTGACTACCAGTATCTTCTTTTTATAATGGTTTTCCTTCAAGAGCATTCCAAAATCTAATTGTCTTATCTGCAGTACCTCCTCCACTAGCCAATAAACCATGTTGATGTGGACTCCATGCAATAGCTTTAACTGCAGCCTAATGTTCAGACAATCTAAATATTGGTTTATCCTATTTATGTGAAGACCAAAGATAAAGTTTATTATCATTACCTCCTGATGCTAACATCTATCCATCAGGTGACCATTTTAAACCACAAACCTCTTATTTATGAGCAGATTATTTAAGAAAATAATTACCCTTCAATCTTAAATCTCTTTATAATATTAATTTATCTCTTGAACCACTACTTAATACATTATCTGAAAAGCACAATGTTCCTACTCTTGCAATATGACCCTTATAAGTACGAACTCTTTATAATTTAATGGCATCCCAAATCTACACTTCTCCTATTTTAGTTCCAACAGCTAAGTGAGGTCCTCTAAGTGACCATGCCACACTTGTAACTGAATCATTATGAAGATCTAATAATTTAGTAACTTTTGAAGATTATGCATTCCTGAATTTAATAAAATTGATACCATAAATATACACAAGAATTTAATGCCACAGATAATGTATTCTAACTACTCCAATCTATTAGATTTAAATAAAAATCATCTTAAAGTTATGGTGCATCAAGAACTTTAAATGGAACTTTCTGTATTTTCCTAACATACTTACCATAATAATTGGAAAGTGTTTCTGATATAGTAAAATATTTATGATCTATAAGAATACTAATAATTATATTAATAATATCATCTACCTATTGTAAATTTTGGAATTATGAATGTTGAAATTATTTTGCTGATTGTATTAAAATCCACTTTGATTGATGAACTACATTTAGTCTGACTCAAATATTGGTTCCTATTCAAGTATTTACTATTTATAGAGCATTTCTAATGCCATTTAAGCTGATGCAATGTCTTGACTCTCCAATTTGTTTTCAGGTAAGATAGAGAAATTCTTCTTTAATTGTGTAACAAACCGATCTCCCTTAAAAGATTTCTACCTTTTGTAATCTGTGCTACTCAAATTATATTAGTTCTCTTGCTTTGTCTATGGATGGTTCTCTAATTAAATTGAGGCATCATTGCACAAAGCTTAATAAGAAACAGTCTTTTAATAAATGATCACTTTTACTTGGCTTTTCAATTTAGACATTTACAAACAAAATATTTTTTTATATATATATATAAAATATAAATATGTTTTCACTTTTTATCAATAATATTTCAAATATATTAATTTATGTAACAACGATAACAAACACATGCAATCACAGAAGAAGGTAGAAAGTCTAGTTCAGACATCATTAGTCCTTTACGTGAGATGTATTAAATAAGGAGGAATGTTATGAAACTTGAGAAACAACGTACTGATGAAAGTTGTCATCGTAAATCACAAGAATTCATTAAACATATTAGTCAATCTCATAGGGATGTCATAATACCTTAACATCTTAAATTCGAGGATAATCTTGATGGTAGTAGAGCAACCATCAATTCCATTAACTCTGTTGCTTAACATTATGAAATTATCAAACCAAATCTACATAACATTGATTGGAATAAGGAAAACAATTAAAATTTAAGTAATAAGAATAAACATCATTAAATATGTGAATCCAATAAACATAAAACAAAATTTATCCAATTAGATAATTAACGTCAATAAATTAATAAAACGATTTCATAAGTACTGCCTTCATGATTAATCGAATAGATGTCCAAGTGTAATAGACAATTAGCGAATGTGTTGAAAGCCTAAGTTGACAAATTATTTGATACTATCAAAACTGACCTTAACTATAATTGATATGAATTTTTATTATATTTAATTAAAAAACTTATTCATTTTAGAGTGTGCATTTATAATAAATTATACTAATTATATCAGAATCCAAATGTTTCAAAATCCGCATATTTTATATATAAAATATTATCCTCTTTATTTTTCTATGATTCAAAAATTGATCCAACAGTTTAATCCTCTAAATAAATATAAAAAACATACCTCTCATCATTAATAAAGCATTATTGCAATATAAAAATATGCTAGTATTTTTATTAATAGCAGCATTTTATTTAATGGAATGGAGAAACTCAGCTAAATTCTTAGTTTTATCAATTGCAAATCTAAATAAATTAAATGATTCTTTTACATTCTCCAAGGGTTTTAAGCTTAATTGTTAGATTAAATATTTGATTTTTTATGTTTTTCAACAACCACCAATGCTTTTTATTCTCCAACAGCATTCATAACATTTTAATATCTTTGTTATCTTTCAACTAAAGTATATTTTTTTTAAAATTCAAATTCATTATCATTTGCTACTCCCATTAGATTGATTTTCTTTTAAAACATTAATATACTTTCTTTGTTATAAAAATTATTATATAGTTATAAAGAAATGATCACTCTACAGGTTTTTTTTCTGGTACTTTGACAATTTATTTGTATTTCTATTAAATATCATTAAATCCTTCTTCTTCTTCTAGATCTTTTAATTTACTAATAGAATAATAGCCAAATATACTTAAGTAATTAAAGAGATGATGAATATTTCAAATTTACTAATTCTCCAATTTAAATCAAAGCATTTTATTCAAATCTCTATTTAGATACAGTTTAATAAATTCTAATATATTCTTATTCATCTTTCAATTTCTTTAATTTATTTTAAACCATAATTTATCTTTCTAGATATTACTTTTCATTTTTATTCTAAATTTAATAACTTTTATTTACTTCCTTCTTTTTCTTCATATATTGAATAAGTTCTAAATGTTCTTTTTAATTTTAAATTTTTTATTCCTTAATAGATTTCCATTCCTCACTTTTTTTTATTTAAAACTTTTCAATTCTATCTTAAATACTTTATAATTTTTCATCCCACTCTTCTAATTTTTCTGATTATTTCCCTTCTATTTATTTATATCTTTCTTTCTATTTTGAAAATCTTGATTATTATTCATTCTTTTTATTTTACTACATTTTCTATATTAATTTATCATGTTCTTCTTACAATTTCTCTGATTTTGATAATTTCTAACCAACTTTATTAAATAATTCAGATTCCTTTTCTTCTCTTTCTTGTTTAATTTTTAGATTAATATTATTTAATTTCTATTCAAAATACTATTATTTTTCTAATCTATATTTTTCCATCTATTCTGCAGTTTTCTATCTTTTACTCATTGATTATTCTAATGCATGTTATTTTCTAACAAGTTCTTCCATCAAACGATTACCAAAATCATCTTTAAAATGATTAATTTTATCTTCTAATTTACGATTACGAGAAGCTATTTCTGATATCATTTTTGTTCGTTGTTATTAAATTAATAATTCTCTATAAAATAACAATATTAAATTATATTACTTGGCTTCCATTTTTTCTTAAATAGATTTAGAAGTATAAAAATCTTTATCTAATTATTTTCTTATTTTTTATTAATGAGTTTATAATCTCTCAATAACTTTTTTATTTTCTTATGCTGCCTTCTTCCTTAGATTTTCAAAAGTCTCTTTACGTGAAACAAGAAGTTTCTATTCCCTTTATTAATCATCTTGATATTTAAGTCTTCTATCCAATTCCTATCTAATTGCTTCTTTAGCAAAACAATCATTAATTTTTTGTTCTTTACATCTTTCTTCTTCAATTATTTATAATTTTTTATCCAAAGTTGGAGTTTCAATTGGTTTAGGAATTATCTTTTTGATAAAATCAGATTCAGGCCATTTACTAAATATGAAATATGAATATACTAGCCTCTGAGTTCATCTTCTTCTCTCTACCTTTTTTAAAAATCAATCTTAATTCTTTTCCTATTATCAAAGAGATTCTAATAATCTCCTATTTGATAGATATATATTATAAATACTGATCAGCTCTCTCATGTAATTTATATAGGCCTTCTACATATCTACTTCTGTATATGGAATTTTTTGGATCTCAAAATCGTAGCGTAACTCGAACTTATTCCTAGATGAGTCAGATCACAAATGAAACTTTCGACGGAAGTGATGATAATCTAATCCCATACTTTCCATGGCTTTTTAAGTAATAGGAGAATCAGGACGAAACTTTAGTTCATATTCTTAAATGAGGGATAACAGTTTGCGAGGATTAGAAATATTGGAAAGATTGGAAATATTGATGAATTTTGGCTCTGTGATAAACTACATTTAATTAATTAATTTATTATATATATATGTACTCTTGTGATATCCTACCATTACCAGGAAAATAGTATCGTTATACAAAGAATCTGAATCTTCTAAATTTAGATCATTATTCAAAGTAATATAGATATAAAAACAATTTTAGTTAAGACCAACAAAGTTCTAGCAGAATTAGAAAACCGAATGGTAAATTTAAGTTATTAAGTGTATTTCATTTAGTTATTATTATAGTTGCATAATGTAAAGAAAGATGAAGGCAAAAACTTTTATCATCATACTTCCATTTACAATTTAAAGGAATACTATAATCTAACTAAATCTCCTGTCTTTTTGTAAGCTCTTCCAACTCTATTGCTTTAGTTTGAGTGACAATACGAAGTAGTTGAATGAAATGTAAACAAAAGTACTCTTGACTGACTTTCAAAGAAAAGTGGCTTCTTATTTGAAGAAGATTCCAAAACCTAAGAATAATTAACAATATTACTCTGACATCAAACCACCAGGATATACAAAAGAATATGAAACTTAATAAACGATTCTACATACCTAATAAGAAGAATTACTGAATCGTTCATTATGTTTGAATAAATACAATTATAGACCTGAATGTATAAATGAATTTGACTTGTTTTAAGTGTCTGATGTTGGAATCGAAGTCATGTTGATGGATGGCACTAAATCCTTAAGCAAACAAGTCATTCCTAATGAAAGAATACAGAATCGTCTACTCAAGTTTATGGAAAAGTACCTAAACGATGAACATATCGATTATGACTTAAAGTAATTTTGCTCTTTTCATTATTATAACACAGATTATAGAAGATGACATAGTAATACCGTGAAATTGTGAAAAAGATAAAAACCAAGGCTTTTAAAATAAAAGTGCCTGATCATTATTAGGTTTAGATGAGTGATTTTAATGATTACTATTAAGTTAATGAGAAAAAGTAAAGAGAATATCTAGAATAATAATTTGATTCTCTAGCTGATCAGATTATCTAATCTATTCAATAAAGTTCTGATTCCTTATCTTCTTAAAGAGAATCTTAATAAGACCTTAATTAATAGGAATATATAAATAATACACCAAAGAATCATAATAAAGAAATTTAATCAGAAAAACTCAATGAAATTGTTGATTATGAAGATGAAGATAGAGTTGATGATATGAGAGAATCTAAAAGAATTGGTAAATAAAAAGATCCAAAAAAATTAACCAAAAAATAATCCATTAGAGTTTAAAGACCCTCAACTATTTAAAGATAAGAATCAAATGTTATATAATAATCAAATGAATAGAACAATCAAAATTAATAAAGGGAATAACGACAACCAACAGTAAAATAAATTGAACCAATTCATGAAGAAGAATTAAAATAAACAATTCAAGAAATTACAGAGGAATTAAAGAAACCACATAAAAAGCACATGACTAAAGCTTAAAGGGAAGAATAGAAAAAGAGAAAGAAAGAAATCTAACGATTACATGAAGATATTGAAAGAATCAAAAGAGAAAAGGGAGGAGATTTTGAATATGAGAAAACAGATTCTGATAGTGAAGATAGATATAGAAGATAGAAATTACATAATTAATTTGATGATATGTTTAAACCAAGATAAATTACTAGAAGATAATCACATGAATTTGATTAAAATGAAGGAGAAGATCTTGATTATGCAAGTGAACAAGAGATTGAAGATAGAAACAAAATTTAAAGAGTTGAATAAATTATATAATAAAAGAGAGATCCTAATTATTAATATAATCCATAAGAATTTTGGTAATAAGAAGTTAAAATAAATATTAAGAAACCTTAACTTCCAAATATTGTATCTCAATAGAGATAATAAGAATAATTTTAATAATTTTAAAGAGAAAAATTAGAATAATAAATGTAAATGATTAATTAAAAATATTCACAATAACCAAATGATTCTCCATAATACTAATAAGTAAATAATATTTAATAATAAATACCAAATGTTTAATAAATATAATAATTACTTAAAAATGATTAATAATAAATTCCCTCTTAAAATAAAAGCTCTCCATAATAATAATATATGGCTACTCCTCATTAAGAAGAGAGAAAAAAATAAAATAGTCATTATAGTGTTCAAAAATCCTTTAAAACTCCATAATCTATCCCTTCTCAATAAAACAATTAAGATTCATTACATGGTATATAAGATCACTCTTTCAATATTGATAATAAATAAAATTCTCAAGGTTAACTTCCATAATAAAATTAGGAGGTTCGTAATAATATCTCATAAAATATATAAAATACATAAACCACTTAAAATCAATAAATTAGTAATCAAAATGAGAATCAATAATAAAATAAAAACTTATAACATATTGGATAAAATGATCAAAAGTAAAAATAATAAGGTTCTAATACTAAAAAATAGGAAATACCTATTTCAGATAATAAGGGTAGAAGTATTCCATCAATGAGAAATATTGAATAAGAAGAAGGAACTTAGATTGCTAAATAAATAGAAGAAAAATTACAATAAGTTTAATCTACATTGAATAAAGTAAAGTTTGGTATGTATGAGTAAATGATGGCAGCACAATCAGTTTATGATGTTGATATTCATGTAATAATTAATTGAATAAAATAGGAATATAAATTGACAGATTTTCCATTAAGTTAAACAGTATTTCCAAAACTCAATGGGGAAGATGAAAAATAAATCTTTTAATAATTGTAATTTATTATTATTTTATTTTATCTAAGGTATGCTTGGCAGAAAGAAGTATATAAAATAATACCAATATTAAATTAATTGAATAGACATCTTATTGTATATAAATTATTAAATTAGATACCTGATGAAGATGAAGGAGCTGCGTCATAATTAGTTAGTAGTAGTGATGATGATGATAACTGATAATATTTTAATTATTAAATGTCGTTACTATATTCAAAGTAAACTATATCTAAATCTGATCTAATTGAGTCATTAACATTATTATTGTAACCTAAATCTTAATAAGACTTTGATTTTGCTTGTCAATACTTTGGATCTCTTATGAAGAAACATACCAAAGAAGTTTTTAATATATTAAGATAAAAACATTATGTAAAATTTGTTGAACCTAAAACTGAAAATTTGTTGAATATATTATTTGTTATCCATTCTAATATTGAGGAAGAGTCAATAGCTAATTAATTAAGAGAGCCTGCAATATATTGGCTATAAAAATTATTGAAAGAAAACAAAGAGAGTTTTAAATAAATTGTAAATGAGATAAATACTTCAGGATTATTAACTCATTAATAATTTATAATAAAGTAAAACAATATCCATAATCAAATTGAATTAATTACAGAAATAAGATAATCATCATATGATATTTAAAATCACGTCATCAAATATTAAGTAGAATAAGAGGATTAAAAGAAATCAAAATTATTTTGTGTCATTTATTACTCATATTTGTAAAAATTATCAATTAATTTATTGGTTTACAAATCAATTAAAAATCTCCAGTATCCTTTTGAAGAACATGAGGATATGAAGGGAAAAATTGTATGGATTTATAAAATTTAAAATATTATGTAAATTGGACTTAAATTATTAGAATATTCAAATAAAAAGTTTAAACTCTACTAAGATTTTATTTATTAAAATATGATATAATTTTTAATCTTTATTAGATAAGAGATTGAATACTTAATTAATTAATATGCAATAATTTCCAATTTGGATTGTTTATCTTTATATGAAATATATATTGAGTTTTTGAAATCACAAACAATAGTTGAAAAATATTGTTCAGATATTGATTTAAAAATACGATTGAATACTTCATAAATAGAGGAATTTTTGAATTTTTCTGTAAGAATAAGAGTTTTAAATTAATGTGCTTTTAAAAAAAGTCTAAAAGTACCAAGTAAACATTAACCAAATATATCTTGTAATCTAATAATTGATGAGGAAGGAAAGGTAAAAAGATCAATCAATAATAGCATTAAAAAGTTTAGAGTGAATTCAATAAAGAAAATATGGATTAACTTTATTTAATAGATTAAATAAGTGATGAAACATAAATTACAGAAAAGAGATATGAAAATAAATCTAGAGAAAATGAAGTTCATATGGAAATTGATTCTTATCGTTAGACTCATTTTAAAGGTTTAAGCACATTTTAGTAAAGTTGATAATTAATTTCCATATTTTTATGATTAGATTTATAATTAATATTTCTTATACTTTTATTAATATTTCAATTTAAATTGTAAATTTAATTAATTAACTAATTATTGATCACTATTTTAAGAGAATAGATTGAATATAAATATGATATGAGAAATGTTTATAATACTTTTGATATTTTGATAGAAATAAATTATATCTTTAATAATAATAAGATGTAGTATATATATATAATTTGTGTCTAATTTTGATATGTAATTAACAACTGTCAGTCTATAAGTATTCTTTTGATAAGATAAGGAGTGTTTTATTAATATATTATTTAATATTAATATAGACAATTAGGGTAGGATTGTGTATGAAAAGTTTAAAAAGTGAAAAAAGATGTGCATATCATGAATGATAATATAATAATATTAATTAAAAAATGGAAGAATAAGGCATACGTCCAGAAACATCAAAGTGCTCAAGGATGGAAAAGCGAAGATTAGTGTCATAGAGTCATTAAAGATAGGAGTCTAGTCAAGCTCAAAGAATTAATGGAATCACTTTATAATAATATTTCAGAGGTGGCAACTTCAAAGTGTTGGAGATTAATGAAGATGATTGGGATAATGAATAACCTGAATAATAGGCACTTAAAGCTCCAATTCTATAAAATAATAATTTTCGTATTAAAACAGATAAGAAAATAAATAACAAAAAACTACTTGAAAGATCCCCTGTCTAAAATTTAACTATGAGCAAGGATTTTAATCAACGTAAAATTAATAGAGTAAGTAAAGCAATTGACTATTATGCTAGCCTCATATTACATCAAATGAATTCTTTCAAAATGAGGATGATCTTAGAAAAACTAAGATAGAATTGAAATACGGACGTATGAAGGAGGATGCAATTAATCGCTTTGGTAATCCGGATTAGGAACTATTAAATAAATATGCAGATAAATTTAACATAAATAAGGAACCTCCAAAATTAACACTTGCACCAAGAGAACTCTTTACAAAATTTAAATGAATATAAATTCTTTTTTTTCATTGCTACTGCAAGTTCCAAATACTTATTCTTTAATAAAAAATACAATTTCTATTAAATAGACATTCTAATCTATGTTTATTTAACTCTAATCTAATTTCTATATAATAATTAATAATATATAATCTTATTATGATATTTACTAAAAATTAAACACTTTTCAGCAAATTATTAATATTTTATATAAAGAATGTCCAATAAAAATTACACTATGATTCATTACCATATCCCATAAGATTTGGATGATCCAGAATAGCCTAATGCTTATACGTATTGAGTATGGTTAAATATTATTAGAATTCAATTAAATATCAAAGATATCACATACACAGATATTCTTAAGACATTCCCAATCAAGGGATAATTTGATTTTAAATTTCTATATCAACATTAAAAAGAAAACTTTTGGCTTGATATTAAATCTAATGCTACTCCTTTACCAATAGTGAATAAGCATATTCATGTAAGAGCTGAGCGTGTTTTAAAACCATAAGAAACTCCACCTATTTAAATTGTTTAACCATTATAATAAAGTTAACCTGTTTAATAATAATAGAATGATTTAATGTAATTTTGAAGATAAAATGCATTGTATAATCTCAAATTTAGATCATTATTTAATTTTTTAATTCTAAACTAAAGACTTCATTATGATTTTATGTTATTTTTAATTTTTCATATATTATTGATAAAAATCCTAAATAATCTAATCTATCCTTATATCAAATATCTATCTATCTATATATATATATATATATAAAATAATCAAAATATATTAAATAAGAATATTTAATAATAATGATATTTAATTTTTTAATCTTTTACTCTGCATATGGAGTATCAATAAGTTTATTCAGAAAATAAAATCTAGAGGTTACTAATGCGTCAAATTTCGAAGACCTTATATTTTATGGATTTGTTGAAATAGGAACTCCACCTTAATTATTTGCACTATAGTATGATACTGGATCTGATATTATGTGGGTGCCTTCTGTTAAATGTGAAAATTGTAAATAGACAATTAAGTTTTCTCCTAATGATTCAGAAACATTAATATAAACTAAAAGACCTCTAACAATTTAAGTATAAAATAATTTCAAATTCAGTATCCTTCATCATCAGTCTCTGGTTGGATAGTAGAAGATTATGTTGGATTGTTAGGATCAAATATTCATTCGTTTATTCCATTCTTATTAGTCTAAAATTAGTAGCATTTCGAATATGATATAATTTAAGGAGTGATGGGATTAGATAATTAAATATCTGTTTAAAATATATTTGATATTGCTTATCAACAAGGCCTTATAAATAATTCAATATTTGTTTTATAATTAAATTAGGAGCCATATCAATCAAGAATTTACTATAATGTTACTTAATAAAAAATATATAATGGAACATTTTGGATCAATTCAATTAGTAACCACTATTGGGTAAATTAATATTGAAATACTTAGGAAATTACAGTGAATTCAGTTTAAATTAGAGATGAAGTGATTAATTTAAATAAATATAATTGTGCTGTTTTAGATAGTGGTAGTTCTTGTTTGTATCTAACAGATGAAGTATATAATACAATTTTGAATTCATTGCTTATTGTATGCAAAAAGACCTTAATGATTATAGAATGTCCTTGCCATCCTAATGAATATGAAGAATAATTTTTACCAGATATTATTATTAATTCAAATGGTAAAAAGTTTACAATCTCTTATAAAAGCTATATATTATAAGTAAGTGAATATAATGATTATTGTTAAATATCTCTTAGATCTATTAAAAGATTTGGTGATTTATTTGATTGCATGATCTTTGGAGATCCATTTCTATTTAATTATATAACAATATATGATAAATAAAATAATAGAATTGGATTTTAAAATTCAAGTCTAGAAATTTGGGATATTACACCTTAGATTATTGATGAATATAAAATTTAAATCACTGGATTAACTTGGTTTTCAATAACTGCTTATTTCTTAATATTAGGAGTTCTTTTTTATTACAATATAGAGATATTAAAAGCTGAGGATCAAGAATCATCTAATTAAGATAAATAAAGAGTTGATAATCAATAAACTTTTGTATAGAAGTAACAGCAAATCCAATAGTAATTTTGATAAAATTATTAATATTATCTAAAAAACAAAGATTTAATAATATATAGATTAATTGATTATTTAATTTAAAGATATCTATGAAGTAGATTTAATGAATAAAATTATATATAATTCATTAAAATAGATCTATGAAAAATTTTGATTTATTAATTTAATAATCATGAAAACTGTATTAGCTCTTTTAAACATTCATCAATTAACTAATCTTAAACCATCAATGAAATTTCTACTAGAATTTCAGATTATTCTTCATCATATATTAACCATCTCTCTTCATTTTAATAAATCTATTAATTATTATTATTAATAAAAATACTTCTTAATTAAGCATTCTTATCATCCTCTCTTCTTTAATCTAATTTAAATATTCTTAATCTAGCATCAGAATTTTAGGAAATGGAGAATCTGGTTTATCAATTATTAAACCTACTAAGAATGATGCCCAATCAGTAACTTATTTTATTGCTCCTTAAAATATCTCTTAAATAGATTCTTATTTCTTATTTCTATTTATAATAGTATATATAATATATACCTTTATATTAATTCTAATGGTTATTTAATCCAAGGCAGAGGATATCCATTTAATCCAAAAGGTCTAAAGTAATCCAAAGCTTCATTTAATGCATCATATAACACTTTATTATGAATATGTTCTAATTCTAATAAAAATCCATCTTCTGAAGAAATTTGTTCTTCTTCCATAAGTTAATTCTCTAATTATGCATATTATTCTGTCTATAAAATAGGTTAATTAGAGATATCATCATGTTCACTAGATTGATAATCATCCTCTTCATCATAATAATGGAAAAATTTCAAGATTTCCTTTGGAGTTGGGCCCAAAGGAGTATTTATTCTTTAAATTAATGCTGCTTTTTTATCTGACTATAATAAAAATGATTCTAATTTTGCTAAATAGACTTTGACTTATTATATGTTTGTTTTGATTCCTTTATATTATTGAAACTTAATTAAAGTAGTGATATCTTTATTGTTTACCTTTAATTCTTCATACATATCTTAGATTTCATTTCCAATAATTGAATTAGCAATTAAAATGGAATATGATTAAATTTATGAATCACTATATTCAGGTTCTTTATTTATAAGTGTAGATACTTTAATAACTTAAGATTATTAAATTTTGCCACAATCTAAATTATCACTAGTGTACAACATTTCATCATCCCATTCTAAATTTTCATATATTTATTATTAATTATATTATTATTATTATTGACGTGGAGAGGGTGATGGAGATGTTTTAGGTACTTTTCTAATATCTTATGATTCACAAATGGATGAACTAAAATTCATAGTAACAGTATCAAAATTATTAGTTTTAACTATTTTAGATTGAGATCCTGAATTGATTTCTCTAATTAATCTTAAATTACTAACATTTTCACTTGAGAAGGAAGATGTTAATTATTAATTTTTCAATTTAGACATAAATAATAAATCCTTTTATGTTCTCATAAATGTTTCATATAATCCTTTCCATCCATTTTCAATATTTGATTTTTATTATTTAAAATCTTCTTTTTCTTTTGTAACCCATTTTTCAATTTTATATTTTTATTTTTCAAATGTTTTTGGACTAATTTATTTTTATTATAATGCTTCATGAATATTTTTCATTTCATTTTTATGTCTTTCTTCAATTGCAGTTTCTCTCATTTATATTAATTTATTCATATATTCTCTATTAAGAAGTTCTTTAAATTTTTTTGATGTAAAATCATAAAATGGATTTTATTCAAATAAAGAACCATCTTTGTTAGCAGGAGAAGAAGTCTATGATAATTTAACTAGATTTTCTGATCCCATAACTTATCTAATTTCACTCATTTCTACAGATTATTATTAATCTTATTTGTCTAAATTATCTTCATTAATTTCTCCATCTATTTCTTATGTTAATTGTAAAGTGAAAGCTTTCAAATCTTATAAAACTTCTTTAATATTTTATTTAGATCCTTTTCTTTATAATTATGAAATATGTTCTAACATTTAATGCCATTATTATTTTTATTTTTCAATTATTATTTTATGAAGTGATTTTTATTAAGATAACTTTTTAATAGATGATACCTTTTAAGAATTGAATTAATCTTCATTTTCATCATCCCAATCCAATTAATCAATAAAAGTATTAAATCCATTTTTATCAATCTTTTTTTAAGATGATTTTAATCCACTCTATTCTTTACCTATTTAAACTGATTAACAAATTGGTTCCAATTAATCTTATCTTTAACTTAAATTTGGAATTAATTAATCTAATTTAATTTAATCATCATCATCATCATCTTCTACATAATTTTTATAATATTATAATATTTATCTTGTTTTATAACCTCTCCAGATCTTTTATATAATTATTGCAGCCTTAACAATTTATGCCATTTCTTTTTCAAGATTTCCCAATTCTTGTATTTATTATTCTTCATCTTCATCTAAAGTTGGTTCAGATATAACATTCTATCTTCTTGTACTTTTGTGTATTGAATCCATTTAAGATATACCTTCTTAATCACTATCCAATACTAAACCAAAACAACTTTGATTATCTTTAGGTTCTCCATTAATTTAAGCATATCGATTGGCTAGATTTTAATATTTAATAATCAATTCTCTTTTCTTTTCTGCCATTGATGATTTTGTTCTTTTTTTTTTATGAAAAGACACTGACTTTTTTTAATGTACAGATGTAGTATGATTTCGATCTATTGTAGATTATAGTGTTTTATTTACATTTAATATATTCGTTTAAATTCTATAAGTTTTATTATATTTTAGTTTATCTTTATTATTCTTGTTGTTTTTTGAATTGCAAATCAAATTAAATTTATCTTCTCTTCCATTCTTTATACATTCTAATTTCATGTAATTATTATTCATTAAATTTTGGCTAATATTGTATTTATTCTTCATTTTCATTTACCTTCTATTCTAAACAATATCAAAATAAATATTTACTATTTATCATCTATTTTATTTTCCTTTTTGGAAGATGATTCAAAAACGAGACTCCCAAAATCTCTCTACGATCTTACTTTGGTTCTTCTACTTTACCTTTCCTCATCTATTATTGATACAATAGGTTGTCTCTCTTTTCTAATTGGGCAAAGATATAATTCTTAAGTCTTTCTTGATTCAATCCCCAAGGAAGTGGTGATTAATTAGTTTATTTTGATTTCCCTTATTTCTTTTTCTTTTTCTTTGGTTCCTCATCACAATGTTTTTCACCTTTGCTTTTGGCAACTCTCTAGTTTATAAATATAACTCTACTTATTCTTCTCTAGATTCAGATTGATGTTTATATTGATACCTGACATTTTTTATAAAATATACAATTTGAATTATTATGATGAAAATTTGAAAAATTTATATNTTAATTAATCTAATTTAATTTAATCATCATCATCATCATCTTCTACATAATTTTTATAATATTATAATATTTATCTTGTTTTATAACCTCTCCAGATCTTTTATATAATTATTGCAGCCTTAACAATTTATGCCATTTCTTTTTCAAGATTTCCCAATTCTTGTATTTATTATTCTTCATCTTCATCTAAAGTTGGTTCAGATATAACATTCTATCTTCTTGTACTTTTGTGTATTGAATCCATTTAAGATATACCTTCTTAATCACTATCCAATACTAAACCAAAACAACTTTGATTATCTTTAGGTTCTCCATTAATTTAAGCATATCGATTGGCTAGATTTTAATATTTAATAATCAATTCTCTTTTCTTTTCTGCCATTGATGATTTTGTTCTTTTTTTTTTATGAAAAGACACTGACTTTTTTTAATGTACAGATGTAGTATGATTTCGATCTATTGTAGATTATAGTGTTTTATTTACATTTAATATATTCGTTTAAATTCTATAAGTTTTATTATATTTTAGTTTATCTTTATTATTCTTGTTGTTTTTTGAATTGCAAATCAAATTAAATTTATCTTCTCTTCCATTCTTTATACATTCTAATTTCATGTAATTATTATTCATTAAATTTTGGCTAATATTGTATTTATTCTTCATTTTCATTTACCTTCTATTCTAAACAATATCAAAATAAATATTTACTATTTATCATCTATTTTATTTTCCTTTTTGGAAGATGATTCAAAAACGAGACTCCCAAAATCTCTCTACGATCTTACTTTGGTTCTTCTACTTTACCTTTCCTCATCTATTATTGATACAATAGGTTGTCTCTCTTTTCTAATTGGGCAAAGATATAATTCTTAAGTCTTTCTTGATTCAATCCCCAAGGAAGTGGTGATTAATTAGTTTATTTTGATTTCCCTTATTTCTTTTTCTTTTTCTTTGGTTCCTCATCACAATGTTTTTCACCTTTGCTTTTGGCAACTCTCTAGTTTATAAATATAACTCTACTTATTCTTCTCTAGATTCAGATTGATGTTTATATTGATACCTGACATTTTTTATAAAATATACAATTTGAATTATTATGATGAAAATTTGAAAAATTTATATTAAATAATAAGAGTTATTTTATTTTTACTTGATTGAATCTCTATTAAGATAAGACAATTAAAACTTAATGATATTTCGTTGAAGGTTATCCCAAAGTAAATATTATTTCCTTTTAGAATTGTCATTAAGTTTTAAATTTGATATTCATAAATGATTAAAGATTATAAAGAAATTAGTTTATAATTATTAATTTAATTATTAATATTTAATTCATCTATATAAGTATTGGAATCCTTTTATTAATATTAAAATTTTTGTTATCTTAAGAAGTTCAAATGATTTTAAAGTCAAATTATTTCTTATTGACTTTAAAATTTATTAACTTTCTTTTTACATTAGCTGTAACAGGTAATAATATAAATTAATCTAATAATAAAAATGACTTTTTAGATTTAAATGTTTATTAATTACAAAATATTGTATTAATTCAATAAGGCTAGATAATAATAATACGAAATATATTGGAGTATATATAGTTGATATAGATTTGGAATTATCTTATATTGAATCTAAATAATTTATTTAAATGATAATATAGTAAGTATATTATTGCCATCTAAATATTATATCAGTTTATTATTATTTAAATTGAATTCGAGGGTATAGATAATAACTATTAATCCAAAATTTAAATAAGGAATTTTGAAATAGATAAATTATTAAAAGACAATAAAAGTAGGGATATAGGAATTTATTTATTGGGAATAGAATAAAATTAGTTGTAAATTAAACCAGGATTAACTATTTTTTAAGTTGTAAATAGTAGTAGTAATAAAGTAAGAAAATAAACTATTGGATTGAATGATGATTTCCTAATATTATGTTTATTGATTAATCAAAATGCTGTGTAACCTCCATAATTAAATAGAACTCTTGTGAATAAACTATCTGAAGACATTCCATCTGCTACATCTTTTGCAACAATTTCTTTTGCTTTATCAGATTCCTTATTCTTCAATTCTGCAAAACATTTACAACAATAATCAATATAACCCTAAATGAATAAAATAAATATATACTCCTCCTCTATATCTACCAGGTCTAGCATTAACAGCAATATATCTTGGACCTTTGGATCCTCCACCACATCCATTACACATCATAGGATGATTTTAATCAGCTTTATCACCTTCTTTCAACTTTAAATTCTTTCCTAATTTATGATCATCTATATTTGTTAACACAGATAAATCTTATAATGGGCCATTAATAAATATTAATGTATCATGATATTTATATCTTTCCATTCCTTACTTAGTTTCATCATCAAATTCTGCACATTCTGTACAAACATGTTCATCTTTAAAGTAGCTATAATATTATTTAGCATCCTTTGAAATATCTTTTTAACATAACACACAAACAGCTCCAGGATATTTAATTGAAACAGTCTTTGATACTGTTTTATTAATTTTCCAATTAGTTTCAGGAATGACCTAATAAAGTTTGTTCAAAATTTCTTTAAGACTATCAACTTGAGTGTCTCTAATAAAATAAGTTAGCTCAGCATTTTCAAATTAATATTATTCTCCTACTTATTTTGAATCTATTTTAAGATCAAATATGATAACTTTTTATTTATCAATTGATTTTATTAAAGTTTTAGTTTCTTCACTTAAAAGAATGGCTTTGATTTTATTGATAGATTCTTAATTAAATAATACTGGTTCAGCTTATTCGACAGTTTTCTTTGGAGCTTCTTCATTAATCAAATCATTGACAATTGTTTTCATGTCACTGATTTAAGCTACTTTTCTAATTGTTCCAAATTTATCTACTATAATGTAATGAGGAATATATTGAACTCCATATAATGTAGCATCCTTTTATCTTTATTCTTTAGGGAAATAAAACTCAATATATTTTTAACTTTCTTAATGAGAATCCATGAATTCTTTAGCTTCATCTGCTAATACTAAACTCAAAGAAACAAATCTAACTGCATTACCCCATTTATCTGAATTTTATTTGATAAGTTCAGTGTTATTAGATATTTCTCTAACACATGGACCACACCATTTAGCCCAATAATCAACAACTAAGACTTAACCTTAAGTATGTTCTATTGTAGTAAATTCTTCTGATCCCCATTTTTTATAATTCTCAATTGTAACAAATTATTTACCCTCACCAAGAGTAACATTTGATTTCAATCCTTCAATAATTAAATCAATAGTTTCTCTAATTTCTTCATTTTCTTCCTCTTCAAATTATTCAGTATATTCTCTTAAATCTTCTAATCCAGTTTTATAAGCATCTAAAGTCAAATTTTCACATTTAATTGAGATGCTCTATTTTTCTTTAGCTGATATTTCTTAATTTTCTTGACTCAAACTTAAATTTGTTATTTATGAGGTTGGGAATTAAATTTTTATACCTTTACTCTCAAAATATGATTAAAATTTAGCTTTGATTTCTTTAACTTATCTTTAAGGATCTCTAATTTTAGATTCTTTTACAACTTTCAAATCATCTGAAATTTAATTCCAATGATTTTATAAGAATGTATTAATTTTTTCTTCTTCTGCAACATTAATATCATAACTAAGTTATAATTTAGATCTCTATTTAACTTATTTAGATCCATCTTGATTCCAATAGTTTTCTTTCTGTATTTAAAGTTCTACTATTCCTTCAAATTTGGCATCCTAAATAACAGTTTATAATTCTTTAATTTTTTATTTTAATTATTGGTATTATTCTTTTGTCAATAATTCTTGTTAATTATTATTATTTGCTGCTTGATTTTCTTGATTAACTACTTATTCTTCTTCTTTTTCAAGTGCTATTTCTTTATTTATTCTCTCTTCCAAATTACCTTTTGAAGGATGTCCTAAATAAACAATTTTTCCCCATTTATTTATTAATAAAACAAATGGAATTCCTCTAAGTTAGAGATATTTAATAATATCATTTTCATCATCCCAACCCTTTTCAAATCTATAATGTTCTATGGATTTCCATTTTTTTGAATTGACTCTTTCTGTTACTGATTCAGTATCATCATCAACAGAAATAGCTACAATCTTAACCTTATTCTACCAATCTGCATTCTTTTCTAACATTTTTTAATTATGCTCCATAGGACCTTAACATGGACCACACCATGTAGCCTAAATAAATATAATATATAATTATTACCCATATATCAATTAAATAAACAATACCATCTTCTACTTAAAATGTTGTCTATGCAGTTGTTACACTATTATCTTCCCCAAAATTAATTTTTTCTATTCCTTGTATTTATTGAAGTTTGTCACCAACTTAATATTTAGGTGTCAATGTTTATATTAATGTATTTATTTCATCCTTTATATCTTAAATTACCTCTTCTCCCAATGAAGTAGATTATTGTTTCAATGTTTTATGAAGTTATGCATTTACAGCACTTAATTATTTTGTACTTCTAAATACTCTTGTGCTTTTAACACTAAAATATATGTTTATATTTACTTTTCTATCTTGGATCCTGCTTTGACTGTCTTTATGTGTTTTACAACGATATCTTGAGGAAGTTCCTTTAAAAATTATTAAAGTATCTTGGTGTCGTCCTTAATTGACATATTTTAATTATATGAATTATTAATTCTAAAGTTATGTTATAATACAACATTCTGATCTATTCTGACCAGATTAAGTTTTATACATAACTCACAAAATTATCCTTTTCATACTTCTAATCAACTAACATGGAATATTACATGAATAGTTAATCGAGTATACTCTTAATACATTTAAATAATTCTTCTTTTCTTATATTTAAAAGTCAATATTGTTTTATGGAAAGATGTTATATTATAGTTAATTTATTACTAAACTCATATAATTTAAAGATCTTAAAAATAAATATGACTTAATTTATGTTTTTGGCCTATATCAAAATGAGTACATAAATTTTATGTCCTCTTTTGGTCTAAGAACTTTAAATTGATATTGATCATATAATAATATAAATTTTGAATAGAAGAAGATATATATATATACTATTAAATATAGTTGTATATAATATTTGATTTATGAAATATTAGCAGATTTAATCATTTTCTTATAATAAACATTAATATTTATATTTCAATAAATATAAAATATATTAAATATATATTTGTAATAAAAGTTTATATTTAAGATCAATTAATTGAAATTCATTTTGGATGGAATATTATTATACTAAATTTGATCTTTTATTTCTTATCATATATTATTGTTTATTCTTATCTTCATATTAAAACCAATAGATTCTGGCAATAATCTATTGGTTTTATAAAATATATTGTAAATTACAAATTTAGTCAATTAATTAAATAAGATTTTTTAATACTTATTGAGTAAAAAAACAATTAAATTTTATAGAAGATATAAATTTAGCATTTTACATCTACCTATATATTTATATTATTTTAAATAATCATCATCACTGTGTAATTTAAAAAAAATAAGAAATCGTCAAATGATTAAAAAATATTATAAATAAGAAGTTTAATATTACTCTTGAATGTCATTCATCTAAAGTATTATTTTTAGATTTAATTAAAGGTCAGATATTTTGAATAATAAATATATTTATAAGGCAAATGAAAGACTATAATTCAATATCAACTCTTAAAGAACAATCAAAAGAAGGATTTTCAGATTCATCAATAGTAGAACCATCTATACAAAACAATAACCATTAGAATATGCTAATAAATCATGAAGATTAAAGATTAATGGAGAGAAAAAGCAATATGAAGAATTAAAAAAAATAACGATAAGGAAGAAAATCTAGAAATTTTACAATCTAAGAGGATCAAAAGCTTTTAAGATTCATATTAATGTATGGACCGAAATTTAAATTAATATAAAGAAAGATGTCTGGAAGACCATTAAATATTTTAAAGAATAGATACTATAGAGATTTAAGATATAGATGGGATGAGGTTTTAGGAACGTAATCTTATTCAATTCAATATTTTTTAGGGAATTTGCTCATTTGAATGAATAAAAAGTAGATCCAATTACTGATGAAATATGGAAAAATTCCCCACTTGATCCAGATCTATCAAAAATAATGATAAACATGGTAACGTAATTGTAAAATGTAATCACAAAATGCTTAAATTGAACAAGTCTTATGACTCAATGATTACATATTATTCATATAAAAAGTGTTTAATATCTATTTTTGCGTTTAATTAGTTATTATTAATTAAAGAAAATATAAATATTAAAATTCTGTATTTATCTATAACTTATTATCATATTTGAGTTTGAAAATTCAAAAACTAAATCTAAAATAGGTTATTTTTATTTATGATAGTTATTCATTATCTTTTCAAATCAACATTTATTTTCTTTTCAAATCAACATTTAAATATAAATTCTCAAATTAACAAAACCTCATAGAATTTTAATTTTATTAAAAATTATAGTTACCATATTCAAATTTAGAGAATAGATTAATTCTTATCTATATTTTATTAATTCACAAATTTAAAAAAAGACCAGATAATATTTTATATAAAATAAATAATCCGATAAAAAATATCGATTTCATCAATTAAATAAAAGTTTATAAAATAATAACAAGTTGATATTATTTAAAGTTAATTTATATATCTAAAAGTTTAATTTTGATCTTATTATATTATACATAACAATAGATAAGATAAAGTACTTTATAAATTTGTATTATCTTTCATCAAATAAGTTATATATTAAGTACTTGTTTTTTCGTCTACTGTATTTAAAAGAATATCTAATCATATCTAATCATATCTAATCATTTCTAGAATTACTTAAGAAAAAAAAAGAATTTGTCCACAGTTCTATAAAATTCACTCTATATGGTCTAAAGACATACATCTTAATATCCATAATCCTACTATTACATCTTAAAGTTAGATGCACTTCTCCACAATTGTAAATAAATTAAAGAACTTAGATCTTATCAAAGGAATTATATATTCTAAATTACAAATGATCTATCAATTACTATAAAATTGATAGTTGAACTATAAAATTATTATATATTAGATCTTCATATATAAGAAATTCGAAATGAATTGGTTGTATAAGGAATATTAAGTGAAAATTAAAAAGAAATTTTCATTTAATAAATTATGAAGTAGAATATTGTTAGTTCAATATTTATGAATTTGAATATAGGCAGATGCAATGATCAGGACAATTACAATAAAATTCTTATCTAGAACAAATAGTTTCTTATTGCAAAGACTGGTTTCAAAAATCTTTGTATTTAGCTTCGATCTTTAAATACAATTATTTACAGGATAATAAAATAAATTATTTGCAGTAGAATATTTTTGAGTGTTTATGATAGGAATCTCCAGATTTGCTCATTCAATTTATCGTAGACTTTCAAAGAATCCTTATTTTTATCAAATTACACATTCAAATAAAGTATATAACATGATAATGGAAAAAAAAAATATAAAAGAATTTCAAATATTTTTAGATAAAAGAGTTAAGATATTGAGTAATATTATACATTCAAATGTTTTAAATGGTAAATTGATAGAAGAAGCTAGATTGAAGGAATTATTATTATAAAATAAGATTTGTGAATATATTGAAGATTTAATTAAAAATAAAAAGTATTTCATAGCATATAAATTTATGAATGCATTTTAATATGAAACTATATCATATTAAGTAAATATTAAAATATTATATTAGGAATTAGTGCATGAAATGAATACTAATGATATGAAATTATAATATAAAATTATAAAAGAGCAGCATTTAGTTGCAACAGAAAATTAGAAGGTATTAAATCATTTGAACAATGAATCTTTGAAATTTTTTATTTTTGTATGAAAATCATTTTAATACAATAGAGAGCAGAAATACCAATTGAAAAAGTGGAAGAATTATTTCTAGGAGAATATACTAAATTATAATTTTTGATTGAGAATTATTTTACAACAAATTAATAAATCGCCATTGAAATAGCCAAAAGAAATAATATTCGAGTTCAAAATCCTTAAATATAATAAAGGATTGATAATTGTAATTATGTTAATCAAAATGCATTATTACAAAATGATGATTTTTGTATTAATTATTTCAATATTCCTAGTACCATCTGAGATAATATTACAAACAAAAAAGATTGATTAATTGATACTTTTAAGTGATTTCAATATTTTTAGAGAAGATATTTTTTTGATTGAGGATGAAGATAAATTAAATGATGAAATCATAGATCAAATTTTAAATGCTTCTGAAACTGGAATTGATACAGAAAGCTTTTAAGATATACCTTAAACTAAATTTACATCTAAAAATTAAGTTTGTTTATTTTAAATAGCTTTACCTAAAAAGATTTACTTATTAAATACAACTAATCTTACAAATAGTATCAAATATTAATAATTTTTAATAAAATATGCATCAAATGATAGTTTAAAAATTGGATAAAATATCAAATTAGATTTTTTATCATTATTAGTTTAAATAGGGAAATAGGATGTTGAATTAAAAAATTTTATAGAGTTATCACAATTATTTAGATAGAAATACCCAGATGAAAAGAAAACTAATTTATCATTGTAATGTTAAAAGTTATTGGGAAAAGAACTAGATAAAGTAGAATAAATATCACATTGGTAAAAAAGACCATTAAGAAGTGCTCAAATTCATTATGCAGCATTAGATGCTTTTATTTGTTTACATTTACATAGTCACTATAAATCATGATTTTTATAACTATTGTATTTTTATTGAATTTAATAAATTCATCAAATTTATTAATAATAAGAATCTTATATTTTAATAATTTAATATATCATCATATATATATAGTAATTATAAATCTTTAAATCTTATATAGATAATTTAAATATGTGATTATTTTATAAACATGAAAATCTTTCTCAAATAAGTTTAATTGTTTAAAGTTTCTCAATAATTTCTTCATTTTAAGTTTCTTATATAATTTGCATAAGTTAATTAAATTTTTATTGATGAAGAATAGCCAACTTTTCTTAATCCTTCTATGCTTATCTTAAAACATGATTTTCTTTGGATAATGATTTATACATTTCTTATAGATTATCACTAAAAATTATAAAATTTGAATAATACCATGTATATTGACATTAAGGATGTATTTAATAAGCATCATTTGATTCTAAAGAATAATATAGAAAATATCCTTTCCAAAATGTAATTGATTTTCCTGTAAATGATTCAGGTATAATAACATCTTAATCAATTGATTATGGATTTTTATAAAAAGCATTCATATATTTATCTTTTTATTTCATAATCCAAGACCAAATAGATACAGTTTATTCCATAATTCTTTGTTTTTGAATTTCCTAAAAAAAGTAAATAAATAAAATATAATACTAAAAATGAATCACATAAAAATGTTCCAAATAATGAAGTTAAATGATGATATGCTAAATCTAATAATAGTTTCTCATTAAATTCAAATGATAATGGATATAATTATTACATTTAAAATACACAATCTAAGAATTATAAGAAAATAGGAGATCTGGAATCTTCATTATTTTATTTATTTCCAATAGCAGAACGTTAACAAAATTAATGTCCACTATTAATCCATTCTTTTTAAACAAGAATCATAAATCCTTCAAGTGTTCTATATTATCCATCAATCATAATAGATACTAGGGCTGTCAATTAAGCAGTTCTATCCCATCCATCACTACAATGAACCAAAACATTAATTTTTTCTTTAGTCATTGTAATTGCTATTTTAGCAGATCCTTTAATGATAGCAACAATGTGATCATACCATTATGATTATTCCAATTATGATAGAAATTATACATTTTCACTTAAATTTATTATAAATTAAATACTTAAATGCTGCTTTTAATAATTTTGTTTATGAATCTCTTACTTTATGTATATTATGAATATCTAAAAAATCTATGCTACATCTTCTATAAAAGAGAGTATTTTCATAACCTTTACCTGCCACCTATTATCCAATAGCATTAATATGAGGTCTAGCATCATAAATTCTTAATCTAATTTCCTTATCTTCATATTGATTTTCTTGTTCATCAACAGTTTAAAATGACATATATTTCAAATAGCATTCATCTTCAGTAGATCTATTCTATCCTATTCCAGTTCTACATTATGAACTTCTCCACATAGATATGACTTTTCCATTAATTGGAAATGCATATGATAATATTGGTATTCTTTCTTTAGATCTAAATTTGGCTGTTTTTTATATACAATCTAAATCTGCTTTTGCAGGTACAACTAATCTATTATAATAAGTTGAACAAATGATTCCATTTTCATTATTTAAATATTTAAATAATCCATTTTAATTTTATGAATTCTCTTATAATATATTAATTCCCATTCTTTCAAAATCCTTTTCTATATTAAATATCTTCCATCCTTAATAATCATTTTCTAAATTTGAATATTCTTTATAAAATGTAAATGCAAATAAAGTTTATTTATTTAATGTAAATGCATTCTTATTAATAACATTAAATATGCTATTACAATCATCATTTTATTCCTTCAAAAATCTATATTTAAACCATCTACCATCTTTACATGATATCTCTATAAAATTAGCATCATTTTATTTCCTATCCATAGTCTTCTCTACTTTAATCATTAAAGTATATGGAATATAAAAATAATCTTTTCTAAAATCTTTTGGGAATTTATCAGGTAAAAATACAATCTATGTTAGAAGATCAATTTAATTACCTAATAATTTGTTGCTACAATTATTCCTTAAAATTATTAAGTACTAATAGAACATATTCCTCTCAGTTCTTATAAAGCTATTTCTCCAGGTTATACAATTTCTAATCCAATACTTTTAATGTCACGAGTTGTATAGGTCTATACTATATTTGTTTAGATTATTTCTGGTTCATTCTAATCTGTTGGTTATCTTTAACCTTATTAAATTGGTTATTGTTATGTTGTAGTGTTTCTAAAAAATAATTTCTAATATTGTTGAATTAATTTACTCTTGGAGCATCTAACATCTAACCTATCTATCCAAATACAGATTATGGTTATTAATTAAGTTATTATTATTATGAATAAGCAGGCTATTATTATTGAATATTTGTTTATTATGTATTATTAATGATTCCTGCTGATTATGCTAACACTAATAATTATGATTCATTAGATTTTACTTCTTTCTTCTTCTTATAATTATTTTTCAAACTCTTTTGCTCTATTATTCTTTTAGTTATTTTGTGTCTATTATTCAGGTTTCTATGTAGAGCGTCCAAGTGGATTATTCATTTAATTATTTATTTTTATGAAAAAGGGATTTAAAATAGAGTATAACTTTGAAACTGTATAAATATGGGAGGAATCAATTGAAGCATTATAATTATATGATCCTAACTATGTAAATATTATGAATGATATAGAAATAAATACAAATAAAACCTCAGAATTTAATTGAGTATGTCCTTAATACAATTGATTTAATGGCTCAAGTACGTGGTTACAATTAAGATAGCTTTATCATTGCCTTGATTAATTATTGTGTAAAATGTTTATAATACATTTTTAAAAGGAAAGAACAAAAAAGAAATCAAAATCCTTTATGACAGGGTTTATTAATTCATTTAAAGAATAAATTAATGATCCTGAATTGTCTTATTTTACTCAATTATTGGATCCAAATAAATTGATGGACAAAACACCTTCCATGTTTAAATTCTATCTAAAAGTTCGAAAATATATATATACCAATTACGTTAATCCTAGAGAATCATATATCAAACCAATTAAATTTGATGATTGGGTGACTGTAGTCTCTAAATTTTTGGATAATGCATCAATTCCTATTATTGGTAATAGAATAAGAGATGAATTGAATAATAACAGTACAGATAAAGTATTCAAAAATACGTATGATTATGTTGCATTTACTAAAAGATTAGTATATAACCAATAGAGTTATTGATATTTTGTTATGAGGTCTATGAGAAACAATAATTAGATTAAGTTTAAAAAACAAATTAAGAATATCAATAGAAAGAAGAATCTGTAATTGAATAATAATAAAAACGTTAAACTGCTCAATAATTAGCATATAAAATGATAATGCCTAATAGTTTATAAAAAGTATAAGAAGATAAGCATAGTGGTGATTCATAACAGAAAATGAAGTTCATTGAAGTTATTAAAATGCATGAGAATTTAGCTTATAATTATAAAATTTTGGCTAATAATATTTCTGATACATAAGATATAGTTGGTTAATTGATTTAGAAGGTATTATTTTGAAATAAAAAAAGAATTAAAATTAAGATTTTGATGATGATTTCATATAATAATTAGAATAAGTTGTTAATTTTAAATCATTTAGCAAGAATGATGCAATAAAAGAGTTAGAAGATTCAAATATATATGATTTTATATGAAAATAATTATGAAATACAAAAAATTGAAATGTATATTTAAACTAATTTTAATATATATATTCATGTATCTGTATTCAGAATCAAAATGTTTGACAGCAGGATTCTGCTGGTTCTTCATAGTTAGAATTATATTGTTTCCAATTTTCCACAATAAATACTTAATTAAAGTTAGTTGAAATGCGGAGACGTTTCAACTTCGATACATTGTTCTTACCTTATTTTTTCAGTATGCCTTTAATGTTCTAACTTCTTTGACTTGAGATAACTAAATTTTCTTAATTATGTTGACTTTCTTCAAATTATTCATAATCAGGAGGTATAAGAGATCTCGTTCTAAGGGAATCGATTGCATGTACTTTCTTTGACATTGTAGTTTTGAGTACTGAGAATTAGAGATAATGAAAAATATTAAATTTTAATAAAATGAAGGGAACAATTGATTCATAAGGTGGTAAAGTAATATTATTGAATAAAAGTAGAATAGTAAGAGATAATTAGAGATGGAAAGATTAGTTTAGAAACCTGAAATAGGATTAGCCACTTTAGGTTAAATGTTTAAAAACTATTCATAATAGTTAGGAGGATTGGAAGATGGTAAGTAAATTAATCAAATATTATAGGCAAGATAACAAAGTTGTAATTTCGAAAGTTCTTAATAATAGAATAGATATGTTTTATATTCAATTCCATAGGACTAGTATTAAGTGTATTATAATATGATCTTGAATTTGAAGAAGAAAATAAGATATCAATTTGGTTGTTATGGATGATTTTAATATCTACTATAATGTTATTGTGTTTTACAGTTTTAAGATATGAATAACATATGAATTGGTTGAAATCTAGGAATATGATAAGTCATAAAGATAGATTATGGTAAACAGATTAATGGTAACCATTATTAATAGAATTAACAATATATTTAATTATCCCATATCCATTCTTAAGAGGGATAAGAGTGTATTTTTCCACTTATTTTTAAGAAACTTAATCATATTATCATATAAATGAAATTCTAGAATTGTTTATGTTATCAAGAACAGTATTTCTTTTTAGAAGTCTTTTGGCTTAAACATTTTGGTATAGTAACAGAACTTAGAGAGTATGCAATTTATATGCATGTGAAGGTAATTATATGTTTGTGGCTAAATCTTTAATGAGAACATCTCCATATACAGCTTAATTCATAGCTTTGACATCTTTAATATGTATATTTGCATAAGGTGTGAGAATTAGTGAGAATCCTTTAACTAGAAATGATCCTAATAATAATAATTTAGGTAAATATGATAATGCTGTATGGAATATTATTATATCTATAACAACAGTTGGATATGGTGATTTTTATACTAGAACTGATTTAGGTAGATTTGTAATATTTATTGTATGTGTACTTGGAATTTTTGTTATTTCTATTATGGTAGTTACATTGATTACTTCTTTAGAGACTTCAACTTTGGAATCTCATGCAATAACTGTTTTAGAGAGAATTTAACTAAGAGAATTAATGGTCAAATCAGCTTCAATGGTAATTTTGTACTCATTAAGAATAGTAGTTGCATTAAAGTATAAATTTATTTATTATAAGTAAAATAGAAAAGGGAATTTGACTAAATTTCAATTCAAATAATTGATTCTGAATTTAAGATATAATTTAAATGAATTTAAAATAAATAGAAGATAATATAGAAATAAATAAGATGTTGGTAATATGAATGAAGAAATTACTAATCAATTTAGTTTATTAAGATCTGATTTTACTGGAGCAATAGAAAAATAAAAATCTATATTTATTTAAAATGCAGATATTATGAATAAATTAGGATTAGAAACTAAATAATTTCAATTGTGATATTTTATATTTAATTAATTATAAATAGATATATTTATTAAGAATGTAAAATAAAATATTTGAACCAGCAGAAATAGATCACAAAATAATACCTAGATTTTAATTATAATCAAAATTTCTATCCAAAAAAAATAATCCTATAGAAATCATGTGTCATTAAAATTTATTGTTTAAAAAAGTAGTTCTAGATATTATTATCTCTAGTCTTAAAAATCATTTAAAATGACTAAACTTAATAGCACTTTAAGATATTAAATTAAACATGAATCTACTTCCATTATTTTGAGATTAGAAAAAGATGATTGTTAATTTAAAGAATATTTATTTCTAGATAAGTCTGAACCTTGGGAATTAAAATTAAAATCATAAATTCCTTAATTAGATTATTAAACTTATTATGAACTTGAAAAATTGATTGGAAGTGGAAGTTTTGCTTCTGTTTATATAACTAAAAGAAAAACAGATGGTATTAAATTAGCAATCAAAGCCTTCCTTAAAAAAATGCTTATATAGAAAGATCCTGAAAAATGGAGAGTATTTTATTCAAATTTATATAGGAATCTATTGATAATGAAATAAAAGTTATGAAATCCTTAGATCATACTAGTATATTAAAATGTTATGATCATTTTGAAAATAGAGCATAATGCTATATTGTGATGGATTTGGCAAGAGGAGGAACACTAGAATAAGGATTAAAGAAATTAGAAGAACCTTTGCCTTTTTTGACAGTCAAAGTTATATTCAGATAAATTGTTGAAGCAATCAAACACATGCATGAAAAAGGATATATGCATCGTGATTTAAAACCAAGTAATATACTTCTTAAGAGACCTATGGCATTAAAATAATTCTCATTGATTGCATAAACTGATCCTAATATAGTAGTAAGTGACTTTGGAGTAAGTTCAGAAATAAAGAAAGATATGGATGTTGGAAAATATTGTGGATCTCCAGGTTTTATGGCTCCAGAAGTAATTCTTTGTGAAAATAACAAAACATTAACTTATGATGAGAAATGTGATATCTTTAGTTTAGGATGTATTTTATATAGATTGTAATTATATTAATAAATTGTAGAATAACAAATAAACCATTATTTAATGGATAGAATTCATAAGCTATGAAATAGTAGAATAAAGAATGTAATCTAGATTGGAATAAGATTTAAGATGAATTTTATTAAAATAAGGCTTTGGTAAATTTATTAAGCAAAATGTTATCTATTGATCCTAGACAGAGACCATCATGTGAAGATATATTAAATAGTAAGATATTACAAGTTTAATTGGATAATGAAGGTTGTCCCTTATTTATCAATTATAAAAAACCTAAATCTTCTTCAATATAATAAATAAAGACTGCTAGACCATCAATTAAATCAGTTAGTAATTGTAAATTGCCTTAGTTATCACCTAATCATTTTACATTTAATAATCATAATAATAATCATATTAACAAAAGATCAGGGAATTTGTTATTACCACCTATAAATAGTAGATTATAAACTGAATAAAGCTAATATTGATTAATATATACTAAATAATAATCTATTAACAAAAATCAGTAAACTTAAGTTGTTGTTGGTCTATCCAATTCTTTGTACAATTTTTATTATTAATTTCTCACTTATTTGTTCTTTATACTATTAATGGTTTCTCTCTAATAATTATTAATTAAAAAGTATCTACTTAATTTTCATTTATCAATGTTGTTTCAGATCCTATAATACTATCTCTTATTTACACAGTTCCAATTTATTCTATTAGTCTTTCATCTCTTGTAAACAAAACAGTTGTTTTATTATTCCCTATAATTCCTTTTGGAGTTTATGTTAGAGTGGATAAATTTAAATAGCCCTGGAATTAAATGTAACTTTTACTTGATAAATAATATAATCATCCATAGAAATTTCACATTCTTTAACTCCTCTAACAGGTGTTTTACTATAATTATAAAAAGATATAGCAGAAACTTATTAAGGTGAATCAAATAACAATATCAATTTATTAACTTAATAATTAACTTAGTCAAAAACACTTGAATTAATATTAGTTTATAATCTATTTGTATACGAATTAACAAAAGGAGCTAACCAAATTTATTTAGCATCTAAAGTAACATTACAATTATTTAATAATTTATCTGGTGTTCTAACATCCATTTCCATATCAGGTAATTCTTTAACTGAATATGGTTTTGAATATAATTTAGGCATAATTAAATCACCATTAGGATCAAATAATTCAATTCCATTCAATCCAATATAATGTAAATCTCCCCAAGTTGATATTAATTTTATAGTAATTTTAGTTCCTTAAGGTAATTGAGCAGTTTCATAATCTAAATATATACTCTTTTCAAATTAATAATTAGCTAAAATAGTTTTTATATTTTATTGATATGGTAAATCAATTATTTATGGTTCATTAGCATCAATTAATCCATGACCCTTTCTTAAAAATATACCTTATATAGTATTCAATATTTGATCATCTCCTTCAATATTTATTAATTATACACCTTTTTCTAATTCATCTTCTTTATTATAATTCCAAATCAGTATTCTACTAATTTGAATACATTATGGAAATGAAAATTGTATCCTAATTTATCCATTATGAAATTGCCATCTTTCATCATTATTCATTATTGTTTCTGATTAATAAGTAATCACTTTATATTTTTTTATTTTTAATGATTATCCATATTTATCATGAATTTCTATCTTATCTAATCCAACATATTTATCACCCCAATTCTTTAAAATATATATTGTTAATGTTTTAACAGTTACAGTAGGTAATGTATTGAGAATAGATGCAAATGCTTTTTTAGAATTTTATTATAATAATTTATCAGATGGTTATTTAATAAGAATACCATTATTCTATTTTTATTAGTTATGTTTATTAAATGTAGCAGTATCTGGTCTACTAAATTTTATAGTATTTTCTAATATCTATTTTTATTATTAAATCTAATTCTCATGTAATCTATTTAACCAATCAGATTAAGATATTTTATCTAAGATTTATTCATTATTAGTAAACATTATGTATTCTGCATTATCACTATTACATGTAGCATTAGCTTATTTAATCTCATCATAAAATATAGGATCTACTTAATCAGATAAATCCATTCCAATCAATATCTCCATTCTTCTTACTCCTTTATTTCTATGTGTTCTTCCTTTATTATAATTCCAAATCCTTATCATAGCTATCTTTGTTTCCTTAAATTTCAATTTAATCTCCATATTCTTTTCAATCCTTTCTAAACACATACATTTCTCATCCTAAGTAAGATAATTATCATCAAATAAAACATATGGATTCTTAAAAAAACCACTTGCTTCCATTACTTATACTTTATTTCCTAAATAATCAAATATCTCTATCCCAGTTAATCCTATATAAAACATATCTCCCCAATTTTATAATAATTTAAATATTAATAAATTTCCTATAGGACAATCAGGAATTGTAATTCCTTTAATTCTTTATTTTGTTTAACCAGCAGCTATATGTGCAACACCTCTTTTTACATATAATATTGTTGAATCTTCCTCAGTTAATTATTTCTATGGAAATAAATTCATAGGATTTTTAAATAATCTCTTCTAATTAACCTATTATTTAACAGTTTATGGTTCAGGTTATTTGATTCTTTTTTCATCATCAAAAGGATTTTTCATAACTTTTGGTTTTTAATGTTTAAATTAATTAGATGCTTTTGATTAATTTATACTATTATATAATGAAATTATAATTTACATGTTATCATCTGATTTTTTAGAAACCATTGATTACATTGATTAATAAAATGGTTAAGGTATTTCTTTAATTTAATTATTAATTTTCAATTCTAATAGATCTGCATATTCAGTAAATGTATTGCCTACTCCTCTTTTTAGTTATCCTGACCAAATAATTTATTCATTTTATAAAATCTCAATGTTTTATACACATTTATCTAATTCCTTTCTATTTTTATTAAAATTCCAAATTTTGACATATGTAAGTATATCAGAATCTTCAATATAAAAAAGAGTAATTATGATAGGGAATTATTTATAAGTAGTTATCCACATATATTCCTAATTTATTATCAAATTATGTCCATTAATAAGATTAGTAATAGTGTTATTTGAATCATCATCTGAAATGATAGATGTTATTTTAATTAGTTTTTATTATTGATTTAACAATTCAATCCCTGTTAATCCTACTTAAGTATTATTACCATAATTAGACAATATTCTTAATTGCATTCTTTTAGTTTTGTTATTTTTAAAATATTAGATTAGTTCTTCATGTTTTTGTTCTCCATTTTCGATCTACCCCAAAAGTTATTTAACATATTCTTATTCTTTTTGAGGTAACTTTTAAATTCTAGAAAGTTCTTGTTACTAATATACCTTAATTCGAGGTTATTAAATATTTATCTCTCGACAGTCGATAATTGGATTCTACTATTTTGTGTTTAGTTAGTAGATGTTTGCTGATTTCTAACATTAAATTTCTCTCCTTAACGTATTGATCTATTTAATACGGCAGCCTATTTAGTATCCATTGATTTAAGGAATGACATAATCGTGTTATCAGGATTGATATCTTTAGGAGTCGTTCTTGAAGTAGCAGAGACTTGACGAGTTAATTATGGTTTCTGATATTGTAATCGTGAAACACTCATTATTATTTATTAACTATTTTGTATTCTTTACATCCACACCCGTTCATATTGATATTCACAAATTTAATTAATGGGTGAGATTGTCCCTAATCAGCTATTCGTCGCTGGATACAGTCGTAACAAAGTGACTGATGAAAGAGATGTTAAGGAAATCTTTAGAAAATATGCCTCAGTCAAAGAAGTTGCATATAAAGGTTCATATTCTTTCATTGTAATCTTTCCATCTTATCAGACTTTCAATAGCGAAGCTGAAGCTTAAGAGGCACTTAAAGAGACCAATGGAATGGCATATAATGGTCAGAAACTCAAAGTTGACATTGTTGATAAACGCAAAAGTCGAAAAACTGGACCATCTGAGGGTGATTAATGTTTCAAATGCAATAAAGGTGGCCATTGGTATTAATTTTATTTGATTCTTAACAGGGCTAGAGATTGTCCTAATGGCAGATCCCCTCATAGAAGTAGAAGATATTCAAATTCCAGATCTAGGTAGATTATTTATCTATATCAATTCTAGACGTCATAGAAGGAGATCTGATTCTCGTTCTTATTCTTCATAGTCTTCTTCAAGATCTAGAAGAAAAAATAGATCCTCCAGAAATAAACATAGACATAGTAGAAGTAGAAGTCCGAAAAGACAAGAAAAACCCAAAAAGAGAAGCATCAGTAGAAAAAGATCACCCTCTGATTCATAATCATCTAAACGTGCTAATTCAGACTCAAAGTCTTGAATAAGAATGGGAAAAAAACACATTTTATTCATCAAAAAATTTTAACATATTATAATTGTAATAGTTAGTTACTCTCCTATGCACAAAATTAATCATTACAATCTTACACCTTTTACAATACCAGACTTAATTGCTCCCTCTCCTACATAATTAGAAGTTACAGGACTAAATAAATACTCATTATTACTTCTTTATGTATTTGTTTTAACTCTTTAATTTATAAAGTGCTTTTTCATACTTTAACTTATGTTTTACTCTTGAATTCTTAATTCTATTACCTCTTCTCCTCCTCATCAATGAAATATTCTATAATTCTCTAAAATTATAATTACCTTCAACATAACATAAGTAATCTTTCTTGGATCATCCTCTCCTACTTCATGTAATTTTTATATTTTATTTAATTTTTAGAAATTCTCAAGTCTTTCAACCTTCTTCTCTTCTTTCTTCTATTTCTTCTTATCTTTAATCCTCTTTAAATTTTCTTCATAAATCTCATCCATTCCTCCCTCTTCTAAATTTTCATCAACATCCTTCATTGCCTCTAACATGTCACCAGAATTTACTGATATTCTCGATTCCTCACTATCTTATTCTTTATTTTCATTTTTCTTATGAGTTCTATCAACATCTTCTAATAACTTCTTAATTTTTGAAATCTTCTTTTCATCTACATCTTCTCTATTATTATTATTATAAATAGTCTTCAACTTCCTCTTCAAACTAAGAGTGTCTTATCCTTCTTCTTATTTTGTTGTCTACTTCTTTCTCTTTACTTCATTCTTTTTTGCAGATTCTTACTTTTCTTTCTAATCAATATTCATTTATATTAATTGAGCATATTTCTCATAATTACTACTCTCCTCTATTAACTCCTTCATATCATTAATCTTTTTAAAAATAGGATGATGTTAACTTAATCTTGTCCTTGCTCTCAAATGTAAATAAAACCATAACAATCCAAAATAACTTTACATTAATTCAACTCTTATAGTTAAATACTTTTTAATTTCTGTTCCTTTTTCCCTCTTGCAATTCCTCTTTAATATTTTTATCTCCTTTCCAATAATACTAATTTCCTTAAGGATTCCTTTCAATTCTGGCCAACCTTTTAATACAATATTATTTAATTCTTTAACATCCATTTTCTCTATTATTTCAGGTTCTATTCCAATTTCTTCACTTAAACATTGCAATCCAATCAAATTGTATTCATTTGATAATTACTTCATTTTCTATTCAATTTCTTATTACTCTTAATCTATATTCACATCCCAAACATCAGTATCCTAAATCTTCTTTGCTGCTTATAATTACAATGCTTTGGCTTCCATCTCTTCCTCCAATTCAGCATCTGAATCTCCTGACTCTGCATCATCCTTATAATATTTAGCTTTATTTTTTCCCCAATTCTCTATAAGATTAAATTACTCATTTTACATTTCTCTTATGCAAATGCATTTATTTTCTCCTTCTTATTCTGACTAAGATACTTCTAATTAACTTCTTTATCCTCTTCTTCACTTTGAACACCACTTACAATCGATGATGAGATTTCAGACATTAATTAAAATTAATAAATACCAATTTATATAATATTATTGCAATATATGAGTATTATTCTTGATTTAACAATATTAAAGTCTTAATAAGATATTATAATCTTCTATAAAACCTTAAATTGATGGGAATATCAATTACTTATATAAAGGAATAGAATTATTTTGATTTCTATGAATAATAGAATAGTGGAATTTGAGTAATAATATTTCATAAGTATTTTTACTTTAAAGTTCATGATAATAAAAGATCATAATATATTATAAAATTAGATAATATATTCTCTAAAGAATTAATGAGTCAAATTTAACCATATAATATAAGTTTGAAAAAGAAAAGTATATTTAGAAAAATTTAATTAATTTGAAGAATATCTAATTTCATCTTCTATGATTATGGTAAAAACAATTAAATCATTTTAATGATGAAATAATTATATTTTCAAATCTATAATTAATTAATGGATTTAATATAAAATTCTGATATAAAAAAATCATAGTTCATGTTAAGATTTAGAGGAGAAAATTCTATTCAATAAATTTAATTATGGTCGACTTTATAAAAAACTTCTACCTTATGACTTTGTTGAACGATGATTGTTTTAATATACAATATTTTACATTTTTTTTTAAGGCATTAATAAAGCTCTTAACATTTTTTTACTTTTCTCAGGAGAGGAAACAGTATTAATTGCATCAATGTCGAGAGAATTCTATTTTTTAAAAGTGATTCTTGGGAATAGTAATCTCTACTATATCCCCAGTAGACAAAGTTGTTTTTTAATTGAGTTTTATTACACTGGTTGTTATTATGAATCGAAATGAAATGAGAAATTTTTATCTCTTGTTAGATTTAATAAATTTGGTTAACTATTTGACTTTATATTTAGTGTTGGGTTGATATTATTAATTGTTTGTATTTGATCCTTGTCATTTTGAGGGTTGAGTCTCTTTAGACTTCTTTTATGAAAACTAAATCCAGGAGGTATATAAAATTAAGCTGTTTATTACATTGGAGTCAAAGTATCATTCGATATCATAATTTTTTATATTTTCTTAAATTAATATTAATGTAATATATTATTAATGTACAATCTGTAAATTGAATCTAATCATAAAATCTTATATAAATAACAATGAGATTATCTTCTGGGATCATAATTAATCTAATTATCTTCAGTTATTTAATTTTCATTATTGGTTTCAATTTGATTAATATTTTCATCTTATTATATATTTTAAGATTCATCTTATTATAAGGTAATTTATTATTATATTATGGTCTATTATTATTATAATTATACTTCTTATTCTTCTTATTATTATTATTATTATTATTATTATTATTATTATTATTATTATTATTATTATTATTATTATTATTATTATTATTAATCCAATTATTATTCATCTTATTATTATTAATCTAATTATTATAATTCTCTTTTAATTATTAAATATTCATATATTTCTTCTTATTATTCCTATTTTTATTATTTTTATGATTATTTATATTCATTTATACATTAAACCAAAGAATCTTTATCTTTTAATACATAACTTAATGGTTTATCTTTTAATCTAGTTCTAATAATATTAATTAATTCAGCTTAACCAGATAATTTAATTTTAGTTTCAAATACATTTCTACTTTCAAATACTTGTTCCATAATATTCTTAAATTAATAATAAAATAAATACAATTCTTTTTTAATGTGAAGAATGGCTAACAAATATGAGTTATTTTGCCACTCTATTCATTTCTTTTAACAATAATAAATTTTTAGTATCATCACCACATGATAATGCATCTAATGTACCTTTATCAAATGCAATATCAAATTATTTATCTTAAAAATCCATAGATGTTGCATCCATAACCAAATATTATAATTTCATATTTTATTTATTAGCAGATTCCTACATTCTATCAATAATAGTTGTAGATATATCAATTGAAACAATATTATGATAACTATAATATATAGATAAATATATATATACCCATCTTTATACATTTATTCAGATAATGCTGAATTACCACATCCAACCATTAATATTGAACTTTCTTTGTTTATTTTAAATTTAGTTTGTTCTAAATAGAATTTAAGTTAAGGCCATTCTACATACCAATCAAATCTTCCTTTATGTTCTTTATATCTATCTTCCCAAAATTGATCTCTAGCATATTCTTCTCTTGAAAACACTTAACTTTTAGGTTATATTTATTCTGATTAAATTTCTTATGTCTATTCTTCTGTTTATTCTTCTGTTTATTCTTATTATTTCTCTTTCTATTTTAATTCTTAATCTTTTTTTAGTTTCCATACTCTTAAAAATGCTTTAAGAAATTGCTTCTTCTATTCAGACATTTCTGTATTTTCATTATTATTAGAATCCATAATTATAGATAATAATTTATATATATAAACCCATAAAGAATTACTGTGAATCTAAGTAATACAAATAATTGATCAGAGATATAGATTAGGATCATAATCTCTGAGGCAATACTCTAAACATGGTTATTGCTATCAATATTATGATAAATAGATTAATGGTTTAACTTGGAAGCTTATACTGATTAATAGTATATGCTTTGTTTCAATAAACCAATATTATTAATTCATTATAATTTTTATCTCATGAACAAAAAAGCTCATCATTCTAGACATTCAAATAACAAAGAAGCAATAGTGATAAATGATGAAGAAGATGAACCAAAAATGTATATAAACATACTTATAATATAAGTTAAAAGAAGATTAAAAATGATGATGATTGTATACTAAATGTAGATGTAATTCCATGGATGAGCAAGAAAACTTTATTGATTAGACATCCAGTCTTAAGATTACATAATGAAATCATTGAATTTTTTGATTATATTTCACCATCTGATTAAGAACATTAACGAAGAATCACAGCTTATTTGAGAGTAGAGAAATATTTGTAAGATATAGCCCCAGAGGCTAAGATTGAATCATTTGGTAGTTTTAAAACAAGAATGTATTTACCTAATGCAGATATAGATATGGTAATGATAGAAACATCTTGTACATAAAAATAATTATTTAAGAAGGTAGCTGCTAAAATGATGAAACAAACTAATAAATTTGAAAATGTTAATTTAATAGCTAATGCTAAAGTGCCTATCATTAAATTTATTGAAGTATAATCCTAATATCATTTTGATTTATCATTCAATTAATTAGATGGATTAAAATAAATTGAAGAATTAGAAAAGGCTTTTGAAATTTATCCTGAATTGAAATATCTCTTAATGACTTTAAAATGTGTTTTAAGATAAAGAGATTTAAATGAAACATATAGTGGAGGAGTGGGTTCTTTTTTATTATTTTAAATGATCTTGGCTTTTTTAAGAGAATATCGTAAGGATTTCTTTTAACATAATAAATAAGATCAAATTAAAAATGTTACATTAGGAGAATATATGATTAAATTTCTTGAATTTTATGGAATCAGATTTGATGTATCAAGAAAGAAAATTGATATGGGTAGAGGAGGAAGTATTGAAAATAAATCTACTTAAGATGAGAGATTCTCATTAATTAGTCCATAAGATCCTGATCATGATGTTGGTCATAGTAGTTATAAAATTAAAGAAATATTTAAGATATTCTAAAATAGACACAATTTCTTAACTAATTATAATTTTAAACCATAAGAGTCTGTACTTAGATATTTAATTAATCCAACAGATTAGAAATTTTCATTTCTTAAACCAGCTTAATTTTGAAATATATTTTCATATTATTGTTAAATACAATCTAAAATTATATACAAAAAGTCTTCCTCTTTTATCTCCAAGAATCAATATACCTTATGGAATATTTATACTTATTGCTGTTACTTCATCAATTTCTAATAGTTTGACTTTCAATAATAATTCATTAAACTTTATATTATACAAACAAAAGTAATCAGGTTTGCAGATAAATAATAAATGATGAGAATCCAATTATTGAATATGTAATATTTTTGATTTTGATAATTTTATGTTTCTTAATATTTTACTCTTATTATTGCAAATCATAATCTTTCCTTGTTCAGTTCCAAAAAAGTTTAAATTCTTTTCATAATCTGAACAACTTAAATTATTCAATTTTCTAAAATGAGTTCTTGAGATTTTTGATATTAACCATCTTACTGTATATCCTTAAGAATCAGTTGATAATAATATATTTGTTTCAATTTATTTTAAATTTATTAGCATATTCTTATGAAATTGAAATCTATATTAGTATTAGTTTAAATCTAAATTATAACATAAGATATCATGATTTTATCTCTAACCTCCAGGACTAAAAATACAATTCTTATAAAAAATCGCTTGTCTACTATAAGCAAGATTACTTATTTCTTAATGCAATTTTAAAATTTGATAATTATTATTTATATTTACATTGAAAATTGAGTATTTTTAATCATCTCCACAACTTAATATATATTCTTGTCCTTAATATTTAAAATAGGTTAAAACTCTAATCCATGATTAATGTACATCTTTAATTCTTTATATTTCTTATAGATTTTTATTCCAAATAGAAATTGATTTATCAAAACTACTCACAATTATTTTATCTTAAATTTATATAATTTTGCTAACAACTTAATTATCACTTGCAATAAATTTGGAGTAATCACTAAAAGATTAATTGAAATCATAAATAAACAGCAATCTTTTATCATTAATAAAATTATCCACTAAAAATAGTTATTCATATTGACGATTAAATTGTTCTAATTTATTAATCTATGAAGTTAAATTAGAGTTTAATTATTAGAATACATCCTCTATATATAAGGATATCTATTGCAAATTTAGTTGTAATTCTTCAAAGATTCTTTCAATGAATTATTTTAATTAAGTTTAATTATGTATTGATCCTTATGATAATTTTTTATTTAGATTTAACATCTTTGATTGCCAAAAACTGAATTTTGTAAAGGTCTCTAACAAAATGTTTTAAAACTTATTTGTAAATTCTTTGTCTTTAATATTTATATATTCTTTAATGTTATTTAAATTGATATCCATTAATTATATTAATTATATCTATATTTTTAGCATAATTTATATAACAGATTAATACAATCTATAAATTTTAGATCTTAACTAATATATAGAATAAAAATATTTTATTAAAAATAATTATGTAATAAGATACAAATACCACTTTTGAAATTTAAGATGGCCAATAGTAATATTAGGTTCCTCTTTAAACTGATAACTAATAAGGTAAACATAATATTGTTTACATTCAGTAGTGTATACACAACCCATGAACAATTATGCTTCTCAACCATAATATACTCCTAATCCATAATAAGTTGTTAGAGTTTAGGGATCTCCTTGTAAATCTGATAATAATTATTATAGATCCAGTTTAATAAGAATTAGTTGTAGTGAATAATTAATTAGCTAATGCTACATAATCATAGATATTATGTAATTCATCAAGATTCGCTATTTTAATCACATGTCCTTATTGCTAAAAATAAGGACTTACTAGAATTGATTTTAAAGCAGGATCAGGAACATGGTGTTGTTGTTTCATATTATTTTTATTTATATGCTGTATTTGTTGGGTGCCATTTGTGGCTGAAAAATGTAAAGATGTAAATCATTTATGTTCAAATTGTGGGTAACTTGTTGGTTCATGTCCTTATAAAGTGTGTGGATGAATATGATTCAATAATATTTGTATTTGTTTTGGTTTATCCAACCTATATCATTATAGAATATTAATATATACATTACAAAATATTTATATAGAATACTATTAGCTAAATTCTGATTAAAATATAAATTAACTTAAATAGATGTTATTTTATTTAAAGAGTAATTATGACCAAAATTTTCATATGCAATCTTAAACATGAAGATTTATACAATAATAATTTAAGTATTTAATTTTGATAAAAATCAAACATCTTTCTAAATTGCTATGATATTATTTTAATAATTTTAGTTTAGAAGTTTCTAATAATAATTAATATGAACTCTGAACTTTGAAGTAAAATTAACTAACTTTAAAATGTATTTCTAATGAAACTAATCTGTATTTTAGTATGAAAATTTAATAGATTTATCTTATGATAATATTATCGTTTATCATTTTGAAATAGATAGAAGTTTAATATTAAGATAAATAATTTATGAAACTATTGATTTTAATATAGTTTATTTACATATATAATTAATCATTTATTTATTTATAAATGAATAGAAGAAAAACAGTCGCTAAGGATACAATAATAGATGTTGAGGATCAAATTAAATAGAAAGAAGTATTGTTTGCAGTATTAATTAAATGTTATTATGAGCCTGTAATTTAAGTGTATAGAGATAATCTTAATCTAACAGATATATAAGTTGATTCGATTACAGGCATAATGTAAAATATAGAAATCTTTAAAACTTGGTGTCCTGAATCTAGTACATTATTTGAATTCACTCGTTTAATTTGTTAAAATCTATAATATGAAAGAATTGAAAAAGAAAATGCAGTATTTCATATAGGTTAATATTCAATACTAATTTAAGGTGAATAAGGAGACAAATTCTATATAATCTTAACTGGAAGAGCAGGTGTATATATTCGTAGACAATAATAATAAATAGAAGCAGAGGAAAGTGCTATGTTGCCTAAAATTGAAAAAATACTTGAAAGAATGTAAATTAAAACTATTGATGAAATTGAATAAGATCATAAATTATCATTTTATGAAAAACTAATAAAAAAATAATCAAAACCAGTAAAATAAATAGAAGCAGAATTATTATTATTATATGTAGGTAATTTCGATATGTATTTTACTATTAATGGAATATGTAAATTCTAATAATTGTCATAAGTACATTCTGGTCTTTATTTTGGAGATATGGCTTTAACAACTGATAAACCTAGAGCAGCTAGTATTATTGCTGTTACAGATGTCTAAGCCTTATCACTTAATAAAGCAAATTTCAAAGTATATATATTATATTTATTTATTAATAGAAAATCTTTGAAAAATAGATTAAAACATAATAAGAAAAAATAGATTATTTTCTTAAGATGTTTCCAACTATGACTAAATTTAAAATGAGTAAATTGATAATGTATTTCACATAATACAAATATCCTGTTAATTATACTATATGGAAATAAAATGATATTGTTGATGGATTCTTCCTCTTAAAAGATGGTGAAATCTAACTCTAATAAACAGTTGATTTTAATCCACTTCTTAAATCTGATTAGAATCAATTATAATTATCACCAAAAAAAGAGAAATCTAATTAAAAAGAACTCATTACTGTATAATTCTTATTATATAATATATATAGATAGCTCATCTTACAGGTGGATGTTTTGTTGGTGAAACTGATATCTATTTGTAAAATGAAAAAAGAGATTATACTGTAAAAACATTAACTTAGTGTAATGTGTTCACATTGCAATTAGATAATTTTGCTATTGTTAAGAAATCCTTTCCTGAATTTATAATACCACTCTAGACTCTTCAATAAAAAAATATTTAATTATATAGAAAAAGATTAGATGAAATTGTATAAACTAAAATTGCTAATGTAAATCTTCATAAAAAAGAAGAAATTAAAAATATAGAAAGAAGATACATAAATGAAATAGAAATTAAATAAAAAACATAAAATTCCTTTTAAGAATAATCATCCCCTATTCTCAGATCCACTTTATAACCTAAAATGACTAAATAATAAATGGTTGAATAAAATTTATCAATTGCTGATTAACATACAAAATCTGATATAGCAGCTGGTAAAAATGAGGAATTCAATATGCTAAAAATGGCTGGAGAAAATTTCTAAAAATGTTTGCTTATCAGAGTTGAAAAATAATTCGAATAATTTTAACCTGCTAAACCTAAGTAATTATTTTAAATTTATTATATAAGAGGTAAAACACCTTATTTTAGTAAACATCAAAAAGATATTAAAGATCTACTTGAATAAATTAGAAGACATTAATTACCTTCAGTTTAATAAAAAGAACCTATCGTATTTAATTAATAACAAGAAGAAGATTTTCAAAATAATTTGCCATTCTTAACCATGACCAAATAATAATTAAGAATTATTAATCCTTTAATTTAATAAAAAGTTGAAATACTCAAATAATGTTTAAGTCGTTAATCTCATACATCTATTTCGAAATCTAAATCTTTATGTTAGACTGCAGATTAATTTTATAAAGCTAAAGCATAACAAGGATTCATACTTTGTGATTCTCTCTTTCCATACAAACCAGTTCATAGTACTAAAAATAGCAATAATTAACATTATAGTAATTTTAAAGTTGTCTAAAGAAATAAAACAACATAATAAAGTTAAATATAAAAAAGATCATGTCAAGATATTACAGATACTAATTTTTTTAGTTCTTAACCTACAGTCTAATTTACATGATCTCCATTTATATTGTAATAATTATTATTAAACATTTATAAATAGAAATATTATCAATCAAACCAATCTATCTCTTCAACATTTGGCTTTTATGGCACACTTTTATTTTTTAATAACTTAATTTCCTCCTACAAAGAGCTTGCTTATTTTAGATTTAATACTTATTTTCTTCCTTTAAATTTTATATTGTTTCCTATAGAATTTAAATTTATTTCTGTTAATCTAAAGTTTTCTTTTACATTACAAATAAATTTAATTCTTCATTTTCATCATCTTCCTATGATCCTTAACTATTATCATCAGGTAAATCTTAGAATTAGTCATATTGTATTTAATTTTAACTTCGTTTTGATCTATTGCTAATTACAGATTTATTCATTTGCAATTCTATCTATTCATGAATCTTTCTTAATTCCTCCTTTAATTTTTCTATTTCTTTTTACATTTTATCAATTTCCTATAATAATAGTTCATTTTATTTTTACAGTTACTATTTCTCATTTTCTATTTATTATAATTTTTCAATATCTTATTCATTTTATACTTATTATTTTATTTATAATTCTAATTATTTAATTTAATCATCTTTCTTATTTAATTATTCTTTTAAAATTAATTTTTCTAATCTTAAATCATCTTCATCCTCAAATTCTTCATTATTCTCATCTTCATTTATATCCATAAATTAATCAAATTTTGCCAGTTATAAACTTCTTTTAGATTTATTACTCAATATAGATTTATTTTAGATTTAATCTATTTATTCATGTATTTTATTCAATTCTTCTTTTAATTATTAAATTTCCTAATCTTTTTCAACAATTAATTTTTTTAATTATTATTCTTAATTTTATTCAAAAATTCTTTATTATATGTTCTCTTCTTATTCTTTTTATTTATTTTCATAAACCTATAATTCTTATTATAAATCCTCAATTTGACTTTACAAACTCTATATAACTTTCTCTTAACTAGAAATCTTTTATTTCTAATGATTAATTTCTATCTTTTATTCTTAAACAAGCTTCTCTTTTTCTTAATTTAATTATAGAATTAGATTATCTTGATTATTCATTTTTTCATTTGCCATATCCAAACTACTTTCCATATCATTTTTTTATTAAATAACGAAATTAATTTCTAAATCTTTCTCTTGTATAATTTCTTATTACTATTATATTTGTTATTATAATAAATTTATTTAATTTTATTATTAAACTATTTCCGGATATGTTATTGTTTCAGTTATTTATTATATAGTTTCTGATACTTATTATCTTGGAGACACTTAAGATTCAAATATATCTAATAGATCTTAATTTTATTATAAAGAACTTTTATTATCAGAAATACTCTATAATTAATTCATTAATTATTATGATTTAATTTATTCATCTTACAACTCAGATTATACTTATACTAATTATTTTAATGCCTATTACAATTTATCATTTAATTATTCTTATCTAATTTAATTTTATTAGATTTCATTTTCATATTATTCTACTTTTTTTCTTTATTCTTCAATCTCATCTTCATATTATTATTTTTCATTTATAAATTTATTCTGTAATTAAATATTATCATTAAGTAAATATTCTTTTTCCTTATTAATATCTTATAATTAATTTTATAATTCTACTGTTTCTTATGTAATTTAATTATTCTCATTTATTTATACTTATTCATCTAATTATTACTATAAATTAGATATTAATTAATCTTTTTATTAATTCTCAATTTCTAGAACTTATAATTTTTCAATCATTCTTAATTAATTAGTATTTGTTTATTATAAAATAAGTAAATTATTTTCACTTTTTGCTAATTTTTCTAATAGATTATTATTTTATTCCTCCCATTCTTCATTTTATTCTTTTAATAATTACTTATTTTATTTAGTTAATTCATCCATCTATTTCAATAAATCCAAATTTTCTTTTTATTATTTATTTATTTTTTAATTTTATTATTCCATTTCTTAATTGGCTAAAACTAATTAATTTTCTATTTTATCATAATTATATATTAATTGATTTAATTTATCTCTTTCATTTTTAATTTATTCTTGTAATTCATTCTTTTAATTTAATAATTAAGAATTTTGTTTATTTAATTAATCTATTTCTTGTTCGTAATTTTTAATCTTTTCTGATAACAATGATTTATTTGATTTTTCTTGAGATAATTCATTTAATGTCTTTATTAAATCTTAGATTTATTATTCAAATTATTTCTTTTCATCAATATTCTTAACTAAAGTGATTTCATATTATTAATTCTATTAAACTAAATTTTAAATAGTCTAATTTTATTTATTAACTCTTAGTTAAATTTATTCAAATTCTGCTAATTCTTCTATTTTACTTTCAATTTCTTTTTTTAATAAATTTAATTATGATTCTAAATCTTATTTTTATTTTTATAATTAATTATAATTAGTAGATAATTTTATATATTTATCTTCATTTATTGCTAATTATTCAGATAATTTATCATTATGTATTTACCATTAATCATTTAATGAATCTATTGATTATTGTTTTTATTAATTGACATATTAAATTCTTTTAACTAATTCAGTATTTTCTTATTTAATTTAATCAAATTAATTTAATAAAATTGAATAATCTTTTTTTAATTTTTATACTTCAATTTTCTAATTTTCTAATTCATTTAAAATTGTATTATTATTTTTTTTCATTAATTATATTTGCTAATTTAAATCCTATTAAATTTACTCATTATCTTTTAATTTATTGATTAATTATTATACTTCTTATTATTTTTATGTCTATATATTATATTATTAATATTTACCTAATTTTTATTTGAATTTATAGTTTAATTAAGTGATTCAATAACTTAATCTCTACCTTCTAATTCATCCATTAATGTAATAAGTTAATTTTCTAATTTTTTAATTTTTGATTATGCTTCTTTTTTAATTTATTATTCCTTTTCTAAAGAAGTATTTTTATCTTATTCTAAATTATATATAATTTATTAATGTTTTTTTTTAAATTCATTAAATTATTCTTCAATCTGTTAAGCTTAATTTAATTTTAATTCATTGCTTTATTTTCTTTATTCTTATTTTAATTGTATTTCTAAATTTTTAACTTTTTATTACAAATTCTATTTATCTTATTTTAATTCATTTATAATAGTTTTAGAATCTATTTAACGAGCACTATTTAATAAATCTTCATCTATTTACTATTTTCTATTTATTTTATTTAATTTTTTCATAATTTTAAGCATTTTATCTTCTTTTAATTCTAAAGATTAAAGTGTTTATTATTCTAATTGATTTAATTATTTTAAAATGAAATTTTAATATTCATAAAAAACTAAATTATTTTCATTATTATTACTATTATCTTATTAATCTTATTATTAATTTAAATCTACTTATGAATATAATCTCTATATAATATATCTGGCATCATTTAATTATTGTGATAAACTTTTAATTGTATTAGATAAACTAATGTTTTCTATTTTTAATTAATCTTAAACATTTTATAACCCTGCAATTTATGTTTAATAGAACATTCTAGTTTTATCATTTCTTATTCTTAAATCAGCTATTTCTTAAAATGAATTATCTTATTATTAAAAATTATTCTATTCAAAATCATTTTTGGCTGTATTTATATTTGATGGACTCAAATATCTTAAATTCTATGGATTGATTATTTAAGTTGCTTTCTACAATTATTCACCATTTTTTCCATATTTCAGAAAAGTTAAATAGTTATCCTAATTATTAGTTTAATTTTTGAATTGAAATTAGTAATCTTAGGTTTTTTTTGAATTATTTTATTTCTACATATAAGAGACCTAATCAACTTTAGTTAAATTCTAAGTGTTTCTTAAATATGATTTGCAATTTAAACTATTACCTCTAGTTCGTTCTTATTATAAAGCAGGAGAATTTCTGAATGACATAAATTAGTTAACTTTTATAAATAAAATAAAATTATAATAGTTAAGAATCAATATCTGTAATACCCATTATTATGACTACAAATAAATACAATATAAAATTACAATTATTTAGTAACATGAAGAGGTTAAGTAGTTGATCTACTAAATGGTATGACTTTAGGTTCAGGTATTAAAGGAGGAGGATTAAAAGATGGTGGTAACATATATGCTAATATATGATGTTCATGTGATCTTAATTCTAATAAGAAATCATCTGCATGTAAAAATGAATGAGATACAAAAGCACCAATCTAATACATTATAATTGAAAAACAACGTCCTGTTTTTTAAATGTTTAATAATATACCATATTTCTCTTCTAAATTATGTCTAATATAATCAGTTTTATGAGCATAATGTTCTTGATGTAAAGATTTATTATAAAAATCCATAATATCAAATTTCATTTCATTACTAATCTAATATCCTTATTTAACACATTCAATTTTCACTTTTTAGTTCATAGTACTGTTAAAAATTAAAAAATAAATTAATTTATGTTAAATAATTTCTTAAATAAATATAAGTTTGCATTTACGTATCCATGTCCTAGAAAATTGAGAGAAATTGTTAAAATGTCTTTGTTTGAACGTGAATCAAAAGATTAAGTTATTTCATTATGGATGGAATATCATAAAGAAAAATAAAATAATGTTGCTTATGTTGTAAGCAAAGATGAATATGAAATACTTAAAAGAAATACAAAAGAATCTCCATTATTTTTATTGCCTATTAAAAGAAAAGGAGGACATTTCTAATTGATTGGATAATCATAAACTAATAGCATTGTAAATATTATTCAAAATATTAGTTATTTACTTTTTTAGAAGAATATAAAAGATCTGGGTCTTTTTCATCTCCTTATTTTATATTAACTATTTTTGAAGAATTATTGTCATAAAAATAAGTAGCATTAATAAGAGGAGATATAATGGATTATAAAATAGATAAAGATGAGGCTACTTTCTTAACTAATCAATTTCTTTAATTTTATATGACACCTGAACTATATGAAAAATACATCTATACACTTAATCATAAATAACATGAATTCAATTATGATGATTTTAAAAATCATTTTTAAATATGATTTTATAATATTAATAACAATGAATGAATGAATCATTTATATTATATATGTATTTATTTTCACCATTTAAATGTTTAAAATTCATCCTATTATGGTTATGATCCTTTAACAAAATTATCACCAAATCCTGCCCAATCACCTCCACCAAATTCTTTATTAGCATCAAAATCAATTTAAACCTCATCTACTTATTTTATACCTTAATCAAATACAAAATTTTAATCAAAATTTATAGATGGATTTTATTCAATAGAAATTCTATTATCAAAATGAGCACCAAATCCATCTTCAAATTTTATTTCAAATCCTTTATGTTCAATTTCATCTTAATCCTCAAATTATTTAGATTATTCAAATTCAATATTTATTTATTATTCTTATTCTTATTTTATCTCAACATGATCTTCATTATTTGTATTCATAAATCCTATATTATTATCAAATTCAATATTATTTTCTAATATTATTTAAACAGGTTATTAAATTTTAACACTTTCACTAAATCCAAAATCTTCTAATTATTATGTTTTAATTTACTACTATTCAAATTATTCTACTTACTATTTTTAATCATTTAATTCTGGTTAAACTACCTAATTAATTAAATCTTTATTTTAATTATCTTTATATAAAGAAAATACATCAAATTATTCTTTATTATCTAAATCAACCTTTATTATTTATTCTTACTATTATTCTTATTACTTTATTATTGGAATATCAATAATATCAATTTAATTATCTAATTCTACAAATTATTATTAATCTAATGATATTTGATATGATTTTATTTATTATTATTATTATTATTATTGTTATTACTATTATTATTATTATTATTATTATTATTATTATTGTTATTATTATTATTATTGTTATTATTATTATTATTGTTATTATTATTATTAGACCAATTAAAAAGGTATAAAATTATTTTATGTTTCATGTGTGTCCATAGGCTAATAAGGAGTAGAATTTTTTCTCTATGATTTCACATCTTTTGATAAAGAACTCAATGCTTCAAAAATTAAACTCATCTAATCTTTTTATTATTTAAGTTCTTTTAATATTTCCTATTCTTATCTCTTTTTTCTTTCTTATTCAATTTCATAATTAGATCTCAAATCTCCAATTATTTAATTTGCATAATCTGTAACTGTATTGATTGTATTTGTTGTTTATTTTGAATATTCTTATTTTAATTAAATATTCAATCCTAATTTCTAATTTATTTCTATTGCTTATTTACTTAAAGATTCAGTAAGTTTCTTTTTTTATTATTCAATTTATTTAAGTTCTTCTTAAAATAAATAATTTTCATCTGAAATCTTTTTTAATAAAGTCTTATATTGTTCATTTGTTGTTTATAATGATTCCAATTAACTTTAACTTGAAATCAGAATCTTTTCATGAGATTCCTTGAATTCATTAAGCAAATCATTGGCTTCTTTATAATTTTATTCTAATTATTATTGTTGTATTAACATTTATTCTTAAAGCAAAACTTACTTTTAAAAATCTATTGTTTTTTTAGGCTATTGAATAATTGGCTATGATATTGTAGTACTCTATAAAGTTGTTACTTATTATGGAGGGACAATTTGTTAAGTCACTTATTATAATTGTGGTTAAGAATCAATATCATTCATAATTAAATCGATAGACTTCTGTTATTTTAAGATAGGTTATTAAGTTTAAGTTGGTGGTATTTTGAATGATTAAGATGTAGTTAATTATGGTTATTGCTATTTTTATACAGTTGGTTCAATAATTGGATTAGGCATTTCCATGTAATTAAAGGCACTATCTAAATAATCTAATAATGATAGATACATTTATCAATTGGAGATTTAGATTTATCAAAATTTGCTTCAAAATCTAATAAATCATTAGATTTAGGTACAACATTAGGTTATGAGTTAATAGGTGTATTATTAATATTAAGAGTTTAAGATACCAATTATTATTAATTTAAGTATTCTTATAAAGAGTTTGGTAATTTTTATGGTATTGGTACACTCTAAGATGCTAAAGATATAAGATGAGTGATAACAATATAGGAATGTGTAGTCATTCTTGGTTTTGTTTATAAATTTGGATCAACTAGATTGATGATATTCTATAATTAAAATTATGTGAGTTGAGTTTTTTTGAATAAATTCATTGCCATTTAAGTTGATACCTAATTAATGTATATAATAATACTGTAGAATTGGAATGATCTAATTATTGTATATAATTCTAATATAATCTTTCTTATTCTGGTCTTAGTTTATAGACTTCTTCTGTATCAGATTAGAATTATGGTAATGGACTTGGAATGCATCTTTAAATGGAATCGATGGAAACCTCAATATTGTTTTGTGCATAACTGATAAGCTTAAGAGCAACATAGAATTCCTCTTTATTCAAAGTTTAATTATTGGGTGAACTAATTAACCAAATCTTCTTGAGAATTTCTATAGATAATCCCGACCTTTTGAAAAATGTGACTGCTTAAGCTCCTCCTATTTAGCCTGTGTTCTAATAGTATTATGTATTCAGATACTGTTGCATCAACTGCTTAATACAATGAGGCATAATAACCTCTTTCTTTATTATCGAGTTTTACTCTCGCACTCATTTATATAATAACTTAATTTAATTAATTAAGAATCCGCGTTAGTATAGTGGTTAGTATTCAAGCCTGTCACGTTTGAGGCCCGGGTTCAATTCCCGGACGCGGAGCTTTTTTTTATATTCTTAAAATATATATTAAATATAAAAAATGAAGATTTTTTTCATTGAATTAAATCTTTTGATTTCATCCTAAACATCTTGTAATTTTGCATATCATAATTCATTAATGGTTTAAATTTGATGATTAAATCTAATAGCAATTTCTATAAAAGATAATTAATTAAATATATTCTATTATTTAAATTAGGTTTATATGTTGTATTCTCTCTAATAAAAGCATTCCAATCATATTTTTTATTGTTAAAGTTCTTTAATAAATGTATTTGGGATTTGAAAATTGAAAAATTTAAGTAGTTTATTTAATTATTTAAAAGTATAAATTAATAATATAAGATACTTAAGTACTATACTTTAATTAGAATTTATTTTTGAATTTCAATACTTTATAAAATATAATATGGAAAAGTGAAATAATTTAAAAGTTATTAATTTAATTTTTATTAAATTGATTTATTTTAATTATGATCTTGGTATTCATATTGAAATCAAATTATATTCAAATGACAATTATTTATCATGAGGATTTAATTCCATTGAATTATTTCTACAAGCTTTAAAATTAAACTTATGCCATAATGAATCATTCATTTTAGTAAATAAGTATATTTTATATGTATCCAAAGGTAAGATCTCAGCCAAAGAATGCAAATGAAACAAAGTTAACATTACAACTGAATCTTCCAGAAATGAATCCAGCAAAGAGTACATTGATTCCTTTTCTTACTTACTTATTATTTTTCATTAGGATTAAATACTTTTAAGTAAAAATGTTCATTAAACTATACACAATTCCAATTGAAAATTAATTCTTTTTATTATTTCAAATTATATTTATTGAGTAGAATTTAGAATGCATTTAATAATTTCTTATCAGATTTCATAACTTTTTGTTTAAACTTAATAATAGTATCAATCAATTTAAACAGAGTTTAGCAATAAATGTCTTCAAGAATCTTCCCTTGCAACTTGAAAAGTATTTCTAATATATGTATGTTTAAAATAGCAAAGATTAGTTATAAATATTAATATTTTGGTACAAACTCTAAAACCTTCTTATTATTCATTAATTTAATTTATTGAACAATATGGGAAGTACACATAATATTTTAGCCTATCTAGATTTTTGTTAGGGAGATAAACAATATGATTCGAATTGCTAAGACAATACACATGTTTATGAGGCTACCATAAATTCATCCACTATAACCATCATACATGGAAACATTCTCTAGAATAATTTAAGAGGAATACGTAAATAATTGAATTCTATCATAGTGAATGCATAATTAGATCCTAATTCCTTCACATTAATGCAATTACCAGAAATGCAACGTGAATTTCGTAATCTATCTTAAATACTTAGTAAAATAAAAAATACCAATTATCTAACGATTACCACCCGGAGCATGTTAATCTGAATTTATTATTAACCTAAAAATTAACTATTAAGATACTAGAAAGGAAATAATTGAAGCTTATGAATAAGGGTACATTTATTATATTTAAATTAGTTTTGAACTTATGTTTTAACATGAATTAGAAAATGTTGGATATAGAGAAGGCAAAGATAAATTTAAAGATAAGTCTGAATAATTTCATAATTCAGAATGTTTATTAGAAGCTATCTTTAATCGAATTAAATAAAATAAAATGATTAAGACTTTTCAAATTTTCAGTGTCGATATGTCGATCTGCTAATAATACAAAAATGAATTAAAAAAACAATAACATAAATATTTATCAAAAAAGAATTTTGAAAGATGTTCAACATAAGAATAATTAAATGAATCATATACTGAAAGATTTCTTACAGCTAATTCTTGTGATTAAGCAGATTTTGTTAATAAACAATACATCAAATAACAACTCAAAAGATCTTTTCCTAATACTTAATAAAAAGATTAATGAATTTCTATATTTGTTTATGATAATTATAAGAGAATAATTAAATATTCATTTATTATTTTTTAATCTTGAAGTTTTGGCTTTATTTTAATAAATTAATTAATTTACAGCTAAATGATCAAATGGATCAATGTATGATTTTACTTAAGTATTTTATTATTATATCCTTTTTTTCAATTCCTCAATCTTTTAAGAATGTTCTATCTAAAATTACTTAGCTGAAAATCCCCTCTTTAAACCTAAATTTGCAGAATTATTAGAATGTAAATTCTTATCTATTCTATCAGTCATCATTGTATCTTATTGAGCTTCAATCAATGATTAAGGTCTATTTGTTTATTTTTCAAATTTTGGTTTCTTTGTTTTTAAAGTCTCACCTATAAAATAGAAATTTTCAAACATAGGTTCAAATTATGTTTCTTAATCACTTTATAATGATTTCTATAATTCTTAATTAAATTATTATTCTCCTTATTTGAATTCTTTTGGATCAAAATTAAATTTAATTAAATTTGGCAAAAAAGGAGGTTAAATTTTTCTTTTTAAAATGTCAATTAAATTTACATCATCAAAAAATTAATGTCCTAATATATCTTAAATTCCTTCTCTATTACCCATTCTCTAATTAGGATCTTTATGTAATAATTTTCTTAATAAATCTTTAGCTTCAGGAGAACAAACCTTTACAGGAAATTGTAAATCATCATTTAAAATGCTTTAAAATATTTCATCTGTATTTTTTGAATAAAATGGAGGAAGTCCTGTTAATAATTCATAAAGTAATGCTCCTAAACAATAATAGTCAACTGCAAATGTATGTCCTTATTATTATAACATTTCTGGTGCCATATATTCTGGTGAACCACAAAAGGAATATGCTTCATCAAATTAACCCATATTAGGTTTAGCTAATCCAAAATCTGCTACTTTTAAATGTCCATACTCATCAATTAATATATTTTCTGGTTTTACATCTCTATATAATACATTTTAACTATGCAAAAATGCTATAGCAATACAAACTTCAACAAAGTAGATTTTTGCTTAATCTTAATTCATTCTCTAAACTTTTCTTAATTGATTGAATAATTCACCTCCAGGACAATATTCCATACCAAAACATACCCAATGTTTAGTTTCAAATGCACATTCTAATTGACATATAAATTATTTAGGCATTTATTAATCACTTAAATTTAATTATACCATAACATCTCTTTCATTTTATACAATCTGTTATTTTTAATGTTCTATTATAAATTATTTTGATATCAATTTCAATGCTAAAAATCTACCATTATTTTTTGATCTAACCAAATATACTCTTGAAAATCCTCCAATTCCTACACATAATAAAAAATGGAAGCTTTTTAATGATAATTTTTAAGTGTATTCAGGATAAAGTGGCTATAATTTAATAGTTTACTTATCCAAAATCATCAAATCTTTATTTTTAAGACTTATATAGTATTCAACTGCAATGTTATTATCTACCGATGAAAATCCTATTACATTCTCATCTTGTGTTAATAATAATATATATACTATCTTAACAAATTTCAATTAAATATTAAATTAATTAATCTGTTGTCTTTTCTGAACAATCATATTTCATTTCTAATGTTTTTTCTTTATCATAAAGTTGAATGTTAATATAATGTTATAATGTCACTTGTTATTATTCCTTTTATCTAAAAGATTCTTTCAAAAAATCTTGCTGATTAAGGTTTTTTAATCTATCAGTACTTTTAGCTTTATTTAAAGTTAAATGATATTTTTGAAGTAATTTTTTAAAATTAAATTCGATAGGGTTGCTTAAACTTCCATTCTTTTATTAAGTTGACTACTCTTTAATTTTATTTATCAAATTTTAATTGTTTTATGTTTTCTAAGCAGGTTCTGTAGTTATTTTATGTGATTTTGATAATAATTATTCAGAAGACTTTGTTTTTGATTATTTTTTTAGACCTTTTTTCTCATCTAATGCTCCTTTTTTTAAATCTTAAACAGAATTTAATTAATAACAAATTTATTGCTTAATTAAGTTAATGTTTTTTTATTAAGCGCTTCCATTCGAATAATATCCTGAAACAAAATTGTTATTTTTTGCTTAGCTGAATTTTTAAACATTTGGAGATTATTGTTTTTTTTTAGTCTCTAGTTCAGATTATCGATTTTTGTATTCTCTTTAAGTTTAACAATTAAAATTTAATTACATCTGATTTTTGATTTACACATTAATCTATGGAACTACGTTTTAAAAGTTCTAGTATATGAAATACAATTAATAATACCTTCAAAGATGATTGAGACTAATTACCATTAGTTTATTTTTTAATCATGCTGCTATATGGCGAAGGATTTAACAAATGTGTATTTGTAATCGACATTTTTATATTATAATTTAAATATTTCATTAATTAAATGAATCGTCCAGGTCTCGGAGTAGGTGTGTTTATTAGAAATGGAGATTCTGTATTGATGAGCTATCGTAAAGTAATGGAGATACTTTAATCATTAGGATAATGGATATCTAGCATTACCTGGAGGTCATCTTGAATTATATGAAGAATTAGAAGATTGTGCAATTAGAGAAGTAAAAGAGGAGACAAATTTGGATATTGAGAATCCACAAATATTTTAGATGGTAAATGTTGTGAAGAAGGAAATAAAACATCATTATGTTGTTATATTCTTAACTGCAGATTATAATGAGAAGAATGATTTAATAAATGTAGAACCAAATAAACATAGTGATTGGAAATGGATTAATGCTTAAGTCTTTTAATAACATTATAATGAAAAACAATTATTTTATGGTCTAATGAAATTGATTGATAGATTTGGTAATACAGAGAAATTGTTTAATTTAATATTTAATAAATGATAATATTTATTCTTTATTCTTCAACCCATTTTATAAAGTAAAATTGCCATTTATCCTTCATAAAAGAACATATATCTTTTGCTTTCGTAAGATGAATAAGAATTAAAATGTTTCCCTGAAATATTTATTAATAAGAAATGTACCAACAACACAATGCCAATTTGGACCATATTTTTCATCAAAGAATTTTTTAATGTAATTTGAAATCTATGATTCTACCTTAAAATGTTCAACTGCATATCTTGCCTATTAAGATTAATTAATAATTTAAATACTTAGGTTCTTGCATCATTAATCATATCAGATTATTCTGGCATATCGATAATCTAATCTAAATTCTCGTCAGCCATCTGAAACTGTAATTAATTTAAAATAATATTTAATATATATATATATATATTCATAAAAATAATAATTACACTTTTTCTGTAAATATGTCATTCTTTATTTTTAAAGGTTTCTCATATAAAGCATCAAATTATTCTGTGATATTTATTTTCTATTTATATTTAATATAAGTTTTACGTTATCATTCTAATAAACTTTATCATAACAACAACAATCAATTAAATGAATTTATAATTCGATATATTATTCTATTATTTTTGGATCCTTCTCCTTTTCTTTCTTTTCAGACAATGTTCTAATTATGAAATCACTCAAAATTTCCTTAAAATTTTAATTAAATTGACTTGAAAAGTCTATTGTCATTTCTTTTTACCAATTTTTATCTTAAATCTCATCCCAAAAAGATCTACTTTATAATAATGAATTACTTTGCACTTTTTAATGCAAATTATAATAGACTTTCATAAAATTATTAATCATCCAGCATTTATGATATGAATTTTTAAAAATAAGGATGTTAATAAACTTTTTCTAATAAATCTGGCGCTTTAAATAAATTTTACTTGTCTAACAAAACCTTTGTTAATGAATCATTTAATAAATATATCTTTTTGATCAATAATAAAAATGGAAAGGCTGAATATTTTTCAGAAATTAAAGTATTTATTTCATTTAGTGTCCTTGATAAATATACAATTTAATCTCTTAATCTCATGTATTTCTCTATTAATTCTTCAACTTTTTTCAAATCCTCAATCTATTTTTCAGTCTATGAAATTTCTAATTTAACTTATTCATCTTAGAGATCTGGTAATAATTCAGTCTCCTTTATGTTAACCTACTTATTTTATTTAAGAATATGCTATTCTTTCATATTTTCTAACTATTTCATGAAATCATCAGGATTTTCAAAAGTATCCTATTGAACTTAATTTTAATAGAATTTCCCAATTTTCTCAACATTAATTTATTCAGCTTATAATAAATTAAGTGATAGTTATTAATATCCTATATCATAATAAGTATTTACTCATTTCTTTCTATTTCATCAAAGGATGCGAATATAATTCAGACCATTTCAACCTATCTCTAGGATCCTTCATTAACATTTTATACAACAACCATTCTAATTAAGTAGAAATTGAAACTCCATTTCTTTTAAAATTAGGTTTATCTAGTAATTATATTTAAGTCTACTTGTTCGGATATCTTACAAAAATGCCTTTTCATTTATATTAGTAAAGGGAAAACATCCAAAAAGTAATTAATAAAACATACTGCCAATAGAAAACATATCTGCAGCCATGCCATAGGGTTTTTGTTCAATAATTTCAGGTGCCATATTACCTAAGGAACCTAGAATCAGATTTTCATGTTGATTTTGGTCCTTCAATTATTTACAGAATCCTAGATCAGCAATTTTTAAAGTAGAATTATGAATTAAAATATTAGGTAATTTTATATCTCTATGTAAGATATTCTTCTCATGTAAAGCTTACATTCCAGCCAAAACCTATTTCATATAAGCAATAACTTCATTTTCAGGTATCTTTTTCCCTCTCCTATTCCACAATTATTCAAAATCACCAGCTTAATAATAGAAATGATATATTACAATTGCAAAATTCCAAAACGATGTAGCATTAATTCTCTGATTAAAAGAATTCAATGAATTTTATTACATGTTCACTGTTGATTTATCTTAATACTGCAATTTCACTTTCTAATAACTAACCAACAATTCCCCTACTCTCACTTAATTTTGCCTTTGAAACGCATTTAATAGCTACCAAATCTTATGTCTTGTCAACTTTGGCAGAAAAGACCTATATGTAATTTAAATTTACTTACTTAACCAAATGAACCTTATCCCAACTCTTTGAGAAATGTATAATTTAATACTCTCTTTCCAGGATAGTTCTGAATTTTTGGTGGCTGCTATAACTACAACATTCTTGATGTATTATATGTTAATTATATTTTTATATTTATTTTAATATCTTGATTCTTTCAATCATCATCTCCTCCTTCATCACCTCCTTCTTCTAAATCACCATATGTCTTCTATTCGAATTTAGGATCATGATAATCTTGCCAATCGAATCTTGGTTTTGTGTATAAACAACTAAATAGCCAACATCCTGTTAAAAACAAGCCACATCTAGTAAACATAGCTATCTTTATTTTATTACTCTTACTTCTTGTCCAATAATCATTGAAATCTCTATGTGATTTACTCAAAACATATCCCCATTTATTGGGATTGTATTCTACAATACCCTCTCTAAGCATCCAAGAGGCTGTTTCATAGCTTACTGCCATGTTTTTCACTTTGTATGAAAATTCTCCTGGTTTCTCAAATAATCCCTCTTTAAATGCAGCAGGCATTGTAGATCTTTGCCCTGCTTTCTAAAATACCTTCCACAAAGCCATTATTTTTATAAAATAATTATTATTAAGTTCAAAGTAATTATAGATATTTACTGCCAACATTTCTATTCGTTTAAAAGAGTTTTACACTAATCACTTTTCACTTCCTCCATATCTTCATAGTCTCAACATATTCACTTTCCTTCACTTTCTCTATCATTTAATCTCAAAGCATTTAGAATCTCTTCCTATTTTATTTTATTCATAAATTAAATGATTTTTTGATCATAAAATTATTCAATTTTTTATAGACCTATCATTATTGTATATCTATCATTCAATCTAAAAAAATGGTTACTTTATACATAAAGAAAATTTATTTATCTTATCTCTATATTCTTTCTCAATTTTTATTAACTAAATAATTATATATTTCTAATTGCTATCTTTTTCTATGCTTATATTCCTTTTATTGTATCTTTTTTTATAATTTAATCTAGGTTTACTCATATGCTTTATTATTATGATTTACTTTTTAATTCTATTTTCTATTATTGTAAATTTTTACTTATTAAAAAACCTTCATTTTATTTACATCACTTAACAAGATTTTAATTATCTTTTTCTAAATAATTTCAAAGTTTTAATTTTCTATTTATTAAACTTAATAATTTGGATTATAATTTTTTGATGAATATTATTATCTTGGAAATATTTACTTTACTATCATATTATTCATAATTTTTATTCATCCTGAATTGCTTGTAGAAGATTTCCTTAATAATTCTTTCTACATATATTTCATGATTGATACTTATATTCAAACCTAATAAACATTCTAAATATGCTTCAGATTTAATTGTTATAATTAATGAATTATTTAATTTATTCTAATTCTACTATTTTTCAATTTGAAAATTAACATCCAATAATTTATTTTCTAATTGATTTCAGATTAAATTAAAATCATTAAATGAAAAAGGTAAACAATTAAAATATTTAATAATTAAATATATTGATCAAAAATATGAATATAAATAATAATTGTTATTATAATTTTGATCTATCTAATATCACATATTTTTAATTTTAATTTAAATAATCTTACATAAATATATTAATTATACATAAATAAATAAATACCAAATGTATAAATATGT